CTGCTTAGCTTATATCCATGTCAAAAAGAACAAGCAACAAAGCCTTCAGCCACACACCACCAAATATATATTTGTTGGATATCCATCAGATACAAAGACATAGAAGTGCTGAAACCCTGTAACCAAGAAGTTCATCATATCAAGCCATGTTGTTTTTGACAAGCAAGTATTTTCAGGAAATACAAAAACTCTTATCAACCTCTTTTGTGATCTATTTTCTTCACTCTCAAATCTGTCAGATTCTCCTATGCTGTCTGATCAAGGGGAAGACCTCAATAATGATGATCTTCCACTGCTAAAAAATCTTCCAGCACTGAATCTCTTATCTCCTCTAAGTCCATCACCTCCAGTATCACTTCTTTCTCATAATATTATAACCCCTTCTGGCTCACCATTTGATGGATCTCTCTCAGATCTAACTCTATCACTATCACCACCACCTTTAACAGACCTAGGCAAATATAAATACAGAATATGTGATAATAGCTTATATGATCCTGGCTCTGATTATGACTATGGAATATGCTAAAATGTCCACAATGATGATCATGTGAGAGATGCAGAGGATTAAGCACACACAGCCTTTATGAAAGACAAAACTATTCTTGAAGGCATAGCTTTCTCCAGCCAGACAATAGAGCATTTGACAATAGAGGAAAGACTGAAAGTTGCATTTGAGAGCATGACAAAAACAGCTTACAAGGCATTCACATATGATAGTGAATCTAAATCCTTCTATGAAGCTATGAAATGTCCTCCAGAGAAAGCTGCTATACAAGAGATACAGGCACTTGTTGAAAATGGCATCTTTGAGTCAGTGAAATGCCCTTCAAATCAAAAGGCAGTTGGGAGTTGCTGAGTATTCAAAGTGAAATGCAATGCTGATAAATCAATTGAGTGCTACAAAGCAAGGCTTGTTGCAAAGAGATACTCATAATGACCTGGCTTTAATTACACTGAAACCTTCTCTCCAACACTAAAATGGGCTGTCCTATGAGCTGTCCTGGCACTTGGTGCCCTTAAGGATTTAGAGCTATAGAGTGTCAATATCTCATCAGCATTTTTCAATAGTGAGCTGACAGAAGAGGTGTATATGAAGCAGCCAGAAGATTTTGAGAAGAAAGGAATGAAATAGGTCTGATGCCTCTTCAAGTCTCTATATGGACTAAAGCAAGCTGGAAGAGAATAGCACAAAAAGCTACATGCAACATTGACTAATGCCATAGGTTTTGAATAGGTAAAATGCAAGCATAGTGTCTGGGTTTATAAGAGGGATAGTGAATATATCATTATTTCAGTCTTCATTGATGACATGACCATTGCCACAAAGATATCAGATGGTGTTGCAAAAGTCATTAATAATCTCAAGAAGCACTTCAAGCTTCAGAATTTGGGTCCAACATCTTACCTCCTTGATGTCAAGATCAAGCTGACTAAGCCAACCAAACTCTCTCTCTCTTCCAGTGCCAATACATCTTAGATATTCTGCAACATACAGGAATAGCTGACTGTAACTCTGTTCTGACACCTTTGAATCCAAACATAAAACTTACAGCAGATCAGTCTCCCAAAACATCAGAAAAATATGAGACAATGTGGACAATCTCATGTCTGAATGTGCTTGGCTCTATAGCCTACCTTGCTATTGCTACCAGGCCTGATATTGCTTATTCTATGAGTGTGCTCTCATAATTCAGCAAAAACCCTGGCACAGCCCACTGAGAAGCTCTCAAACAGCTTCTATACTATCTGAAGGGCACAGTTGACTATCATATTGTCTACTCTCCTGACTCTGAGTCAGATTCACCAGTCTTCAACTTCAAGACTTATTGCAATGCAGATCATGGGGGTGACAAAGATAGTGAGCATTCCACAAGTGGCTTTATTATCAAAATGGAGACTGGAGCTATTAGCTGGATGAGTCATCTTCAGGTATTTATGACACTCTCAACAACAGAGACAGAATATGTTTCAGCTGTGTCTGCTGGTCAGAAAATCCTTTAGCTTTGCAACTTGTTCACAGAATTTCACTATTCATTCACCAATGCCTCAGTTCTCTATATTGACAATGAGTCTGCTCTATCAGTTGCTTGAAACCCTGAATATCATAGCCAGATTAAACATCTTGACCTTTGATTCTATTAGCTGTGCAATGAAGTTGAGAAGAGGTGCATCCATATAATCCATTTATGAACTGACAATATGCCAGCCAATGTCTTAACAAAGAGATTGGGAAGAGAGAAGCTCAGACACATAATTACCTCACTCAGACTCATCTCAATACCTCTATAGACATATTCAGTTGAGAGAGTGTGTTGAAGTAGAACAACCTCTATATCACTCTTATCTTGTATAATTATAGCTATCAATACTGAAGATCAAAGATCAACACTTATCAGCTTTTGACCTTTGACTTTAGATCTGGCTTTCTCTGCTATGCTACACAATCTGCTCCCAACAAAAACCAGGATAATTGAAAGCCTTTCTATAACCAAATGCTTTCAGCTGCTCCTTTATGCTGAAATTAAAGCTTTATCCAGAAAATTAAAAAGTAAATTAGATAATTCACTTGTACAGATGCTCTATTTATTTTCAGCTTCTCAAGTTCTGCTTGATGCTCACCTTTCATCTTTTGACATCATGCATTACCAATGGATTCAAACTATATTTGAATATAGTTATCCAAAGATGAACTAAAAAGTGAAGAATACATATCCTGGTCACTTCTTCAACATATCTTTGCCTTTCTTGACAGTATGCCTCTTTTATTTCTTGTAGAAGAAAGAGAAACTGGGTCTCAATGGCCTTGAATTCTTCTTATAGACATGAGAGAGATAAGCATTCTACCTGAGCTGATGATGAATTTAACATCTATTTTCTTGGTAAGCAAAGATATAAAACTTACTCAGCAATACTTTAGTAGGTAAGAGCATGATGATCAAGGACAACACATCCTCATTGTCAGCTATCTCTGGAGTGTGACATAATGCTACATAGTTTCATGAATACAATGGCCAAAAGAGATGAGCTGGATACTTCACTGTTTGCTGACACATTTTGAGTGTATCTATGTTTGAAATACAAAATCAATGTGGCATATGCTCCTACAACAAAACTGGTAACATGTTGAGTAAACTATGGCTACTTAGGGAAAGCCAAACCTATGTGGCATGTATTCATGAACAATAGATTCACCTATGCTAGCTCTGAGAAACCTGATATTGAGAACAGACAGTCTATCATTCTATGAGTGGCCTTCCAGATAGTCATTGATGATTGACTCATAAATATCAAGCAAAGATCCTTTGAGGATTATGCAAGCTGCAGAATGTCTTATAGGCTGAGAAAACTCAAAATCTATAAGTGAACAAATTAAATGCCTAATGAAAGTGCTGTGCAGAATAAAGACTTCAAGCCATATCTCAACAGGCATGAATAAAATCCCTTGGAGTCTTTCTATATGAGTACATCTTGGCATCATCACTGAAAGCTGCTATAGATTGTCAGAGAGGAATGGCAGAGTATTTAAGCACATGCTGCTGTTAGATGCTTAATGGCACATGTTCAGATGCAACATGAGACAGCTATAAAGCTTGCTGAGTCTTTATTTTGGAAACTCAGAACTTTCTCCTGGTCATGGACCTCTGTGCCATGCCATTCAAGCCCTCTGGGGCATCAGAGTGACCTAGATCTGATGGTCTCTTGGTGATGTTCTGATCATAGTAAATAAGACAGTTATGCATCTTCAATATCCAACTTTCAAATGGATGCATCCCATCCAGTCCTAAGCAGCCAGTTCATGAGTCCCAATGAGAACAACTCTGCAGTCAGCTGCCATCATTGTACATGTCAACCACAAGCTCTTCAGTCAAACTCTGATAGCCTTCCACCTTAAGCTTTCACAAAAAGTATCACATGCATTGAAGTCTTCAACATAGATATGCAGCACAGACAATTTTTTCACCAGAGCTTCAATGTATACCTTTCAAAGCTGAAAGCAAGATCAGCATGGACATTATCACTGCCAGCATGCAGCACTTATGCTGGCTATCACAAGTTGGCTATGTGTAGGAAAGTGAATGAAAACTTGATTTCTACAATGGCAGTGGAACTTAGAACAATGGCACCATGAGAGTACAGGACAAGATGAATTTGTTATTTGAGAGTAAGACACATGGAAAGAAAGAGAGCTGCAATGTTGGTATATATTGTCATAGGAAATCAGCATTTGTGGTGACTTGGTGACTTTAGGGTCAGTTGCCAACCAGCTGATCTGGAATCTTTGGTCCTGAACCCTGACAGAATGCTGTTTGTTGGCCTGTTCTCATCTTGTAGTAATAAAGGAAAAATAACAGATATCTGGTAGAATAAATTCAGGAACATCAGTAAACTGAATCTGAATCTGATGGACTCAGTTGTACTGCTCCCTGTCTTAAGTATTAGTGAATGAGCAGCACTGAATGGACTCAGGTTACTCATAGCACTGGGAGTCTGTTCATTCTGTATTAGCTTATGATAATGCTAATCTTAAAGAAGACTTGCACACAATATTTCATCAAGAGTGAGACGAGTATGGTCAATTTTGCTATGTTTATCATCAATGCATGGACATATCACAGGGTGTTGAGACACTGAGATTGCACACACTCGGGATATCTCACAAAATAAAAAAGACGTGGCGTGCAAGAAGTTGTTGGTGGTGAAAAACAAAAGGATGTGTCAAGTATTTTCTGTGAGGAACAGGCCAAAAAGGAAGGCGAATCACCGGCAGAAGATAATTTATGCTATCACACTTTCAACTTTACTGTATGACAAAGATATTCAACTGCAAGGACAAGAACATATTGACAAGAGTAAACAAGCGTAGAAATTATGTATGAGGCGCGATGGGGGGATTAGAACGATCACAAGAACCATTACGATGAACCATAGTGACTGCCTCCAGTTCATGGGCGTCTCGCAGGTGAAGAAAGACGCGTTCGTCTTAGGCGCGGACGAGGCTAAACTGGGCTGTCCTCACCCCTTGAATAGACATAGGCAAGGAAGGACCCAGGATGATGGTGCTGTATAGATGAGGAACCTAGTTGATAGGATAATGATCCATGCGCAGAGCGAATAGCGTCCTTGATGGCGTTTGTGGTCTGAGCGATTGCGATAATCTCCTTCACGCCCGTGTAATTTAGAAGACTCTAAATGTGACAATGAGTTATAAGGAAACGACGGCGACGAAGTAGTAGCTTAACGGCTCGCGTAGCTGCTCGCGGGCCATTGTAGCATTCTGATGATACTGCGATCAAAGTAGAGTCGGTTGACATAGAAAACGATGACTCAATCGTCGAATATTAAGTGGTCACGGTTTCCACCTTGACCATAACGGCAATGTGGGGATATTCTGGCTCGGCAGTAGACGACGCGCGGAATGTAACAAGAGCGAAGACGTCCTATAACATAAGTCAGATGAAGTGGTGGCCACACACGCAAAGCAATTACCTTTACGAACTCCAAGACGGATAGTAACATTGAAGTCGCGATGTCAAAGAGATAACCGGTAGTTTGGATAAATTGCTTGATGAGAGGGAGATTCATGGCTGAAGTTTCCTTGCATTGTCCGCGAGCCGACAGATATGTTCGTCCAGTCGTTTGCATTCTCGGCACACTTTTGAGGTCAATCGACAACAAGAAGTTGTGTTGTGGGTCTATATGGTGACCCCCAAGAGAAAAAAAGGCAAAGAGAGGCAAATGTAAGACAGAAATAGGGGCTAACTATCAATGAAACGAAACGATAACACTGCCCTGGAACTCCGCACTGCAGGAAAAAGCAAAGAAGTTTCCAAGTGGTAATTTAGGTGCATGCTGGAAACTGGAGTTTTGAGTGACACAGATGACATAGCGTGGCGCCGATCAGCCAAGTTAGATTTGCGCGGGCTAATCAACGCTACTCTGCAGCTTATTAGCGGAGGGATCAGACAGAGTCATTTTACTGGTGCGAATCAGTGCAAATTAGATATAACTTAAATACAACTCGACCTGTATATTCGGTACGGCTGAAAAGCAAATCCTGGTGTCGAAGGTTATCGTTCCATCCTTGACTCATCCGGGCTCTTAATCATAGACAATGAAGTGCACGGAGACTTCACACCCAACCACCCAGCTAATTCGCAGCTGATTAGAAGCCAATTCACGGGCTGATGACTGAGACGTGGACGCCGCTTTGTGCCGTCTCTTGATACTCGGATATCAGGGCGGTTTTTTCAAGAGGTTCCGTCCCTCTGAAGTTTACTAAAGTGAAGCTCAGCATGACCCGAGTCAAAAAAAAAAAAATAATTCGGTACTTCCGAGTTCATCGAGGTAAACGAAAATCGATGGCTCTCGAGCTGTTATCTGCTAGAGGCAATCTAGTCTACATCCATCGAACGGTATTTCTTCATGCGGTACGTTAAGTCAAGTTTACGAGACTAGCAATCCAGAAAATTTTGTTAATTGACGGTCAATTTGGTCAAGGACTGCAGATTTTATAACTGGGATCGTCTGCCAATAGTGTACCGTCTCACATCATTCTTACTGATCTTGTAAATGAGGAAAATTCGCGTACCATTAGAGAAGGGACTAGAGGTAAATCTCAATGAGGTATTTTCAATCGAGGTGGAGGCGAAGCAAGCCCATGGAGATAACTAAATCGACTATGACTGGCTTACGTAATGATGAAATTTGATAGTAGATGGAAGGAAAGCAGCGAATACAAAGAGACGGACGAGGGCAAAATCGAGTCGGGTTCGGGTCCGAAGACTCTTGCCTTACTACCATTATGTTCCATCTGGATTCCAACCGAGCCCCAAAATGCCAGCAATTTACACTCAAGATGCCACTGGAAAAAGGTCTCAAATTCACACGCTATGGCCGTCGAAAAGGAAAACAAATCAAATGACAATGGTGTTTATTTGAACAATGCACACCTTTAAAATGTCGCCCAACGCCTCCCCCTCATAATTTACCGCCATGTCCACCTCCTGCGTATGCAGCATCTGCCTCTCCGATTTTATCGACCCCGTTTGCACGCCCTGTGGTACGCTGCTTCTCCCAGAATGATTCTTATTCTGACTCTGACTATCGGTGGCAGGCCATGTCTACTGCTCGAAATGCATCGCAGAAGCCACTAGCTTCCAGCAGAACGAAGGATCCATCACAGCACCGTGTCCAACCTGTCGCAAATCGTTCTCTATCACTGACAACCCTGTCCGTTCCCTGGCCCTTGTCAATAAGCTTAAAACTCACCAAACATCTAGCTCTCCCGTGACTCTCGTGAATACTTTGGCTACCCGCTCCGGAGGCTCTACGTGAGTGGACTACGGGTCAACTTTGAGGGCAAGGTGAAGAGGCTGGAAGAGCGCATCGCGACTTTGGAGCAGGAGAACCAACGGCTGCGAATGCTACCAAGATATATGCAACAGAAAGACGGGGATCGCTCCGTGCCATGGCTGGTTCGTACCCCGCGTAAGGGCGCAGGATTCGCTTCATGGCAGCTGCAAAAGCATAATAGGTCACGCATGTGGTGGCTAGCGAATGGATTTATGTGAGTTTCCCGGCCCTAAAGCTGAAATCATACTCATGCTGCTGTAGATTTGGATTGATGCTGTCGGCAGGGTCTGTTGCAGGTCTCGCCTTGTACGACGCTTTTGGTGGGTACACTCGTTGGGTATTGGATTCTTTGATTTCTGTTTGAGCTTGTATTCGCATTGTTATAGCATCTAAAATTACATGGAAAACCAGGAAGTAAAAGCTGAGATATATTTGCAGCAGTCCGAATAATGTCCATAGAGCTTCTTATCGTGAGTCAAAGGGTAGTTTGAAAAAAGTGAATGGATTCGAGTTACAGCGTAAGGTGTCTGGACGTCGCGATAGACAGTAGTTTTTCAGCCAGCATTCTAGAACAGCATTGGACAAAGATAAGGGTTGTGATGAAGAGCTGTTGTCAGGCCGCCTGCGCTTTGAGGAAGGCAACGAAATCCACACACGCATGATATCATCACACACATACATGTCTTTTTCCTCCAACTGCCTCATTTTCTGCAGGTCATCCTTCTCCTTCATACGCGCGGCCATGAGAATACCGTTGTCTCGCTCGAGGGCGGCGTTATGTGCCTTCAGCGCATCAAGTCGTTGTTTGAACGATTCTGGCTCGATGAAGACGCGTCGGATGCTTGGAATGATGTAACAACGGAATTACTTGGGGAGGGATTCGAGCTAGAAGAGGGAAATAAGAAAAGAGGACAATGGCAGACGAGAGTAAGTAGCGCACCTCTGGTAGGACTAATGATTGAACAAGCAACGGGAAAACAGAAAGCAAGAGAGAAAGTCTCACCAATTGGAAACTCAGTCGGGCAAGTAGGACACGAAGCAGTGAATCCGTTGGGGTTACTCGACAAGATATGGTCGGATACACATTTCAGGCAGTAAACATGTCCTAAAGACAAGTATTCAGCAATATTTCGTATCTGCAGCTTGCTGATACTGACCGCAGGGTATCGAGGCTGGTCGGCATAACCGCAGAGACAATATGGCACACTGAGTAAACACGGTGGAAACTTGGAAGGGTACGGACCACAAATGATTGACGCGTCGCGCGTATACTACATCATCGTCACGGATGCCACCTTATTGCGAATTCGGCTGATAACGTGAACGGTGACGCGTTTCCCGAAATCTAGCAATGACTGGACTCTGAACGCCCTAAGAAACGATATCATAAGTGGCATTACACGAGTACGGGCCGCCTGGCACTCACCACAAACAGTGCAGACTGAATTCCTGAGATGGCCGAGGCATTAGTGCACTGGGGAGCCTGTACCCACATCTAACCTGAGCAGTTTGAAAACGCGTTCATTGCCTAAACGCAGCGCGTATAACGGACACTGGCTTTTGTGACTATGTATGTATGCAGGAAGGACCGTCTGTTGGACAACTAGTTATAAAATGTGGACAGCACCTCAAACGCAGAGCAGAACAGCTTCAAGACTTGAGAAGACAAGTCATAGGACCGAGGCTAGAAGTATTTCTTGTGACAGCAAGCACAGTAGATGAATTTGGGGCAGAAACCAATGAAGGCGGCGTGGAAAACAGACCAGCTTCAGTCTCACCCAGATTGCAATCTTGCAATAGAGCAGCCATCTCGGATGCGCTTGGCACGATCTCTTACGTTCGGGACCAAGGGGCATCTCTGGCGACCCACTGGATATCTCTCTCCAGAACCTCCATGGCTATGCCCAACGACGCTTTCGCCTTGTCAAGCTTTTTTCTGGTCTTACATCAGTTATAGATGATCTTTCAACAGCAAGGGACATACCTCTCGCACCTTTACTCTTAAGTCATAGATAGAGGCTTGCGCCTTCGTAAGCGTACAATCAGCGGAAAGTTGCCGATTTTCGTCCGAGCAGATTTGCTTCAATCTCTCCACCTCAGCGCATTTTCCTTGTAATTGCTTGTGATCGGACTCGAGATTTGCATTCCTCTCCAAGTTTTTGATGCGATTGATAAGCTCCAGCTTCTCAGAGTCGTCCGTAGTTATGAACACGTTCCTAATGGGATCGACAACGAACGGGTGGAACTTCTCCGGCAAGTATCGAAGCTACAAATCAGTGTTTAGCGATGAGCAGTGGCGAGATTTGGGATGGCTGCAGGTCAAATTAACATCACCGTGGAAAAGGAATAAAAAAAAAGACGAACCAATGGGAAATTTCGCTCGGAAAAATGGACATGTAGCCTTGAATCCATCACCGGCGCTATTTCCCCTCCCTGCAATAAACTTGTTTAGACAGTCGGAGCAAAAGAGGTGTATTGAGAGACTGCATCGTTAATCACATTAAGATGGTGGAGTGACTGGTGAAATACTGACCACATGGAATAGAGACGGGATTCGTAAAATCGGAGAGGCATATAACACACTGGGGACTCATACTGGTGGAGTAGAGATACGAGAGGCTGAAGGAATCTCGCTGCTGGATTTCATTACACTCTAATAGTGGCGTCAGACAAAGAACTGTCATATACATCCCAGAAGTGCCAGCACATCTTTGTTTCTTTCTTTTCAAGCTATTGCATGCACCGCCACAGCAACAATGGACATCTGCACACAGTTGGGGTCCATCAGTCTGAAGATGGACGATACGACCACACGAAGCATACTTACAAATCATTTCCCTTGCTTCACGGACATTGATAACGGCGAGAAAAGGCCAAGCTAGCAGGGATCTTTGTTCTGTTGAGGTTCGTCATTTCTTTCTATAACAGTTTGAATGGCATCAAGGACCTGAAAATTGAACATTGAGCCATCGGAGCATAACAAGACTTCGATTTGCGAAACTTAATGTACCTCTTGGATCGGTCGTTCCAGTCGAAGCCATCGTGAGTTGCAGCCGATGCTCAGGGTGACCGGCTCAAATCCGCGGTACTGTAGTAAAAGTCTGTATAGATAATGTTTATAGTACAATATGTACCTAGTACAGTCCGAGAGCCATCGAGACTAGGTGCTGATTACAACTGCTGTAAGTATGAAATATTGATACACAAGCAAAGCCAGCTTCAACATATATGGGCACGGCTTCACCACCTGAATACTATAGGCCAAGTTCCTTGCCACCCCATTGGTAACTTATCCTCAGCGGATCTTCGGCTAGATGAGACTCATCACCATCTGGGTCTTCTTCAAATACACGGCGTAGCGTCCGCATCGGTACTCCCAGATGTCGTTGTAGAAGTGAAACGACATGTACTGGATTAATGATCATGTTCGTGCCTCCCTGGCTGCTGGGCTCGACTACCAGCACAGCGTATGTCTGAGAGAGCACCGAAGCTTCTTCATATATGGTCATCGACGTGTAACTGGTAGGCATCATCTCAATTACCACCGTTCCTCTCGCAGCCCAGCGGTGGTGGTACATCGCTCCACCATGAGGACCAATTACTGCCATGACGTTCTCGTTGCACCATTTAAAGAACTTTGGAACGTTATCGAGCATGCCCTCTGAAAAGATGACGACTTCTTCGTCTTTCCCTCGTTCTGCGAGATAGGCTTCGATGGCACTGAGAAGTTCCGGCTCATTGAGGACTCTGCGTCCTCTGTTCCGCATGTGGATACCACGTTCAGATCGCGACATATACAAGATCTGCTTTAAAGATGAGACCGAATTCAAGGACCGATAAAATCACGCACCTTGTTCCTTGTAGGAGAGGGCTTCATATAATCTATTCCAAATGCCTCTAACGTTTTCAATGACAGCCATGGATGAACCAACACGGTTCGACACGAAAAGATCATTCTGTTGGCGAGGATGTCCTTTCTGGCTCGATACAGGACGTGTTCATCATCAAAGCCAAGTCCTTTCCAGAGCTGCTTGACGAAACCGTTTCCCTGTCGACCGGTGATAACATATGGGGTCTCGGGACCGTAGGTGAGATGAGAACCTTGTGCGATGATATGCGTTATATGATCAAGATGATGCTGGAATGCGAAGGATTCGGGTGATAGTGCAACCAGAGCGGTACCGTAGATACTCGGAGGTTTAGGTCGAGCCAGGACTTCACTCGCATCAAACGGTTGGATGCCTTCGGACGAGCCTAGTTTGGCCATACATGCATCGTCAGACCAGCGGTCGTACGATTTTGGAGATAGATATGTGACATTTTCAAAGACCTATTTGCATCGTGCTCAAAAGACTGTTCATAAAAGAAAGAAAATTGCAACACGCACAAAATTCTGCCCAGACTGTCCTTTGTACACTAGCCAATCATTGGCTTGTAGTACCCCACGTTCTTTAATGCTCATCGCAGCCTTCCGCCACTGTGCGCGATGTTCCGACGTCGCGAAATAGGGTTGTCGTATCTCGAATGCCGGATACAACAATTCCTCCGCATATAATACTTGTTTCGGCAGTCTTTGCGCTACACATGGTGCATAGTAAGGAGGCAGACCGAAAGTGCAATTGCTCAAGCTGAATGGGGCCCAATATGCGCTCGGTCTTGATGTGGTGCCATTATAAATAGACAGCTGGAAATATTCGGCGAGATTGTGAGATTCCTGGCCTGCAGTGTACACATATTTTGGAGGTAACTTGGTCTGGTTGGGAATGAGAAAATCGTGAAAGGTGATGTAAAGTGTTACGGACAGCATTACAAGGAGCATGAATGCTGTTCGCCGTATGGCGCGAAAAGCCATTTTGCGGCAACAAACAAAGTGAAGGGCAATGAGCGCATTGCGCAGCAACATGAATGATTTCCCACGACGACCACGACGATGACCACCTCGGCCGGACCGGCGAGCCTGCACTTACGCTTTTCTGTTTATACCACCATCGTCAGCGCTATGGCTAATTTGACACACATCTAAAAATGTAGTAATGACTGGACAGTGACTCTGAACGAACTCGCTGCATACGACTCCACGTCGTGCCTCAAAGCAAACGCTATTTCTTCAGTTTACTTCTGACTTGTTCACTTGTCGGTTTCATGACCACCAAACGTCGACAACAAGCACCACACGAAGTCCTCGATACAGCTTTTGGATCCCAAGGCGGGCCAGTATTCAGCAGTCAATAATTTTGATAAGATCTTTTACATCGGCTTCAGGAGGAACAACTTTTCTAGTACAGACCATTATGGACGACAGCGAAAATTTTATTCTCTGCGCAGAGTTCGTTGGATTTCAAGACCTCGGGCCTCAAATGCAGGTATGTTCTCATGTTCACACTCGATACTGTGCTGACTTAGGACCCCAAGTTCTCTAGTACTACTGGTGCAGCCTTGCTCGAGGGAGGAGTGGAGGGTTACCAGCGTAGTCCTTTTGGCACCCCGGAATCTCGCTGCGGTAGTCGCCTCCTGATTCTTAATGACTCCGAGGATGGTTTCGGCTGGAGCTAAACACCCAGGATTCTTGCGTCCGAATCACAATATTCTCTTCCACTCCCTCCCTTCCGTCAGACACAAAAATCATTCAGATACGACTATGCATGAGTTGGCCATTGTGTAGCCCTATCATTCACACAAAGATCCTTCTAAAGTACTTCTTCAACCCGTCCATTCCCCGTACGAGCCCGCCAACCATCCCATCAGGGCGAACAATAACGACCTTGGTGACCTTCTCCGCCATATTATAATGTTTATACGCATACCCATCACCATCCGCCAATACGTAGTCAGCGGAAATGACGCCCGTCGGGTTCTGGGAAAGAATGACTACGGACTTGACAGCACCGGTGGGATAACTCTTCAGAGCCTCCACAACTGCGATGTTATCGTCAGAGAAGAAGAGCACTGTGTGGTACGATGAGCCAAAAATGTCAAAAAGAGATGTCTTGCGTGTGGGGTCCTTAACGAAAGTGAGACCAGGTGCGTCGGGGGCTCTGTCACCACCCCGGACAGTACCATCGTTGCCTGAACGATACGGGTCGAAGATCTCTTCGCCATGAACCGGGGTTTCGTCGACAATGATGGGACTACCGCGGTAGTTAATTCCGAATTGACGAAGCTCGTAGCCTCTGGCCCAACCTGCTTGGGTGCCTCCGGGGGTAAAAGTTTTCATATGGAGCTCAGAGGTCTTATCAAGCATTGCTGCGATGATAGGGATGCGTTCTTGGGAATAACTGTCCAGGAGGCTCTGAGGAGCCAAATTTTTCTGAACCAGAGCGAGCTTCCAAGCCAAGTTGATCTATGGCCACGTCAGGAACCTTTCATGTATATTAACTATTTGCCTCACTCACAGCGTCTTGGATACCCGAGTTGAGTCCCTGACCACCAGTAGGGCTGTGAACGTGGGCGGAATCTTGTCGCGAATTAAGATAAGAGTACTTACTCACGTTGAAAAGAAAGCTTACCTCCGGCAACAAAAGCCCGTCCGGAACCGAAGCTGTTCACCATTCGAACGTTAGGCCTGAAGGTGGAGTGTTAATTAATGTTTACAATAGCAGAAGAATACTCACTGGAAGGTGGAGGCCCAGATGAGGTCGCCAAACTCGATATCGGTGCGACCACTGATTCCATAAAAAGCCTTGATAAATTCCTCCCGGCTGGATGTTGCTTTTGCGGCATCCAAATCACAACCCATAAAAAACAAAGTATACTTGTCCTCGTCTCTGGTCCCAAAATGTACGACAGTTACACTATGAAGTGGCTCAGAATTGAGTTGCCAGATAATTCAACGTGCAGATACGTACCTCTTTGTCGCTGCTTCGCCCCATAAATGCCATAGCTTCGAATAAGAACCTCAATTTCCGAAGGAAAAATCTGACATGAAACGCACGTCTTTGTCCAGCAACCGCTCTTTAATATAAATATCACCCACGATCATATTATCTCCCTTCCGCGTCTCTCCAAGGAACGTCAAGCCCAGCGTTTTACGGACGACGCTATGTGAGCCCTCGGCACCTATGATCCATTGACTCTGAATGGACTCTTCAAACCGTTGCCCATCACGAGTCCTTACAACGCGAGAGACGACTCCATCAGGGAGCTGTTCAAAAGACACGAGCTCAGTGCCCAACTCGACCGTGATACCATACTTAGCCAAGTGCTTGCGGAGAATATCTTCCTGTAGGTCTTGGCCTACCATTATAGGGTTGATCTGAAAGCCCCAGAGAATCAATAACAGAGTTGAGATTCTTTTAAAAGTCACCTACATAAGGTCGGTCGGGGGTGTTCTCCATGTAGGCTATCACCTCAGTGGTCTTCGTCTCACCCCCCGGAAGATAATGGATCATTGGCGAACAGAATCCACCTTTCTTCAGAATATCAGGAAGAACACCAAGGATCTTGAATAGCTCAAGGGTCCTGGACTACGTTGTGACTTAGATGAGGTACTATCAATGAACTTGGATGAAATTAGAACCTGGATGCCAGCGCCCCTCTGGCCGACCTGATATGTGGACGCTTTGTCTATGATTCGAACAGAGACACCATTCTGGCGCAAAGCAATAGCCAAGGAAAGACCTGAGGGTCCAGCACCGACCTAAGCAAGTGACGGTAAGATAAATCCAAATGTACAGGAAGAATAGCCACGTACAATGAGAACAGACGCGTTCATGGTTATGATGATTGTAGAAAATATGTGAGAGTATGTTAGAGCCGAGAGTAGAGCGGTCTTCTTTTTTGTAGTCCTGCATGGGTAGCTAAAAGTACCGACAGACTTGTCGGGACACAGTAGCTCACGTTATCATATGCATCTTATCAGATAATGATTATCTTTGGTCTTATCAAATGACGGGGACCAACGGCAAGTCAGGCACTCATCAGTGTCGGCGCTCAAAGCCGACATCAGGTTCCTGATTAAACTTTGAAGGAAAAGTGTCAGTATGTACTCAGCTTGAGATTCTGTTCGCAAATCCGACATCTAAGATTCAAGATCTAAATTCGCACTGTCAAATCCAGTGGAGGAGGCTTAGAAAAGACTTGAACTCTCACGGGACATGATGGTGACAAAAGAATTTATGTCTTCATCGGTGACGATAACTCTCCGGGGACTGTCAGCAATCATAGATTTGTACTTTGTCAGCACCAAGTTTTGGCTTACAAGTTACAGTCATCACTAACAAGCCGAAGACCACGAAGATTCGTGTCTTCGTCACGATGATCAACCTGACTATGACACGGGTTGTAGGCTTGTCATCACCAATGCATAATGACAACATGGATCGCAGGAGACTGACCCACTAACAGGCAAGTTGTGCTGTTGTCATCGTTCAAGGTCCTTCTGATCCCTTCGGCAGCTGCCGGGGCCAAAGTTTAAAGGTGAGTGCGGAAAGCACGCCGAAATATCGTGGTACACGTTCCCTATATCCAATTGCAAGGCAATTTCATTGTACAAAGGCACATTACTGGATACTGACAAGGCGCAATCCGAAGTCAGCCGTGACATCGATGGTGCTAGATCGCAAGTTATTCACTACAACAGGAGAGGAGGACAGGTCCTCAGGAGACTCAACAAGGGAAAACGCACATAGATCCAGAATATTTTTTCGCACTAGTCGAAGTGGGCGGTACGCAGGTGGTCTTCTGGCTAGGCTTCTGCAGGATGGTTATTTCGTCTATGTTCCAGTCGATTGGCGAGGCTAGGAGCAGCCGTAGTCGATCTCTGATGTTCTTCTACTTTTGCCAGGTTTCGGAACATCCGTGAGCGTGAAGAGGAGCGTCTACCAAGGTGGTTATTATCGTCTAGGTTGCCAGTGCCATCAGATCTACAGCCTTTGACATCAGTAGTAACGAGGGTCCTAAAGCTCACTCAAACCACAGGTCTAACAATGTAATATGAGAGGTAACAACACACAGCGTGTCGTCAAAAGCTCTATTGTGCTTCATATGCTTGTCTTTGTGGTACACCATTTCGGAAAAGGCGACTCTAATTTTTTGGTCTTGTTTCTTCTCCGCCTCTAATCGGTCGTGGAGCTGAGAGAGAGCAAGCGAATGGACTTTTGACTGTTCTTTGAGGCGCCTTCGATCCAGTGTGATACGATCTTTCGCGGGCTTCAATTCCTGCTTCAGGTTATCAACCTCTGGATATGGGGACGTGTTCAGAAATCGGACGTGGTGGCTATTAGGGAAGATGAACTGGCGGAGGGAACGAGGTAGATGTCCGGGCTTTGGAAAATGAAATATCAGACATGTTATTGACAGGGAGGTGCAAGAAAACTGTAATGCAGCCTAAGATCACTGACAGACTGAAGGACTAACCTATCGGAAACTTTACTCTGCAAGCGGCACAAGACGCTTGAAATGCATTAGACCGTGCATATCCGGCATAGAATGTGCCCTACAGTATCGTCAGTTGCAGGAATCAACCTCAAACACTACCCAAGTACCGCAGGGAGTAGAAACGGGGCTGTCGCATTGAGACAAATATGTCATGCATGACTAACATCTAACAAAGGCAAAAGGTTTCGCAAAAGGTCTGATGGTAAATGGGAGAAGGGAAGAGGTACCGGGTATTTCCGTCATCCCGGACCGATCATTTGGTCCTTCGCTAGTCTCGTAAACCAGACTCAACGATCCGTATGAAGATAAGTCGTTCAATGGATGTAGTTGCCTGTGTTCTCACTAATCGTGTTGAAGTGGAAAAGAAAATTCGCTGTTGCGCATCAATCCTTGAGGTCTTACGACGGTCAAACGTCGGCGCGAAATATATGTAAGGACTCGATTATTTGGTGAAATAAGTGTGTAATGTACAGGAGACACTCAGGTAGTCAAGATTTGAACCCCTTTGGCCTTCTTTCCAACCTTCGCAATCTTCTTCGTAGTCTTCGTCTTTGGTATGGATACAGACATCTTCGTCTTCTTCGACGCAACCAAGATGGTCTCCTGGGACGTTGCTACTGCCTCTTCGACAATGGTCCCGATACGCTTCAACTGAGCGGATGCCTTCCGAGGGAAGAAAGCCTGCGACGAAGGGGTGAACGGAGTGATGACAGGAGGGGAGGCAGTTTAGAATGACGATGACATCCGTCGCACGAGCGGCCTCATCTCAGCCTTGGCAGTATGAGCGACACGCCTGATTTCCTTCTTCATGTGGCTAGGCGCAGTGGGGAAGCGTTCTATAAATCATTCATGAGTGAAACGGTCTGGCAATGATGGAAAAATGACTTACTCTTAGCGCCCGCTTTCGTGTGTTCCGCAATGACATTGTCACATTCTGACAACGTTTCAACCAAAATAGAGCTGGATGATGTGAAGCATACCTGTGATGAGGACGGAGCCACCATCGTTGAGTATCGAGATATGGAAGGTGTCATTGACTGACACGCTTAGAATAATAACAGAGCGATGATGCTCTATGAATGCAATCAGCATGAGTGTGACGAGAACCTCTAGAGAGAAACATACCTTGATGACACGAAATACGGCCTATGCCTGGAACAATTGGGTGTTGGTGTTGTTAATCACGTTTAGTAGGGAAAATTTCAAGGATAGCGGGAGTATTTATTCGCTAAGAACGGGGGTGATCGAGGTGAGTATAGGAGAAGTGGCCCGTATTGTGAGACACCCCACCCATGAACTCGGAGAACAGAATCTCTAACCCTAGCGGACCTGAGTTGCGTGGATATATCCTTCAAATATCCGTTGTGACCTAGTGAGTTAGTAAAGTCGCTTTGTGGGACATGTGCGGGTATATACATACATCTAGAGATAGACGCGGAGGCATCTCTCGACGCGAATAGGAGCTAGTCTTTCTGAAGCTATCCAGTGGCAGTCCTCTAAAATTGAAACGGTGGTGCATACACAGCCATACCTTCTGGAAGGGAGAAGGGCATCATTGCAGGGCCACAGTTTGCCAATGAAATCGTCGACTGCTTCCTGTAACGCCCGAAAGAAGTTTCAGAAAGTAGCTTATATGGTGAGACAGCTTACCTCCGAGTTCAGCGAACATTCTTTATTTCTACGGACTCAAGCACTTTTCTTCGAATACTTGTCGCATTCTCTGGCAAGTATTACGAAGCGAATTCGAGCTGAAACGTGTAGTCACGTTGTGGGTCCATGTATATGCAAAAATAGATCCACGGAGGCAATTTTTGACAGCGATCAGGGCCTTGTTTTCCCGCGCCGAAACTGAAATTGAAACGACAATGGGCTCATTATGTTTGAAGGGGCACAGAAAGCACAGCCACAGATTTGGTTTCACTCAGGAGTCCCTTTGAGTCTGAGTGCAACCACGGGCCGCAGCGTTGGCCTTCTCGTCTTCTCTTATTATTCCCTCGTAGATAGGTTACACTCGGACCATCAGTATTCAGTATATATACGCGTACTCACTACATGATAGAGCATTCTTGTATTCCCCTTCCAATCCAGTATCTCCCCTCTGCGTTCATCGCCGTCCGAACACCTACATATGTGAAACGACCGTAAAGATGAATGTTGGACTAGATGGTGAAGTCATTCAGAATCGGATTCAAGGAAAGCCCAGGCATCATGGTTGTCTCGGTTTCTGGAAGTATTTTGAGATGGGTGTGGTGCAGCATTGATTGGAATCCTGGGAAATTTTGTTCTCCCTTTCCGAATCTGCAGCGCTGCAGGACTTGGGATTGCGATGGGTAAATGAACCGTCCGAGATTGCCTCCGTTCGAATCCGATGGCAGGGAGAGAAGATGGAAGATTAGGCTGTGGTGGCGACAGGTCATCATTTACATGCGTATCCAAGTTGCTGTTACGTTCTCGCCGGACACGTTTGACGCTACGACATGGGAGTGAATGGGTGAGACGCTCTTGAGCAGGAGAATCTCCTTCGTTTCCATCGGAGCTACCGTCCTCGAATCGCACGCGCTTGATGCCAATAGTCGCAGGAGAGGAAGAAGCCGACGACAGGGACGACCTATTTTTCACAGTTGTTAATAAAAATGGGAGACAAGAAGCAGCCAACACCGTACCTTGCCAAATTCGCTTCCCTACGTGCTTCTTCCAGCAGCTCACGCGTATGTGTCGTCTCCTCCTTCGCTGTCTTCCTCTCCGCCTCTAGCAACCTCTTTACTCTTTGCAACTCGATTGTTGCACCCCGCTCTCCCCTGGCATGAGCCGCAGATTCAGCCATATACCTTTCGCACGACTCCATAAGGTCCCGATTGTCTCGCTCGAGAGTGGCGTTGCGCGCTTCCGACACTTCGAGCTTATGTTTGAGCTCTTCATAGGACTCGGAGGGATTTGGCTCAATGAAGACGCGCCGTATACTCGGAGTTATGTAGCGGTGGAACTGTTTGGAGAGGGAGTGAAGCTACAGGATGGATAACTATTAAACGAGAAGTGACGAAGCCGGAGCAGACACACCTCTGGCATGACTGGAATAGCAAGGTTAGAAGTAAACAAAATGGAGCAGTTGCAGATATCATACCGATCGTAAACTTGGTTCTGCATGTAGGGCACTTGGCCGTGAATCCGTCCCTGCTACTGGTCGAAATACAGTCATGTAGGCATTGCATGCAGTAGACGTGTCCTGAGGGCAAAATGAATATTTCGCGTTTGCAAATTGCTATAACTGACCACAGGGAATAGAGACCGGCTCCTTATAGTCACAGAGGCAAATCGTGCACTGGCCTGACATGGTGGTGGCGGGAAGAGGAAGAGGATGTAAGAGGAACAAGAGAAGAAAAACAAACAAGGAATCGTCCAAACGCTATTCTAGCACGTGACCGATGCGACGCGTCAATACTTCTTCCGAACCGTCGCGTTCTCTTTGATCACATTCTTTCAACTGTCTTTTGCTCTTTTCTCCTCCACGACTTTCAACTAGTCCCCTTCAATATAACCAAGCGAATTATGGCTCCTGAATACTCCAAGCATCATTCAATGGAAGCTCAAAGCTCGATTTACGAAGCAAGTTCCAATGGTCAGTGGCATCGGGTGAACGATAGCTTCTAACTAGCTGATTTCTCTGCTTAAAGAAAATAGCAAGGAATGTGCGGTTTATCTCAGCGGTTCCCTGCAGAGCCCTTCTCGCTGCGTGTGTAACTCTGAATTTATAATGGGTACGTATAATGTTTTTGGCTTTAAGAACGTTATCGTTATTCAATTATGTATCGCTCCCTAAACAGACTTTCCAAAAGTGAGTACATATGTCCTTTCCTCCTTTGATGCCCAACTGAGTGTGATCTTCTTAGACTATACATCAGCAACCATGTTCTGAGGACAAGAGACGTGTTACGGACATGAGTGAAGGTTTTATGCAGGCACAACGACCTTCTTCAGAACTCTCTGCGGAAGTGGGGCATTTAACACAGCAGCTCCACGCCACTCGCGTAATAGAAAATCGCCTCACCCAAGAAAAAACGAGTCTTATAACTTTCCATCAACGCGAGATGGACGATTTGAAACACAAATTCTCAGAGCAGAAAGTTAAACAAGACATCAAAATATCTCTCCTGGATCTTGAAAATGCTTTCCTCACTAGGCAAGTCCACAATGCAGAGGCCAAATTGGTGCAATCGAAGGCAAATGTGGATGATCTCAAACAGCTCACTCAGGCTCTGCAAACGACCATCGACAAATACAGGTCGGACTCGGCAGCAGATGTCCGAAACCTCAGAGAGCGGCTGGAAACCGATAAGAAGGATATTTTAGCCGAACACCAGAAGACTAAGGCAGTACTGCAGGGGTTCCAGTCGACAGCGACGTTGCTGCAAAAGCGTATTGAAACGGCTTATGCAGCGAACCGCGCTTTGGAGAGCGAGAAAATGCGATTCAAACAAGAAAGCGAAGAGGCAAAGAGGAAGCTAGACGAATACGAAGCCATTGTGGAGACGCTTAGAATACGCTTTGGAGAGATGGAAACCGGCATGTTGGCTGCAAAAGTTGGATCTGACCGGATGAGGGGCGAGCTTGAAGAATATTGCCAGGGAACCACTGAACTAGAGGCTGTTAACGCTAGGCTGGGTGGCGATCTCGAATCCGCCGAGAAGAAAATATTTCTCTTGACAACAAACAACGAGTTGCTGCTCCAAACGATCGTAAATATTCGTAGCCCTAACTCAGATCTTGAGGCCATCCAAGCCGAGTCGCTGCGTCTCGCACAAGAGAACTTGCAGTTGCAGGAAAGACTGCTGGAGTATGAGGAGCAAGAAGTTGAGAGGGCAGTACTTGACTACGAAGAGTGAGTAATCGTGTTTATTGTTTATGTTCGATCCTGAATGCAGTCCCCATCCCAGTGACCAGTTGTTCGACCAGCCTGAGGAGGATTCACACTGTACGATGAGAAGTGCTAATTCCCTAGCGGATTTCATTGCCGGCGAGGCACCTGAAGATGGAGATGCACCTCGTTCCCGTAGCGCGTCCGAGAACGATGGGCCTCCGTCGTATTGATACAGAAGGCCAATTCATTTGTCTTCGATATGATAAGGCTGATGAGGTTCTCATGCGGCAATTTAGTATATGTCAGTTCTTCAAATCAGATAAATGAAAGAGCACAACTGCTAGCCATTTCCGCAGCTATAGAGTAATATGCGTTCAATTGAGGCTGCTGGTGTACTACAGGAAATTGAATTGAGCATGATGCTGCCGCAAAAAGCTCCGCCAATTGTGTGCGACCAAGACGTAGGTATCGATGTAGTACACAGGAAATTTTGTGAAAACAGATCTGTGATGAAGAGAAATTATTGGAAATCATTGTATATATCCGCCTCGTATCGCTGGCCGCAGCGAGGTGTAAACAAAATATAAACCGCTGTTCGCTGACATGCCTTGAATAGATATCTCTCACTTTCCCCGAAAATGACTGGCGGAAATATAATAATTGTCCAATGATGATACAAGTAAAATTTCTTGGATAAAAAGATATTCAAACTTTGATGACCTCCCAAATGCTTTCGAGAAAAAACCGTTTGGCCTTCTTGCCAACCTTCGCAATCTTCTTCGTAGTCTTCATCTTCATCATGGAAACAGACATCTTCTTCGTCTTCTTCGACACAACCAAGATGGTGTCCTGGGACGTTACCACTGCCACTTCGACAATGGTCTCGACGTGCTTCAACTGGACGGAAGCCTTCTAAGAGAAGTTAGCGTCCGACGAAGGGGTGAACAGAGTGATGACAGGAGAGAAAGCAGTTTGGAATGACGATGACATCCGTCGCGCGAGCAGCCTCATCTCAGCCTTGGCAGTATAAGCGAGATGCCTGATTTTTTTCTTCACGGGGCTTCAAACTACAGTACATTTTTAGAGATCAGTCCAGTGCATCGACAGTCCAGTTAACTTCATTCAATGGTTATACGCCGTAAGAGGAGACACCTGTAGGTTATCGATTTTCCAAGCGAAAGGACAGATGGCTGCTGAGACTGGAGGAGCTGTTCAGCGACAATACCTAGATAAATATTGCGACTGTCCAAGTTGGCGTCGTGGTCTGCCAAAATTTTAAATCCATCCGGCGACTGCCGAGCTGTATTTCAAGGCGACAGCCGGCTTCAGATTTCAACTCCGCCAACGAAAAAGTGTCCTTGTTCACAGCAAAAAACGAGCTATTTCTCCGGAACATTGTTGATCTTCGAAATTCTGAATGAGATTCTTAATGGTGTCTCGCTCGAGAGGATTTGGAATTCAGGAAGGATTGTTAGACAACGAGAAGATGGAGGTGGAAGGGTCATTACTCGATATTCATAGGCAAGCTGATGGGCAATCAGGCTCTCAGTTTCTTCGACCCGTATAGTGACGGTATTTAGGTCGTATCTGATTCCAAGACGTGGTGCCCGTACCTCAGTGAGAATTTTTGACCAAACAAAAACAAAATCACGAGGAGGCACGCTGTTAAGACCGGGCCCAGGCCAGAGAAAGACGTGTTAGCAACACACCTATGAGTTCAAGGAAGGAAACCTTACGGCGGATCTTTAACTGCTTTCAATGTAATTGCTTGTTGTCGTTCTCCAGTAATTGTACTTGGCAAACACCAGAAAGCTCAACCTGCCACATAAGATCTCGTTATGGGTCCGCGTGTACACAAAAATGGCTCCGCGGAGACAATCACTGGCCGTAAATAGGGGCTTGTGATAGACCGATATGAACCAGTAATGGAATACAATACCCACTTACTTATTCACTTCAAAACATGACTATCCGATGCTCTAAGTGTTACTCCGAGCTTCAAGACCCCTTCTGTACGCCATGAGGTGGATGGAACTCTTTGGAGTTATGTATAATGGCATCGGTTCACTTTTTTCTTTGATATTTTAGGCCATTTGTACTGCAGCACATGCCTACGAGGTCTAACGGCTCAAGGTCATGTACCCTGCATCTGTTTCTGTTGCATTTGTCAGGCATCCATCCTATTTGGTAAGCTTTTTTCTCCTTGGAAATACCAGCCCGAAGATTGATAGAAAATGAACAACACACAGATCTAACCGATGATGAGGTGAGCATCTCAGGTTCTCTTTGAAAGTCTGTTGATACTAAGTTCATTCCTCCCTTTATCTTTACTATCTTTTACCTTTTTTTCTACTAGCTTTATCAGGCTGGTCTTCCTGTATTGTACCTTCAACTGGCTGCGAACATGTCGTGTAATCTATGCATTTTTGTTCTTATGAAGCCTCTGTTCTCCCTGCGGTGAGCTTCTCTGTCCTGCATGTCTGCTAGGACACATCACAGCAACAGGCGTTAGGAACGGCAATGGTGCACGGTAATGCACAACGACAATTACCACGTTTGACAAGGAGAGACTGGCTGTTCTTTCTTCAAAAAACGACTTAACAGCGTGTCGCCATAACGAGTTCTTGTCAGACAGAGCCTTACGATACAATCAGAAGCTAAGGGTAACAGAGGAGCTGGTCGCGACCTTACAAGCAGCAAAAAGGAGCCGCTGTCCTATCTCTGAACGTACGTGCGATCAGTGAAGACCTGCATCAATAGATGAGAAAGAAGGATCTTTCGTTACTCGAGATGCTTCTCCCCACCGAGAGAAGCCCCGCTCACCACGGTGTAGTGAACAGCTCAGACCAACGTCGAACGCAGGTCAAGAAGTTGAAACGATCCCCGAGAGTCGTCCCCTCTCCCTGAATATAGAAAAGGCCAGCCTCGTGCATAAAAGCCAAGCCCACTCGAGCCCTTCTCAAGACCACGAAGCTTACAGCGGACAGATGTCGCTGGCAGAAGCCGCTTCGCCCGACTTCTTTTCCGACATCCCAAATAGAAGGTATGGCCATACTTAGTAACCGGTTTCGAGGGTGTTGCTTATCGCTAGTCCGCAGCCAAGGCTCCCCACTGTCGAGCGTCGCAAGAGAGATCCGTCTGCATGCGCACCTGAGAAGGGAGAGAAGGGAGTAACATGCCAGATTATGAAGGTTCCCAACTTGTAAATGCCAGCTTCCAGGTTGAGATCTTCAGAAGCTGGTCCTTTCATTGTAGGAACGAAGCGCAAAGCCAGGTAAGGAGTAGATCAAACGAGTATTCATCTGCACATACAACATTGCAAGGATGTCAACCTACGAATGGAACACCCTTTACATGCGAAAGCAAAATACGTACAGAGACCTAAGATATGGTTAGGACAAGATCCGTGCGTAAGTAGGACTGCTTACAGCATGCCACAATCACGTCTGCGAGGTTCGTATTAGTAGCAGAAACGAGAGGAGCGCTGCATTGTGTTACGTTGTCATAAGATAAAAGGAGCCAGCCAAAGAGCGTATGGGGAAAGAGGTGGAAAATATACTGAACAAGAATGAGACTCTACGGCACCATCAGAACCAATGAGAAAGGGTAGCGATATCGCACACTGACTTTACAGAGAATGACGGTGTGCATCGTGCGCAACGGGTACAATCTGCAAAGTCGAGCGTTAACTAAGAAAAGGAGGTAAAAAGCAGAACGCGTACAATTTACGAGAATGTTGAACCGATGGGTCCGTACTTGATGTTGGAGTAAACGACGGATGAGTCGGAGTACTCGGACTCGACAGTAGAGGGAACACCAGAGGCCGTGGCGCAGGGTCCACGAGAGATACCGGGCTGGGAGGCGTCAGGGTCAGTGGGGTAGTCACTGTCGAGCCACAGCATGTCAACGGCATGGTCGTCCCAAAGACTCATGACCAACACCATCCCTGCTTCGAATGCATCACCCATGGCTGTGAGTCCTGTTGATAGCAGGTTGCGTAGCGCAGCGGGGAAAGCCAGGTCTGGAGTCGAAAGTCAAAAGCTAGTAAGCGTTGACTTTCGATCTCCAGTATTGGTAGCTACGATTATGTAAGGTAAGAGCGACATGGAGGGTGTGCTACTTCAACAAGTCCACCCCTGTCTTCGAAGGAGTTGGTGTCACCAAAGAGCGTCTTCGGCGCGTTGCAGAAATTGTCAGTGATGGAGTTATACGCGCTGATACCGGAAAAGTCAGCAGCCGAGTTCTGGATGACCTTGCCGTTCTGGACATAGATCCGTCGAATTTCGACAAGGTCTCCGGTAGTGGTGTTGTCGGACGTAATGAATTGCGCGACGACGGTGAACTTGGAGTTGGTATCGACGGTCAAGCCGGGTCCGTAGAAAGTCTCATCTCCCATGCGCCACGAGTTGAAGTCGCGGCCATCTTTGTCGCAAACTCCGTCGTACCTCTCGTCGCCGTCACCGCAGGCTGTGCCCTTGCACCCGGTCTGACCAGTGATGCCCTCACAGACGTGGGGATTGACGTCGGTAGCTGAAGGAGTCCAGTCAAGTATGTTGGCCTGTCAGAATATTAAGTCGCTATGAAGACTAAAAAAAAGACAATTACCTGTCCGTTAATAAACTTGATATCGTGGGGACACTGAGTGTCACAGTAGCCCGTTCCATACTTGGCGCCAGCGGCGTTGGCGGCGTACTTCGATTTACCGCCGTCAGCGTCCATCTGCGTGAAATACAATGCACCACTCAACCCCGCAAGGCAAGTTGGACACGTCGACGTCAAATGTGAACTCCTGGTTTTTCAAGTTGAACAAGTGGTACGTGTTCTCGTCATCGAGCAAGTAAACACGGCTACCAATGTTGGTAGTCGATCCATAGGTGACGAACTTTAAAGTGAGCGCGTTACCGCTGGTCGTGATACCGTAAGTGCCGGAGTAGTCTGCGCCGTCCAAAGCACAGTTGGCAGTGCAAGTAGCGACGTCAGGACAAAGGGTGGAATCCCATTCGTTACCAGTGTAGCAGTTGGTGTAGTCACTAGTGCTATGGAGCCAGCGCCAGTTAGCGTCAAGAATGACGGACTTGGACTGTGTTGTGCAGCTGCCGCCGGTAGAGCATTGCTGGACGGAGAGTGTGGGGTGGGTTGATCGAATGAGGGCGAAAGCAAAGATAGCTGCCGTGCCATACATTATGTTTTGAAGTGCTGAGAGGACTGGTGATTATTTCGACATGAACAGTGTCGTTTATATACAATACACCTCAGGGAAAACCTGGGGATGAATGACAAAGCCTGAGAGTCATTACAAGGCTGTAAAGCCATCCACAGACAGGAGAGTAACTAATCACATCATTCGCTACTGGAGACTCTTCGGTCTTGCAGATATCAGGTTTTCATTTTTGAGTTCACAAGACACAAGCTGCTTCAGATTGCTGAGAAGCTCCCGAAAGCAAACGACCCGTGCTGAGAATTATATAGATGGTGTAGTATGTTACTGTTGTGGGACGACACAAGTACCTGATGTCAACCTTATATAAGCATAGACAGTTTTGTCCTGAGTCGACGGTCAACTGCCTTTAAGCAATTGACCGTCGTACTCAGCCTGGCCGTTATTCACTGCATGCTAATAACCTGCCTGCAGCAGTTACTTGTTACGAACTCGAAGAAACCGAAGTCCATCATAAAAGTGAGTGAGTTTAGTAGTCAAACGAATGGCATAGAGACCTTCAATGAAAGCCTAGTATTTAGACGACAAGTCTGCCCTGAAAGTGGGATGCGATCGGCAAGAAGATGGTGTCAGGACCATTTTTAAATCCAGATGCTAAATTGAGTTGAAAGAGATCGAGCTTCTTCTTATACTTAGCACTTCTTCAATGCATGAGTATCCTGTGTCTCTGAAGAGTGGCTGGAGGAGCTCCTAGAGCAAGCCCGTAGTTAATCGACCAGCAATAATGGAAAAAGAGGCCGAGTACCAAGGGACATTAATCCGAGGGTAGGAAGAAAGCATTATCATCACACGGAGGGTTTTCTGACGCTCCAAGTAGAGCAGAACTGGGGGCCTCTCTGAGGCCAATAGCGAATCGACGGAGTATACATTGCCACACAAGAAAGCATCTGATAGACTAGATAGCGTAGGTGCAGAAACTTGATCCTTTTGAAGCCAGATGCAGCTAGATAGTCGTAAAAAATGCCTTAAGAATGATTGTGTCTAGGAACAACACGTGAGTTCGAAGCTGAAGCCGGCCCGTCTACCCGGCACGTGGGTGAAACTTTTTCTGCGATTTTTTTCCATCAACACTTGTGACTTTCATGAGATTGTTCTACTCCGCATCGACTGACGTTGTAGATGGGTCGCGCAACCCTTTGCTGTAATGCCAATGGACCAGGTGACTCTTGGAACCAGTGGACATATCCTTGCTTTGCGCTATCACTACGTGCGCCGATTCAGACGCGTCAATCCCAGTCACCGGTGGCTGCTGATAATGTACCCAAAGCTCCTGAAGTCCAGTTAACCTGGGAAGGACATAAACAAGAACTGCGGGAGTGACTAGTTCTTACCCGGAAGCTCTCCTGCTTGTGGGTTTTTTTTTGGAGCGGGAGCTCAGGTGGAGCATGGCCCGCCCTACAGACGTCCTTCCCCAGCCCCGGCTCATTCGTTATGTAAAACGACCCCATTGTTTTCCTTCCATGACCATCGACTTCCCTCGAAGAGCGTTGACGTTGATATTCTATGGCCGCCGACGGGATCGCGGCTCTATGCACCAGGTCGTAGCGGTTACCGCATAAGGTATTCATGACTGTGTATTACACTTCCAGTCAACCCCGACGAACAGAACTAGATGTAGAATGCGAGTACTTTGTTGTGTGCACGTAGCCCAACTGACTGTTTGGTTGACAGGCCGAGTCCTTTGGTTAGTTTACTCGCTTTTGGAAATGTTACAGTTTGTTTCCGAGAAGAATGTCAGTCCTCCACCTGCACACCTTCTCCCGCTCGGGGCGCTTAGCTCTGCGCGAATTTGTTCGGCTCTCCAACCCCGAAGTGCTTGAACCTGACTTATCGTCCGCATGCATACTCACTATCTGGCTGTCTCCGGCAGATGCATGCCAAGTCTGCGGTATACACGTTATCAAGAAAGTCTAGAATATTTCGATGAGTCGTACCTCTTTTGAAGTGTTACGATGCTTGGGCGTAATCACATGAACGCATCGATTTTTTTTGTTTTGTTTTCAGCATTTGATTAACCGCAACAAGTAAGCTAACTACTAAGACGCGGTGGAGGTACAGGTCCTCAGGATCCTCTCTCTCTCTTGTTCCGGTCCCTCCGCTCTTCCTTCCGAGTTCCCCTGGTGTTTTGGCATGTAATGTGGAGTAGAGTAATGGACATGTATGATACCTTACACCCCCATGGTGGGCTAGTTGATTAGTTTGATTCTGCGGTTGGCTGAAGCCATGAGGTGCTTTGCGAGCGTGTCTTGGGTGCCGGCTGGGTTGGTCGTGTTCCATGGTGTGGTGGGTGCGCAGCGGCTATCCATGCTCGTCTTCTGTGTCACCCTCGTCTTCTTCCCACCACTCCCTCTTCTTCTGGCTCTGGGGCGAGCCTCTCGTTTCGTAGTTGTCCCATCCGGGTGAATGCTCCCGTGTTTTCCATAAACTTGCTCAGTGCTGTGATTTCTTCCTTGGTGCCGAGGATGTCCGGTAGGTACATGGTCCTTGACACGTTCCGAAGGGTCCCCGTTGCTCTTTGTAGAGGGGGCATTCACGCAGAATGTGCTCCCGTGTCTGAAACATCTCTCCACAAGGGCAGTCAATGTCCTTATTTGTCACGAATTGTGAGTAATACTCACCTACGTATCCGTGGCCTGTTCTGCACTAGAGAACTTGGCCGAATATCTCTCTTTTCACTGCGAGGTCTATGAGGTGGCGTGTCGGCTTCGAATGCATCGATTGACACACGCTTCATTCGACTCCAGTAAAGATGGGTCTGACTTGGATGGTGATAGCTGTAGTTCAGCTGGACGACTCTGATGAAAATTTTCATTAACTCCAGTCACTCTTTTTGTTCGTAATTTTTTAAATACAACAATGGAATATCTTCTCATCATGATTTCAAGCGTCCTTTACTACTTTAGCGAGGGTCCGCTAATCGCATAGAAGACGTCTGACGAAAATTGTTGGCTGGTATGCTGAGAACAATTAGTCGGCACCCTCTTATTGGAGTGTAGGTAGTCCGGTTTTCCATCCGTCACTGTCGGAGCGAAATCATACTGAGCCTTGTCGCGTGTTGAATGTTTCACTGTAGGTTTAGGTAGTGCTTTTTGACGTTTTGAGTCTCTCGTTGCCTTACATTACTTTTGCGTGCGTCCTTCCTCTTGACCCGCCTAGGATGAGGTCTCACCTTAAAAATAGCTCCGTTGGAAGCGCAGCGAGAGGGTTTCCAGCTGACACATACCCTCGCTAAAGTCGCGTCGCTGATTCTGTTCCAATCATTGTTTCGGACCTCGCATATTTGAACACGTCTTTTCATTAAGGCCGCTCGCATCTGCCAAACTGATTTCATTCTTCGCAGAATTTTTTCGACAAGACTTCCCGGCGGTTCATACCGAGTGCTAATGCGAATACCGCTCCTATGGCTCTGGGCTTACGAATTCAGATTAGGGATGGACATTTGGCATCGACTTTTGATATGACAGGACCGTACATGTCGCGCGAGGGCGGAAGTACGCAGCTGACATTTAGACTCGGAACGAACATCCAGATTCTACGGCTTGTTTCGGACCGTAGGGGGGCGATGGAACGGCTGCGAGCGACCGCGTATCCGGTCCGTAACCTCCTTAATAACCTTTTCTACCCACATTCTCGTTCTGATCGCCATTGCAGGTTCGGGTAGCGGCCAATTAAATGATTGCCAGATATTGCTCAAAGTTGCACCGGCGAAGCAAGAGCGCCAGATTCCGAGTCTTAGTGCTTAACCCCGTTCACGTACGATCCGATGCTGCATTGACGCAGTACGAACGAACGGTATGGATAAGTAAGCCTCGGACGAGGACTCCCGAGCCAGAATGGATGGGCCTGGACCTCTGGGGGTCTGCCACAGGCAATCTGAATGCCGCGTCGTGAAGTAGCGGTGGTCGTCTGACAGACCCCGGCCGAGCGACCAAGAATTTCTGTACGTTGTAGGAGTTTGTAGGTGTGTTCAGCTACCTTGTTTATCACGGAACGACCGGACTTATGCATAACGGATCACTCCGCTGCTTGATTAGTGCTCTGGAGGCAGCAACTCGAATCATAACAATCAAATTATGTAACAAGGACCTTGCCCTTTTTTCTAGGGTCCCGGACAAGGAGCCTAATCGCGTTCAGAGATGAAGGTGAGCAGGTCACTGCTAAAGGTGAACTCGGTAGCGTGATTTTTCACTCCTTGATTATGAGTGCAAGGCAGGCTTCCATTTATCTTGTATCTGTTACATCACTTTTTCTATAATCTTTCAGTGTTGATCGTTGAGAATGTTGGCCCTGGCTCATCAAAAGTCCCACGGTTTAACAATCTACCGTCATCCAGGTGAGCAACAACATGATGCCCATATATACACTACGGCTGTCGGACAAGCGGGTGGGTATTATATCACCATCTATGCTGCGTGCTTACTATGCATTTAGCCAATGTCGTGGGACTGGCCTTCCAGGTTTACAGCCTAACATCGTTTGGAATGAGATGCAGATGGATTTGATTTGCACTATGCCTGACTTGTGAACTTCACTGACCCCAGGTTAGTGCAGTATGTGCTCTTCCGTATGCTTCGCTTCTACGGACCTGCTCACTCGGACAAATACACTTCTGGCGTCTTCAGCAACGAATAATTACTCGGTGACCTCTCACCTTGGGGCATGACTTGGGATGTATCCCAATCACGTTTGACCCTGTCAGCTCGCCATCGTGATCACCCAGCTAGCAGCACTTCGGTTTCGGGGATCTGTCCACCTGGCCGTGTCCTGCTCATAATCCCTGCAAAGCAGTGACTCGGTCCACCTGAATATATTACTGGTTCTGATGATCACAACCCTTTGGACCCGGTCTGTATCTGAAACTGTGGGCGTGCCTCAATGGTACTGTGCAACCCATTACGCTGGTCAGATTCCGTGTTTATAGGTTCCCATACCGGCGTTGTTGAGCCCGAGGAACTATCTTTGGGGGCGTCTTATCCTGATCTCATGGTTTGCGATATCGTCTATTTGGTACTGGTCCCCTAGATCCTGCAGCTGTGAGGCCCTACCTCAAAGCTCTAGGCACCGAGTTTGCGGTCAAATTGGATGAGCATGAACTTCGTCAGGACATGGTCTTTCACTGTTCCTTGTTGCAGGACTACCGTGAATACCGCATGTAAGGCTCATACAGCTTCTTCTTCGAATGCGAGGCTCTCACCGGAGCTGCTTGCCCCGTGAGGTGATGTTTGCATGCACGCCCATCTACCTGTCGTGGATTTATGTTCCTGTCACCAAAGCCTACCGGCCAAGAGGGCTCTATGCTATTAGTTTAAGCATCGTGATTTATTACCCCATGCTGGGCTCAACTCTCAGGTCACGATGACCTTGGCAGACTCCAAGGGCCTTGGATTCGTTGTGCAGGTCCGAACTTGAATCTTTGGGGCCCTATCATCGCGGAATTTGTTGCTGTTGTCTTGCACAGTCGCACAATCGGCTTTGCAGTTCTACATACGTACTCTGAGGCCCATCGTTCAAATGCATGCTGATGACAAACAACCCTTCTCCCGCCGTTGGTTTGCGATCCACGGAAGCTCGACATCATGACTCTACCCGGATTCTGCCATTGGTGTCTACCGACCTGAAGACTAAGCTTGAAGCAGGCGAATTAAAACAAGTTTATTTAGATACAGTGTGCATCCGAGTCCCCCTTAGTGCTACATCGAGAACAAAGGCATAGTCATGTGAAGATGCGAAGAAAAAACTTCCGTGGATCATTTTTCCTCGACGATGATGAAAGGTTACGCCCTAAATTTGAACGATTGAAGTTGTAAGTAGAATTGACTGCAACACACATATGTAAAGCAGCGTCGAAGCGGCCCCGCACTACGTTTGTCAAACTGCGGAGGGATCTTCAATCGATTTCAACAATCGGAAAGACCGACCTAGAGGCGCAGATGGAATCTACTTTCAATGTTTTGAAGACTCAAAGGACTGTTGGGAAGTCTTTCATAGAGCCACTTCTAGGGTCGTGAAGAAAAGTACAAGGTGAATTTTAGAGTCCCACGATCAAACACGCGCTGGTACAGAAACGTAACTTGAGAGTAACCAGCTGCACAATGGACTCTCCGTCCTCTTCCATCGCCGAACATTCATCCGAGCCACCGCGGCCGACGACGAAGAAACAGCATGCTCTGCAGGAGCTGCTCGCGTCAGAGAGGGCATATGCATCTGACCTGGTTCTGGTACGGGAGGTACACATGCCGTTAGCAAGAGGTGCGCAAACTACGGCTATCGACATCCTTTCATTAATTAGGCGCAGGACAAGATATAGAGCTGGCTTCGCCCTCATCGTCATCGATGATGGACTCGCCACCCATGACGCCGGACGACGCCAGGATCATCTTTAGCAACATCGCTGATCTGGCCGTGTTTGCCAACGACTTTTGCGATGCGTTGCAAATGGCTCTCGATGAGGACAATGTTGGGGACCTCTTCCTCAAGATGATACCCGACATGGAGCGCCCGTACAAGTTCTACATATCTCGCCAGGATACGGCGTCAAGCCATCTCCAGTCGCTACCCGTGACCCCGGCACTCACCGCATACCACGCCCAGACACGCACCATTGCTGCCTCGCTATCTCATGCTTGGGACCTGCACTCCATGCTCATCAAGCCCGTCCAACGCTTGCTGAAATACCCCCTTCTCCTTACTACAATTCTTGAAGAAACCCCGGATGATCACCCCGACAAGGAAAACATACGTCTCGCGAGGGACGCCGTACAGGAAGTCGCACAGCGCGTTAACGAGGAGCGACGGCGCACAGAGGTCGTCAAGGACGTTTTGAAGCGTACAAACAAAGATCTTCTTGTCCGCATCAAGAGTATCAGTCGCAGACGACCGCCACCGCCCGATTCCGATGAAAGTCTGCTCATTTCACGACTTCATACACATATATTGCACATACAGTCCTTTGCTAACCAGCTCTCACAGAACACTCTCGACTGGTCACATTCTGTGGCTACAGCGATGAACCATCTTCGTCTGTTTGCTTTGTCCTTTGCCAGTGTCATTGGCTTGACCGGGGAACTTCAGTCTGATTCATTCGGTGCCTTTATGGGTCTCATCACGAATGTTTTATTGCCTCTTACAACGACATTGTCCCAGCATCTCACCAAGAACTTGATGAATCCACTTACAGATCTCCTTAACACCCTCACTAACCCCCTTCACCTGTTAAACACCCTCCAGAACACTCTATTACCTTTGCATACACACCTTATCCACATGCCTCTTTCGCAGAAGAACCGTCCGCCTCCCGACCTAATTAAAGCCTCCAACGAATATCTCGCTCTGCGCGCCAAGCTAGCTGAGGAGCTCCCAAAATATGTAAGCATGGCTGAGAAGGTCTTGTCAGGATGCATAATACGTCTTGCGCGTGTGCAAGAAGCGTACTGGTTAGATGCGGGGCTTGCATGGCGGGACCTCTGGGACATGCTGAGCGTAGAAGGGGAAGACCTGCAGACAGGTGACACCGTACGTGTATGGTGGGAACGCTGGGAAGAAGTCGACGCTGTTCTGGCACGTTTCAGGATTGTCGAGCGGCTGCGAAAGACGCCTACGCGACGTTCGTCCTCTGCAGCCTCAATTCCGCGGGTCTCATCACCAATCCCTTTGATGAGTTCGTCTAGTGCCAGCATCAGGTCAAAAATGACCAAGTCGAGCACAGATTATGATTATGATATTGGGTATGACTATGCATGCGCAGCAAGGGTGGTGGAAAGCCCCCAGCCTCTTTCCCCTGTGCCATCGCAGAAGATCAGAAGACCCGGGACGCCTTCAAGTTCTTCGATAAAGAGTAGGACTAGCAGTAGACGGAAGGACCTTCCGGGGATGTATATGGTACGGGCGGTGTATCCGTTCTCACCGTTGCAGGAGTACACCTATGAGTCGTATCCGTTTCTGAAGATCACGGGGCCTGGTGAGGCTTACGAGGTCCTCCGTGAGGCCGGTCATCCTAAACTGCATATCAGCAAGGGGCTGAGACTCTTTGCGAATGACGACGAAGCAAATGAGCCGGACAATCTGTTATTGGTAAGGCGAGTGGGGAGCGGGGGAAAAGGCGACGGTGAGGTAGGTTGGGTACTCGCTAGTTATGTACGGCCTGTGTCGCTGTGAGAAATTGTGCGGCACGGCGGGCGGTCGGGACCAGCGGAGTTTCCCCGAGGTTTTTCACACTGATGTTTTTTTTTTGCTACAGCTGGATTGCAGCCCTGCCATTTCATATCCGATACCCAGCACTGATACCTGGATAATTTTAGATCTGTTGTAGACCCCGCGCGTGTATATTAGTGAAGAACAAAGTTGGTGCGAAGCCATGTGGATACGATTGCAGACTTGTCGCTGAGCGATATTTGGTTAGTCATTGTCACTTGATCTCTGGGCTTGATCGCTTGCTGTTGCAGTTCCATAGTGACCTGTAACGTTATGTATACGACAAAGCACAACATGTTCCCTCCCATTTTCCAATTCTACGATCGGGTATTTCCCTGTCTCGGTATTAATGTCGCTTCCATCATATCATGCACCCGTTACGCCGCTGTGGCAATTGAATGAATTCCGGTTGGAAGCTGCCTCGACCTTGGTTCTGTGTATGTTGTTTGGCAAGGCCATCTTTATCGTCGCCAATGGGGCCATCTCATCACCAAACTTGGTCGGACCAGATCTACCCGATGCCGAATGCCATCTTCTCCTTTCGAAATTCGCAGCTGAACGTGTTCTGTGATTCCCGGTGCGAGACCTGCCACTTGGACGTGCCTCGGGCATCAGGAATAGAACTCGACAAATATGTCCGAGCCCTATCAATTCATGAAGCAATGTTCTAATTGCCCACGACGTGCCCAAGTGATTTACATCGTCTTGGTGCCAGGACTTGTGGTCTGCGTCCTTCCCCTCTCTCTCTCTCTCTTCCATCATCCTCTTCCCTTCCCTCATGAGTCCACCGCCTTCGTCGCGGCTTATGTCGCCCTCTGACTATTCCATTGCTGCCAGCGCAAACGATGCCGGCGACCGGCAGCTGGCTCTATCCCCTACTGTGACGCATCTCGGTGACGAAGAACCTGATAAACGAATTCCTAGCCAAGATGACGAGCTGGACGCTGAAAAGCAGAGAGCTCAAGCCGTGCCGCAGTTTCCTGAGGGGTCGTTCCGCGGTTGGGCAACTGTCTGTGGAGGGTATATTAATTCTTTGAAGTTTTAAAATTTGCCATTGAACAACAATTTTCAGGGCCTTCGTTGGGATGTGTATGTGCTCTAATCATGGCAAGGTCTCGAGGCTGATATTTAATTTGCGCATTAGGCACGTTTGGAAATGTCCAGGTAAGATTATCTATGCTTTTCATGTGTTCTGTGAAGACTGATTGTCACTTCTCCAGAGTTTTGGAGGTCAGTCGGATATGGTGTGCTTCTATGTGGATGTGATACTGATCTATACGTTCAGTGTACCAGGAGTATTATACAGTACGGATCCGTTGCCTCAGCAGTCCGTTCGCAATTGACTCTTTATAGACGACCTCTTTATCCGAGCATTCCTCTTCCCAGATAAGTTGGATCGGCTCTGTACAACTCTGTTTATTATTTTCCCTTGGTCTCCTGTCGGGTAAATTATTCGATCAAGGATACTTTCATCACCTCCTGCTGGGTGGAAGCCTTCTTTTCCTATTTTCGTACGTGGAATGGCTTCGCTCGCAATTGAAGCCTAAATCTTACCATACGTCTCGCAGTTCGTTCATGTTGTCCTTGACCCAACCCCATCAGTTCTATCAAACTTTGCTGTCGCAAGGATTTGGCATGGGACTCGGGATGGGCTGTATGTTTATTCCCTCGATGAGTGTGTTATCACACTATTTTCGGGTTAAGAGGGCCGTGGCAATGGGATTCGTGGTGTCAGGTATGTATTGAGCATTGCTTCCGATAGTATTTGTGATGAAGGCGTTGTGAAGGCGGCGCTCTGGGTGCGATCATTTACCCAATTTTGCTGAACAAGGTGTTCGACAAGACTGGACTTAGATTCCCTTGGGCAGTTCGGTAAGCTGTGACTTCCGTATTAGAATGACTTTTCTAAATTCGCTTCTAGTTTCGTAGCATTCATAGATCTCTTCCTTTTGACGCTCGCAAACCTACTAATGCGACCGAGACGTGTGTTTTCTTCATTTCCGAAGCGGTTCCTGGTCCATATTGAAGTCATTTGGTAGTCCCACCGCGGAAACGCGCCCCCATCGATATATATAAGATTCTATACGATTTCCCATATTGGTTGACCGTGACTGGGTAAGGACTCTCCGCCATCTTCCAATTCATGTTAGATTAATGGTCTTGAAGAATAACACTAGGGTTCTGGGGACTTTTCATTCCCTGTACGTCTAGTCTTACCTGCTTCGCGTGTTGCAACTCATAAAGTTCCTCGCAGTCTTTTACCTCCAGGTGTTTGCGGAGCTTCATGGAGTAAATCCTAGTTTCCTGACGTGGACGGTACGATTTCTCATCTCGTTACTCAAATTACAGTATTATCTAAATGGAGGGTATGCAGCTTCCGGTCCTCAATGCTGGATCGCTCTTCGGGCGGTTCATTCCCAATCTCCTGGCCGACAGGTACGGCCCTTTCACAGGTTCGTTTTTGCGTGCTTCGGGCCCCATGTGAGGTTTTCGCTGATTGCCATCACCATTAGTTATCATACCAAGTGGTTTCATAACGGGAAGCCTGGTGTGGGCCTTGCTCGGGGTACATACTATTGCGGGCATGGCGGTGTTTGGCGTGCTGTACGGATTCTTCTCTGGAGCCTTCCTAACTGTGGCGACGCCGGCTATTGCATCGTTCACTCGCAGTCCTACTTTGGATGATATAGGGTAAGCTCTGGAGCTTTTTTTCGATTGTGCTTACTGAGAGAAATGGTAGACTCCGGATAGGTATTTCCTGCTTTTTCATTGGACTTGGCCTTTTGACGGGAAGTCCTATCGCCGGGGCACTGCTATCCCCAGAGTATATATGGTGGAGACCCCTGCTGTTTGCTTGTGTGAGTACTGTGTGTGAGGTTTGCATTTTTGGGTGAATTACTTACGGCACCTAGGTTGTAATCATCTCCGGCACGATCTGCCTTGCGGTCGCGAGACAGTATTTAGTTCAACGCAAAGGTGGAATGAGATTTGTGTAAGATGGTTATATATAGATACGAGAGAGAATACGTGCTCTGACGAACCTGGATGGATATTGTTTACTTAATGACCGCCACACCTACTATCATGACGACGGCATGACCTTTTACAACGCGGACTGTATTAGTTAGATTGCCTGATATATATTTTCAGTCTGATCGTCGCTGTTAAATGAGCTTAACACTTAGTCAGTGATAAAGGTTACGAAGGTGCAGGATGCCGTGAGCGGGTCAAGCCCCTTGTGATAAAAATGTCGCTGATCAGTATAGCATCGACTCATCTGCACGATTATATTTCTCCTCACCGGCACCATGAAATTCGGTGCGCTTGGAGTCGAAATTTCCACCACTCTAACAGTTCCAAAAGATGGTGTACGATTTATTCGTGCAAGAATTCCTGACTTGGTACACGCCTACGACGCCCTCAAAAATGAGCCTTGGTGTATAGAAAACGATCGACGTCTCGTCCAGGCCAGAGTAAGATTTACTACCTTGGCTGCGAAAACTTCCCCATACTGACTTGACGACAGACTTCATTTTTCTATTCATTGCGCTTATGCGACGAAGGATGGGAGATCATCAAGGGCCGCCATTTCCTTGAGGAGAATTCGAAAGATATATTTGAGTCGGGGGATGTTGTAAGAGCAATCCCATTCAGACCAGAGACTTCAAGGTCCCCGCCCGTGGTAAATGCGTGTAGCAGAGACATGCCTTCAGACCGCGGGGATCTTGGCGCATTTAGCTCAGATGACTCAGACGAAGATGTCATGCCCAGCCCATCTAGCGACTACGGCAAGGTATGGTTAAAGGTGGCCCAATCATTCTCGGTTACCTGAGGTTCTTACGCAGTATCTCGGGCTACTTTACCGATACAATGCAGGGAAAGAACTGGACGAAGAAGGCGCCAGGAAGCTCATTTTCCATTTCGGTCGGCTCACCAAAGACCAGAGGTTCATGGCAAAGGAGCAGACAAATCCTCGAGTCTGGTGTGGTCTGGTGTTCGCGAGTACACGAGCAACCCCGGCGCGCAAGCTGGTGGGTTATAAAATTATGAAATATGATGTTCGGGAGTGAGACATCATCCCTGTGAAGGCACTGAACCCGGTAGGTCCTGTTTCCCATGCCAACAATCGGGAAATCGAGACTCTCGTTTGCAGTGTAGTGAATGTGTCAAGTCCAATTATCCGTGTGAATACACGGGCGGGCGTAGCGTGAGATGCAAAGAATGTTTTCTTCGCCAGAAGAAGTGTACCCTTACTGGGAGAGCCAGTGCATCCGATTCGCCAAGACGAAGAGAAAAGGTGATCATCGATGATCGTGAAGAGGGCTCCGATTCAAATGATGAAGAACTCTCGGATGAATACAAAGAGGTAAGTCATAAATCTGGTTCCTAGGGAGACAATCCCGGACAAGCTGCTGAGCATCTTTATCAGTATTTGCACCTCCTCCAAAATTTAGATCGAGGATGGATCTTGGACGATGAAGGAATAAGAAAGCTCGTTGCCCAGCTTCATTTGGTATCGCCAGAAGAGCGGGAAACAGCGAAGGAACAAACAGATGTAAGGGTATGGTGCCGCATGGTATTCGCCGGAATTCGTGGGACCGAAGCTCGAGATATTAAAGGAACCAAGATCGGTTCCAGGGATGTCCGGGGATGGGACGCTATCCCAGTGAAGGCAGCAAGCCCGGTAAGACTTAGGAAATGAATGAGAGGTCTCACTAACACTTCTCGACTAGTGCACCGAGTGCACCAAGGGTGGATGGGTCTGCGAGCTCACTGGCACTTCAAAATACAAAAGGTGCCGAGAATGCATGTTTCGGCAGACAAGGTGCACCACCGCTGGTACTGATTCCGATCCTTCCTCGCAAGGCACTCGGAGAGGCCAAAAGAATCATCTCCGAAAGAAAAGGATGCGAAGCTCCAATTCTCCCCGAGAGGAAGAGAATCACATCGACCTGGAGATTCGACACCTTGAAAATCGCTCGCCACACTCTTTGAAGCGTCTTCGTGAGACAAACGAGGATACGGCTCCGCAGGAGAGGTGCAAGGCAGTGGCATCTCGGTTGCAGCATTTTCCGAGGGGTGTCAATCCAGTGCTTGACAACCTCCTTCCCCAGCAAGAGACATTTGCGAAAACCATTGCAGATAGACGCGCACCCATTGACTTCACGCTGCTAGGTGATGAAGGACTGGGAGACATACGAAACGAGTTAGATGGGCCGAAACGCAAGGTGGACGAATTTGATACCCCGAGAGATCGTTGGGCGGCGCTGCGAAGAGAAGCAGGGCAGAAAGTGAATATCTTTCAGGAAGAAATGGCAACCCTTTTTAGCCGTCTTCCTTAGTTTCTTGAGCTCATTTCAACGCTGGTATTATGCCGATTTGCCTTGAAGAACACATCTTTCAGCACGTAGATGAACCTTGATATGTAGCCCCACTTCCGACGCCACAACAATAGCACTGAATGGGGATCAAAGATTAGAATTGAGTGACTCGATTACTTCTCCAATTTTCATAACCATATCGTCGCAACCCCATTGTCCGACTATACTAATCCCTACCGGCCATCCATCATCTTCCTTGTTGGTTATTGGTACGCTTATTGCGGGTAAACCAGCTAAGGACGCCGGCACTGTCAACACGTCTTGTACGTATGCCTCTAAGCCGGATGAATCTTCCTCCCCATCCAGAAGAGGAGCGGTACGAATGGCCGATGGGTGCATCAAAACATCAACTCCGTCGGCATTGGCGATTTGATTGGAGACCCGAACGTTCGACATGCGGAACACACGATCAAAGTCGTCCCTGACTAGTCGGCGTACTCGAAGGGCTTGAAGGAAGTAATTATCGAATGAACTTGGGACAGACTAAAATTAGCAATTATGCACAAGACATATCAAAGGGAGACATACTCAGCGGTTAAAGAGTAAGTCCCGAGAAGAATTCGTTTCTGAACTTCAGAGCCAAATCCTTTCGACCGAGTATGCGCATAAATCTTTGAAGTTTTGGTTAGGTCCGCTCCGAGTGGCGGCTTAATATGCAATCCTGATCCAATTTGTCAGTCAGATACGGAAACCTGAACAAAAACAGTTGACACATGCCATATTGGATACCATCATACCGAGCTAGGTTACTACTTGCTTCGGCGCTGGCGATGACATAGTACGCGCTGAGAGCGAACGACGTAGATTTCAAAGACACAGGGACAATAGTAGCACCTAGACTCTTCAGTGAGACAATCGTGCTCCGAGTATTTTTCACTACAGAACCCGACAATTCAAAGGGGAAATATTCCTGGATATATTAGATGAGTATATGGACCGAATATGCGCAGATGGGTGATTATACACCTCGGGTATGCCTATCTTTATTCCGTGGAGGTTTCTCTCTTTTAAGTTGCTCCAAGATTTCAGTTGAATCTCAACGGCGTGAGAGGCTTCACGCCTGATTGATCGGTTTGTGCAGGTGGGGTCCCGTTCATCGTGGACATTGAGTACATCTTCAGGGGAATGAATAGGGATTTCTCCATAGCAGGCGCCCAACTCACCGAAAACCCGTTTCGTTGTGCTGATATCCTTTGCGATGATCCCGACACAGTCCAGACTGTCTGCATAAGATACGACGCCCCATCGACTCAGCAACCCATAGGACGGCTTTAACCCGACGACGCCACAGTACGCGGCAGGCAACCGAATAGAACCACCTGTGTCTGTACCAATTGCACTTCATCTGGTTAGACTGCGCTCGGCTGTGTATAACGCACAGAACTTACGCATCACAGATTTTGGCAGCCACTACCGCAGCGCTGCCTCCAGAACTTCCCCCGGCTGATCGGCGTTCACGGTTTTCCCAGGCGAGGGTTGAGGACGGATGTTGGAAGGGATTAACCACTGATCCATGGACTGAATGTACATTTAGAGAGCTACAGAACTTGAGTACAGAAAGGCGGGGGTCAGAGCTGGCTGACGGACCCCATTCCAAATTCATCACAGTTGGTCTTTCCAAGCATTACAGCACCAGCGTCTTCCAGTAATTTGACGACCGTGGCATTGAATGGGGGCAAGAAACCTAAGTGGAGACAAATGAAGGCATATAAGGATAGTGTCGTGAGAAACAGACCTTGCAGTATTGCAGAGGAACATGTTGTAGGAAGCTTGGAGGTACAAATGTTGTCCTTCACCCCGATAATAACATTCCCCAATGGGAAGTGATCTCCCGAATATTCCACCGCATCGTTCGTGCAGACAAACGCGTTTATGCTCGAGTTTTTGTCAAGAAAAGCTTGGTTACTGCTTGAAGAAATGGTGCGAGTAGATGAAGTGTACAGACAGCGTAAGCCGGTCCATAGCTGCTTCGTCACCCCTCGGTTCATTGAAGCGTAGGCCGCTAATTTTCTAGTCGGCGTATCATGGAAGAGAAAACTTGAAGCAAATCAGAGTGACGTGACGCAAACGTGACACAGCCGACGACCTTGAAGGGCTTCGCAGCACTGAAGCACTCATGAAAAATCTTCAGAATAATTCAATAATGAATATGAAAGTCGTTTTGCGAACATTATTGGATTCAGCTTTCGCATGGGGTGGTAAGAGCCACTTACAGACCAAAGTTTGCCTCCATTGGCGAAAGCAAATATTGAGCACCGCCACTACGCAAATAAATAGCACCAACGCGTCTCTTCACGTCCTCACCACTTACCATGCCGCCAAAGGCAAAACCATCCACCGAAAACACGAAGCAAAAGAGCCTTATGGGATGGCTATCCAAAGGCTCAAACGCGACACCGGCGAGACCGACCGCGTCTACGCCTGCTGTGAAGACATCAAACGCGTCTACATCAAAGCCGGCAAATCCGCGCACCCCACAGTCGACCAAGCCAGACATACGCGTATTGAACTCATCTGCATCAGTGTCGTCCTTTGGGGACAGCGCCATCAAGGATACACCACCGACGAGCGATCCCATTGATGTGGATATGCTTTCTGAGGAGGATGCACCGAGAAAAAGGAACCGTGTTGTTTCCGTGAGTTCCTCCCCTTTCTTCATACTATACAACTTGACCTTCAGAAGAGTGGAGCGAAACGGAAACTTGTTTATGAAGACGATTCCGATGAAGGAACCCAAGCCTCTACTACAACTGGAGGAAGCGAACCGCCATCATCGCCCTTGCAAAGCAAAAGTAAACCACCAAAACCATTCACTGCTTCAGCTCGCTAACCTCTCTCAGGCCGGGCCAAGAAGCCTCGATTATCTGCTCCCCCATCAGATGACGACGAGGAAGTTACTACATCTTTCTCCAAGCGGCTGACGCACTTCAAAAAATCATCCAGAAAGAAAGGTTAGTTCACAATCACCAACTCCTAAATGTATATTCATTTGCGTCCATGCAGGCTTCCGCTCGATGGCGTCTTCGGATGACGAAGACTTCATTGCTCCCTCCGACTCAGACGACGATGCCAAATCAGTCAAGTCGCGCAGCTCCGGTTCTTCTCGGCGCTCACTTGGACCAGATACTGACTTCGATGATGAAGATGAGGATAGCGGGAAGAAAAAGAAGTCGAGACCTACTCCAAAAAAGGCATCATCCAAAAATACGTCCAGTGCAGCAGCTGGTAGTACACTTTCTTTCTTGACAGCGGCAGAACGACGAGAGCAGGACAAGAAGAACGAAAAAAAGGCTTCCGAAGATCCTTACGCTTTCTTGGCGGATGTTAAAGATGTGAGATCTTTTTATACCTCGCAATCCTATGGTTGACAGACCTTGTTGGCCTGCAGAAAGACGGACATAGACCTGGCGATCCCAAGTACGACCCAAGAACGCTTTATATCCCGAATCGTGCGTGGAAAGAATTCACTCCTTTCGAGAAGCAGGTATGGAATGACTTGGTTCGTATGTCGTACAGACCTAATAAATCCATAGTTTTGGGAAATCAAACAAAATCACTACGATACTGTAAGTAGTATCTGTGGTGTCATTTGCTCGGGTTCTCACCCTCGTAAAGATTTTGTTCTTTCAAAAAGGGTGAGTGCCGCTTAATTCTTTGAGTATCAAACTCATCGTACGTGTCAGAAAATTCTTCGAGGTATTATCATATTGCTTCCAAACAAGTCACATTTTGAGTGTTTGCTTCAGCTGTACGAAGATGATGCTCGTATTGGCCATCAAGAATTTGACCTGAAACTGACCCAGAGAGTCAAGATGTCGATGGTAAACGAACTTACTTTGGATCGACCCCCATGATGTTGACAGATCAGTAGGTCGGTGTTCCAGAAATGTCTTTCGAATTTTGGGCGGCGTATGTTTCCTTGAATGATGCATATACCTTTTTCTAAATGTCGTCTATGTAGCAAATTCCTTGGTAAAGGATACAAAGTCGGCCGGGTAGACCAGGCTGAAACCGCTCTCGGAGCGGAGATGCGTCTAGCTACTGATAAAAGCAAGGGAAAACCCAAAGGCGGTGAGAAGGAAAAGATCGTCCGACGGTGGGCTTTGTTTCATGATCCAAGGAGCAACAGTCTGATACTAGTTTTAGGGAATTGAACAAAGTTTATACTAATGGTACTCTTGTTGATGCTGCGATGCTCACCGATGACCATGCCGGCCACTGTATTTCAATTAGAGAAGTCGAGTCTGACGGGGGGTCGAATAACACCTTCGGTGTTTGTGTCTTGGACTGCGCGACGTCGCAGTTTGACTTGAGTGTCTTCCAAGATGATATCTGTCGCACAAAACTCGAAACCTTGATGAGACAAATCCGTCCCAAGGAGATGTTGTTCACGAAAGTAAGGTCTACGCATTCATCAATCTCTTTGATAGCTAATGCGCGTACACAGGGGCAGTTGTCTGTCTCCACGACGCGGCTACTGAAAGCTGTCCTTCCTGCTGCCTGTTTATGGACAAGTTTACGTGAAGTCGAAGGTTTTAATTATGAAGACACTATGAAAGAGTTGGCGAATCTGTACCCTGATGATAAGGGCGATATAGATGAAGATGGCGACAACATTTTGCCCAAGGCTGTCCCTCAGCCGATAAGAGACATGGCCGGTTCAAAGCCTCCGATCGAAGCACTTGGTGCTATGATTTGGTTCGTTCGCTTGTGTGCGCCCGTTCCAACACTTTTACTGATGCATATCTTGTGCAGGTACCTGCGACAGCTGAATATAGACAAAGATATACTCAGTATGAAGAACTTCAATGTTTATGATCCCATGAAAAGAGGCCAAGGCTTGGTTCTTGACGGACAAACATTGGCTCATATTGAGGTTCGTTCCGTTTCTTGATATCTACAAACGTCGTTGAACTGTTAGTAGGTGCTGCTTAATAATGAAGGTACATCGGAAGGGTCGCTTCTTCAGTTATTAAGTCGCTGCGTCACTCCTTTCGGTAGCTTTCTTAAAAATATTGCTCGTCGCAACATCTGTTTACCCTTTATACAGGAAAGAGGCTGTTCCGCATATGGCTGTGCATGCCCTTGCGGGAAGTATCCGATATTAACGCAAGACTAGATGCCGTCGAGGATATTATGGATCACCCAACATTCGAACCAGAATTCACGGAGGTTGCCAAAGGTCTGCCTGACTTGGAACGCATCGTATCTCGTATCCATGCAAAGAACTGCAAAGTTAAAGATTTCTTGAAGGTTCTGGGCGTGAGTAGTTAAAACAGATATATTGCTCAATGATTTCTGATGATGACTTTTTACAGGCGTTCAAGAAGCTCAGCCGCGGTTTCAGCAGTTTCGCCGATACTTCCGAGACGTTCAAGTCGAAGACTATACAAGGCCTGCTTCGGAACGCTCCAGACTTGCTGCAAAATATCAAGAACGTAGAGGCTATGTACATCAAGCCATCAGAAAAAGGTCACCGCTCTGCGTTTTCCGTGTCGTCTTTGTGATCTGATTATATTGTAGACGCCAACGAGTTGGTTCCACAAGAGGGTAAAGATGGAGAGTATGATACGATCATGGCCGAGATTGCAGAGCTCGAAGAGGAGCTTGACGGTGAGCTCAAGCGATTTGAGAAGAAACTTGGGTGTGTGTTCTATCTTCGTATCCTGTCTGGTGCTCAGATCTTTTGTAGGTGCAAATTACACTGGTGGCATAGCGCCATCGGAAACAAGGTGAGTCTTATCTTATAGGTCTATTCTTCTGATCAGACTTAACGGCTGAGAAGGAAATCTACCTTGTGGAAACAAACGCTGGCCAGGATAATATTCCCAAGGATTGGACCAAGAATGGCGGTACCAAAGTAAGCTCTGGCCTTCGCAGTACATTTTAAGTGTTTACGGTCCCGTGCAGGCCAAGACGCGGTGGCAAGTTTTTGGTCTACAAAAATCTGTACGGGCTCTGAAAGAAGCAAGGGAAAACCGTAACACGATCATGAAAGCATTCAAGAATCGTGTCTTTGAGGAATTTGATGCTGATCGCGGTGTTTGGTTGCGGGCAATCCGGGTGTTTGCTGAGCTGGATTGTCTGTTCAGTTTGGCCAAATCATCAAGTGTTTTGGGTGAGCCTGTGTGCAGACCGGAACTTGTCGAAGGTGATTCGGCGTTCGTGGATTTCAAGGACTTGAGGCACCCGACGTTGGCGATAAGCGCCAATATGAAGAGTTTTATTCCCAATGACGTCAAGCTCGGGGGTGACGCCGGTAGGATTGCGCTGCTGACAGGCAAGTTCACTCTATTTCTTATCTGCGATATTCGATCTAATAAGAAGGATAGGACCGAACATGGCGTGAGTGTCCTGCTTCTGTTTGGGTGTCTTTTGATGGTTGACCATGCGTGTGCTTCATTCTTCAGTGGGAAGTCCACGGTGAACATTCTGTGTGTCACATAGGTTATCAGAGCTCATGACCACTTTCTAGGTGATGCGCATGACAGCCACGGGCATAGTATGCATGGCATTATTACTCTTCCAATCTTTGCTGACAGCACTGTCAGATCATGGCGCAACTTGGGATGCTTGTTCCTGCGGCAAAGGCTCGGTTTGTGAAAACCATCATTTGTTTGATGCATTCTGAGTACGATATGATACAGTGTCTGTCCTGTGGATGCGATCTTGACTCGAATGGGTGCCTACGACAATATGTTTTCCAACGCAAGTACCTTCAAGGTTGAACTTGATGAATGTTGCAAAATTCTTCGCGATGCTACTCCCAAATCATTTGTCTTCTTAGATGGTACGGGTGCATTCCTAAAAGCCTTCACCTTATTAACGTTACTTTATTAGAACTGGGACGAGGAACGTCTACATATGTATGTCGTTTTCCCGTTGTTGTGCTAATAACGTTAACTTTTTTTAAGGATGGTATGGCCATTGCGTCGGTACGTCCTCGTTTATGCCTGGCTTTTTTAATATAACTTGGATGTCCCTGGTACAGGCTGTTCTGCACGAGCTGGCGACGCATACCCTTCCTCTGTCTTTCTTTGCTACTCATTATGGTTCCCTGACGGACGACTTCCGATATCATCCTAATATTCGAAACATGTACATGTCAACTATCGTAGATGAAGAGAAGCGCGATGTCCGTCTTCCTCGTCCGTCACATCTGATATTACTTCTGACAAAGTTTAATCCTAGATTGTCTTCCTGTACAAACTGATCGACGGTGTGGCTACATCTTCTTTCGGAACGCATGTTGCAAACCTTGCTGGTGTGCCTTTGGAGGTTGTTGAGCGTGCGGACGTTGTGTCCAAGAAATTTGCTCAACAGTTCAAAGAACGGCTCGAGGCGAAGCAGTCCCAACGAGCGACGTCTCGTTTGCCCTTGGTTGCTCAAGCTGATTTTTCGTATTTGTATGGTCTGGCCACGGGCAAGATTGAACTGCCTCAGGACCTCGTGAAGCAGAAGCTGATGTTGACGCTGCTGAAGAAGACTGCCCAGAATTATACCAACAATTGATCAATGCTGTCCCAGTGCTAGTGCTTCCTTTGCTATCCTTGCTTTCATACCTGTATGCTTTTAGATAGTTCTATCCCATATTTGAGTAGATGTCGGAAAGCCGGCCCGAAACCCTAACGACGACGACAGCCTCTCCGTTTTCACAAACTTCGTGATACGTCTTTCCTGAAAAGGCTGTTAAATCATCTCAGTCTGGACAGGATTACATTAAAGTATCGTAACCTGCACTGCGGGCTGTGTAGTGGCAGGATCCTCGCTGGGTACTTGCCTATCGACATCCACAACATGATTGATCTGCGCACTCCATGCATGCAGCAGTTGGTGACCAGAACAACTTCTCTGATCGAAATTATATTGCGTGGGTAGTGAAATGGACAGATATCAACTACTTATATACGTAGGATCGCACTGTTCCGTCTGCGCATCATGTATCAACGAGATGCATTACTTATCGTCTCGTCTCAATACTACGATGGGGCCTTTCTGTTGCTGATTCTCTTACCTTCCTGCCCACTCTCTTCTTGTAATGTCGGGCGTTTATCTACTGTTGGACGACTCTAACCCTCTGATTTCGTACAATGGCCCATGGAATATAGGCGTTTCCAGCTATGGAGACTCTCATTGTTTGGGTGTAGGCTCGGACGGCAGCCTATCCGTGACATTCAGCGGTGAGTGATCTGGGCTGGGTGGATGCTTTCGGACGGTGACGATGTTTCCCCCCAGGTACTTCGATAGCGTTTGCTGGTAGTACGCCGGGCGTGCTAGACGCAATGCCGTTTCAAGTCAACATTGACAACGGATATGTTGAGGATACGTCGTATCTGGATGAGAATCATTATGAACGGTGGTACCAGTCACCGACACTAGGGGATGGGATTCATACCATCAACCTGACTGGGCTAGTGAACGGTACTGATTTGGATTATGTCCTCGTCGAGGCTGGTCCTTCGACGTCTCTCGCTAATTCATCCATCATAATCGACGATAGCAGTGCGGAAATTCGGTATTCTGCAGGCTGGGATCGGAATACCGATTCACTGGGTTATGTAGATGGCGTGTTCTTTTCGCCCTTTGGTGGCGGTACAACGGAGAGTACGACACAGAATAATTCATTTTCATTCCAATTCGCTGGTGAGTAAGTAATGGGATGGTATTCATTTCTTTACTAACTGTGTTCAATCGTTAAGGCACCGCCGTGTACGTTTATGGCGTCCATAAAGCCGTCGAAGGTGCCGTTGCGGCGCAATTCAGCGTGGACGACTCGCCGGTGTCGTTCGTATCGCTGGACCCTATGGTGCGGGAGGACGAAGACATGGTCAATTACCTGTTCTTTGAAAACACCAGACTCGAGCCTGGTAATCACACCCTGATGTGCAACGTGACAGAAATCACCGGCAACCAGTCCTTCGTGCTCGACTACATCGTTTATGCTCCATCTTTTGTATCGATATCTGACAAACCGAATTTCTTTCCCCAGCCCGGGGCAAACGCCTCCAATCCTTCGAGTCATTCTAGGCATAGTGCTTCGAACTTGGCAATATCTGCAGGGGCTATTGCCGGTGTCGTTGCTGGAGTCACTGTGTTTTGCTTTGTCGTTCTGGCGCTGAGCGTCATTTGGTGTAGGGGAGGAAAGCGAAGAATCGTAATGCTTTCACGGTCGTCGTCCTTTGGTGATGCCACGGTTGCGTCTGGGGGATTATTTCCCCCCGAACCATCGATGTATTCTAGTGACACTCAGGTCGTTCGCACACCTCTTGTACCGAATCGGTTTGATCCGAACCTATTCGTATCGAACGAGGTCTGGCCCCCAAAGTATCCTTCGTCTCGATTATCACTTTCATCGCGTTTCAGGGATTTTGGGATTGGTTGGGGGTATTCAAAAAGGACTCGTAGTTATCCGGAGAAGCTTTGATGGAACCAAGGGTTCTTACTTATTTATATTAATCTTTTACCGGCTTCAACGTTTGAATTTTGATGTATTACAGACAGATTTGTCGGCTCGCAAGGTCATGAATAGATAGGACGAGTCACTGTACACCGGGTATCAAACAAAGCCTGAGCCTCCTCCTCTGCCCCTCACAATAATGCCTGGTCCACCTCTTGGTACAGCGTGGACCGGTACGGCACCTCGAGCGCGTGCACGAGGAACGAAGCCACGATTAATTCCTCTAGGGAAGCCTCGGTGTCGACTTGCAGGTCCGCTAGTCGTTAAGTCGACATCCATATTAGCCCCATCTTCTTGCCCACCACCAGGCGCGTAACGTGCCATTGCGCGTTTTCCCCTCCTGCCGCCTCTACCTCGGATTCGGGTCTGGCCGTCGGTCAAGTCTGAGCCGGCACTCTGCGTATGAAGGAGCCCCCCTCCTTTTCCACCGCGACCGAACCGTATCGAGTTCGGCACCAGAGAAAGAGAAGTCATCGAATCTGCTAGCGCGTCCAGATCTTCGCTTTTCTCCTCCGCATGTAAATCTTGGTTAGGCTCCTCAGTTTCATTCTCTTCGGCAGTTCCAGCATCTGATTCGGCGTCGTCGTCGTCGTCCTCACCATCTCCCTCTCTTTTCTTCCATTCGCCGCGTATCATACTCGCGCCTTCACCCCATTTCTTCAACAAACCTCCGACACCCTTATTGGTGACAGCAAAGAAATATTCTTTTGGATAGCCATGCGCGTTTATTAGATGTAGTCGTCGTGCTTTGGGTGTCAGAAATAGCTTGGGACACGTCGTGAGGTGGCAAGCAAACTAAAGTATTTAGTTAAACGGCAGAAAATGGGGTCTCTAGACTTGACGCTTACAATCTTATCTCCCCGATCTTTACGAATAGCTGCTAATGGGTCATGGCATTCTGTTTGGTGCTGTACCAGGGGTCAATGGACAGCACTAATCGGTTGTGCCACTGCAACTCACCAGTTCGAGGAGCCTTGCCTCGGGAAACACGCAGGAACAGGCTTTCTCTTCACATACATGTGCATGGTACGTCGCGTAATGAGTCTCCAGGTCTTTCGAATTAGCGATAGAGGTAGGATTATGATTACATGTCGGCGGCAGCGTGCAGAGTAGCGGATGACTAGCACCGGCAGTATGCAAAGCTTTGGGCGCCGGCTCTGGCTCTGGCGACGACGAGGGCGACACAGTCGGCGAAACTGACGTTCTGGGCCTTTTCAAGGACATAGCAGCGCACTTTCAACAGAGTCCTGAGAGTGTGTGACAGCGTGACCGAGCGCTCTTTTATCCTTTCCGACGACCATGTCCTCTAAACGAAAATGGGATCAGCCGGGACCAGCAGCTGCTGAAGGAGGCGGTCTTGATGAGACAAAGACAGCAGTTGACGCGGCTGCCGCAGCTGCTGCCATCGCTGCCAAAATTGCTGCCCAGTTTGCAGAGGGTCTTGCCAAGGACGCCCATGAAGCCGATTACACGAAAGATATTGACATTAACGATGTCAGGAATAGGTATATGTTGACGAAGGGATCTACCCAGCAGGAGGTGCGCGTTGTATCTTCTACTTTCCTTGTGCATAGGCTCATGCAGATATAGATACACGAAGCGACAGGCGCATCCGTCAGCACAAAGGGCACCTGGTATCCTGACAGAAGTAAAGCAACTGAAAAAGATCCTCCGCTGTATCTTCATGTCATGGCATCATCTCCGGAAATATTACAACAGGCGATCGACCACATCAATCAGCTCATCGCCATCGATCTTGGGTCTCTTGTCGAGGATAAGAAGGACCGTCTGCGAGAGAAGGTAGGCTTGTCCACCATATGCTTCCTCTATCATATATCTTACGTGGAATTCTAGCGAAAATGGCCAGAAGAAAAACTACCTGTTGGTCTAGAGTCTATCCGGAATTTCCACATTCGTGCAAAGGTTGTGGGTCCTCAGGTGTGTATAGTTAGTTATCTTGTTCAGATCGATATTGTCTCATTCTGTTTTCAAGGGCCAATTCGTCAAATACATACAACAGGAAACCGGTACTCGTGTCCAGGTCAAGGGAATTGGGTCTGCTTTCCTTGAACCAGAGACAGGCCGAGAAAGCGATGAGCCTCTTTACATTCATATAACGTATGCCGCACTGTCTAAATCATCCATTCTTCGTCTAACATGTATGAAAATCAGCGGCCCCGAGGAAGGTCAGGTCGCAAGAGCCAAAGTGCTAACCGAAGACTTACTTCTAGTCGTCCGAGCTGAACACGCAAAGATGGCGGCTATTGTGCAACAACAACAAATGGAACTGCACCAAGCCCAAATGCAATATGCTGCCTACAGCACAATGGCGGTAGGTGTTGGCTTTATATTGTTTTGGGCTGATACTTTGGGTATCTTCTTCTTGTGTGCCTTTTTTGTTTTTTGTACACTTGCTTACCTCTAGCATGGGATTTGTTGGCGGCGTATCGTGAAGTATGAACAAACTGACCTTTGCGTCTAGGGTTACGGTCAACAACCTCCGCCTCCCCCCAACGGTGCACCCCCACCACCTCCCGGTGATCAACCACCTCCGCCGCCTGGTGCTGCGCCAGATGGCCAACCTCCAGCTCCTGGTACGGATCCTTCCAGTGCCGAGGCATATGCACAATATTGGTCAGTCATATTCTTCGTCCTCTTCTTTCATCCACACTGATGCAAAGTCTCTCCAGGGCCGCATATGGTTACGATGTCAACTCACCACAATTTAAGGAATGGGCGGCTGGTCAACAACAGCAGATGTACAGTCAATATTACGCTGGCGATGCTCAAGGCCACAACACAGCTAACCCGTCTGCTGGCGCTGCTGCTGCTCCTTCCGCCCCTGCTCCTCAAGAGCCTGCTCCACCACCGCCACCGCCGCCTCAGTAAGATTACTTACGATCCAAGTCTTGAGTATTGTATCGCTATCTGTGCTGTCCCATCTGGTTCGTTGAAATATAAATTAGGCTCTTCCATAAATTATATCAAAAAAAATCCCTGGTATCCTATGAGACTGAATATGCACTAAAGGAGTGATTTGCCCGAAGCTGGGGCGAATGAGGTGGAGAATAAGTACGGGGGAAGTAAGTAGAAGTGGAAGGAGATGAAAGAGATCCGGGCAGGTAGAGTGGGAGGGTAGGGATAAGCTCGAATACGTGCTGAGCCACAGCTCTTGAGTGACGGCCAGTAAACATGCTGTCGTTGGAGGAAACGGCATGGATGCGTGCTTCCTGGATCATGCGCTCGTCATCGACATCAGGCGTAGCGATGTTGGCACTCGCCAAGTCTGTGCCTCGACCATCCCAGATGCAATGTATATTATGGCCTGGGAGGATCTGTACCAGCCTGCCGGTTCGGATATGTCGGACTTCGATGAAACGTGTGTCGAAGAGTAGGATGTAAGGCCAATGAATGGCAACACGCTCCGCCGTGCCCTCCCATTCAATGGTACCGGTCGTTGGTCGGCTAGGTTCTCCATGTTTGTCGACGTAGAGACCAAATTCTGTCGAGTCGGATAAGTGACAATGAAGGACATGAATAAGTTGATCCTGACTGACCGTCATAACATAGGAGGAATTCGAGCTCATTGCACCGGAACATTCCTAATGGTTTACACCCTTCACATCGTTTGGCCAGCGGTGCATAGCCTTCTTTTAGGGTGGGAATAGTTCTACTTTTGAAGCTGTGGAAGGTTTTACGTTCGTGAGCTTGGACATCGGTACAGATCGATAAATAGCTTACTCCATCAAATCCATGATCTCGAACCCTTTTGTGAAAAGAATAGCGATTTTTGTTCTGAGGAAAACGACATCATAGGCTTCCGAGGGAACGAAAAACTCCCGGTAGTGTCGGAACCAGTCCGATTTAGGTGTCCGAAATCCGAATCGGGATGTGATGGCGGGTGTAGACTTGACCTTTTCGTTGATTTTATCTACAACGGGTTCAACGACGTAGAAAATACTCTCAAGCTGTACATGCCAAAATAAGTGTCAGGGAAAGTAAAGTGGTATGATGAGATAAACGTACGCCTTTTCTCTTCATATAGATTACTAACGTGCGACCATGTAACATCCCAACGCTGAAGAACGAAACATCTCTGCTTCCGTTCAACTTTTGAGGAGTCTGGGAGGCATGGCTGCTCTGCGGTGATGAAGGCACCAATGCCTCTATGTGGTACGCGAAAAGGGACTGGTAGAAATGTCAGCTTCGTGCTCGGCGCTTTGGGCAAACACCAACTTTATCAGCCAATACCAGAAAGATGCCGAAGTCTTCTAACATGGCACATTGCGTGACCATCTTAAGATGAAGCACTCGTCGCATTGCTACAAGAGCATGAGAAAGCACAACGCAACTAAACACGCCCACATACATCGTGAATCATGTCTGAAACCAATCCATACCCCTTCAGCACACCCGATGGCCACAAGTCCTCGTCCATCCGAAGTATCTGAAAAACAAGTGAGATCCATCGACTTATGAGCAGGAATCTAGTCTTACTAAAGGGAACGGAGCAAGTGACCTTTCCAGTGAAGGAGTTTTCAAGATTCCATGACGGCGCTGTTTGACCTGACGCCATCGAAGGCACCAAAAATGTGTCCGAGCTCAGAGTCTCGACTTCGAAGACCTTGTTAGATTCTTGTACAACTTTGCGAAGTCCCATAGCCTCTTCCAACTTCTGCTTCCATTCCGAGCGTACTTGGGCAGACTCTGCGTAGAGTATGTAGTTTCCTCCTAGCCGACCATTGTGGTGAATGGTGCAGGGAAACACTGATCGCGAATCCGAAGCGCTCTCGGGAGACCGAACTCCGGCGTTTGCAGTCAAAGAATCATGCCGTTCACCTCGAAGATTCCGCAGAAGACCAGTCCCACGTTGAGCAGGCGGGTCAGTGAAATTGACAAGCGTCAACAAATCAAGAGGGATCGGCTAACTCGTGTTGTTAGTGTAGAACAACGAGAAAAACAAAGCATTGGTTACCCGACGGTTGACATGATATTTCAGGACACCATTACGATCTTCCCTAGGCTTCGTCATAACCACTGTGATTAACAGTGTGAGTACAAGCAACACAGCAAAATGTGATGGCGACCGTCTCACAGTAGTTGTCGAACAGAAGAACAAAGAGTTCGCTCCATCCATTCCATTCCAGTCCACCATCAGGCTGCCGAAGGAGCTTACCGGTGTGAATCAAAGATCGGTTGTCATCGAGCAAATCCATATCCTGAAAGTAATATCAGAACAAGCGCGGCGCCATGATGATGCACGTACAATCCATTCCCCATTCTTGAATGTGATATTCGAATTATACCGCCAAAGTTCCACTTTCTGCTTGGCCGATACAACACCAGGCTCAGTATCCTTTCCGAGTGCTTTGATCACATCCAAGACCTCCGGTATCTCGCGTTTATCGTCATGGCCCGGTGGAGTCTCATCCAAAATACCCTTCAACAGAAGCTCGTATCGCAGAAGTCTAGGTATTGGACGATTGATAAAGCTCTTCATATCCAATCGGTGGGCATCAGGGTGTTTGACGCATTGCTGTTAGGAGATGTCAACCACAGGCATATGAAACCGTTTTCACTCCTGCCCACCTCGACGAATTGCTTGAATGCTGGGTTGTTAGCCATCTCGTCGTCAATCCTATAAGCTGCGATGGGATAATTGGGGATATACTCCAAGTATGCATCCCGGAAGTTCAGGGCGGCATCAAAAACCGCTGCAGTGATCGTTCGAATGACCGGATGTTCCTCTCGCTGAATCTCATGAAACTTTTCTACTAACCGTCGATGGTGAGCATGCAACTCAGCAAAATTGTGGAACACGTCGGTTATGAACTTCTCGAGTGCGTCTCGAGGAACGATAGACGGATCAGCAGCACGCAGTGGGCGAATGTACATCTGTCGCAGGGTAATCAATCAGTTTCAAATCGTCTCAGGACGAATCCAGGTTACCAACCACATCGATATTTTCTAAATCTTTGACGTATGCCATCTCACCTTTGATAAGCTCAAATATAATCCTGGACATTACGATCATCAGTGGTGCAAACCCATGATGACAGCCTATAAACGCACGACTGCCGCTTGCATTCGTCTTTGGTCAAGCTCTGTCGGAGCTCATTCGAGACGAGATCATGCCATTCCCACTTGCCGGGAGCACCTCTACCCATCGCAGACTGGAATGTGCGCAGCTGTGCAACCGACTGCAGATTTTTGATGGCACCTATGGCCTCCAGTAAGAAATCACCATCGGGATTGCCGTGCGCGGTCTCGTTGTAAACGGCCTCCAACAAAACTGGATATTTTTGCAAATGTTCTGAAGGACGATTGAGGAGGAGTTTCAAATCCAGACGCATAGACTCTCCAGATCGAACAGTATCACGAGCGCATTGCTGAGGGAGTAATCAGAATAAATGAGAAGGATAACAACTCAACCAACGGGAGATCTCACCTCGATGAAAAGTCGAAATTCGGAATTGTTTTCCATCTCCTCTTTCAGCCTTTTCTCGGCTAGAGGATGGTGTCCGATATAGACAGGGTACGCCCACCGAAACTCGGTGGCAGCATCCAGAAAGACATCCCCGATGCGCTGTATGACCGGGGACTGTTCACGCTGCCGTACATACATGACCTCTAGAAGTCTGCGATTGCATTCCCGAAGATCTAAGATGTTGCCAAAGACTTCGTCAATGAAGTCGTCCAACTCTGAGGAGGGGATGACGGCAGGACTAGCATTACGCAAAGGTCGAATGAAGACGGATTCGACAAGATTCAAGTCCTGAATATATTGCTCTTCCTTATCAATGAGTTTGTGGATTATGCTTCCGAAAAAAAATTAGTTAGCAAAGACAGAATAGTATGATCCTTACGTTTGCCGGTTAATCTCGCTTTCAGGTAGTGAGACTAAGACTTCCCGTGGTACTGTGTTGATCCATTCCTGCCTGCCTACCGCTGTAGTAGTTTCGGGTCCAGTGGAGGGGCCGACTACCGAATCGCCCTAAAGAATGCAGTTAAGCAACTTACACGGAAAAGACTAAATATCGCCTGACCTTGCGTGGACATCGAGGAGAATAACATACCGATCCTTCGTCGCATCCCGGAGAATAGCACTTTGTCAGAACAGTGACGACTCCTGTAGGAAGTTCTGCCCTCTCTGGAGGTTCATCCGATGCTCCAGGAAGATCATCCAGAAACATATACACGTCCTCCACGCCATCCTGCAGCACCTGACCTCCCCACTCAACTTCATAGAAAAATAGTTGGCTTTGCAGACTTCGAGCAACTTGAAGCGCGGCCCGCCGATCGCTCGTTGAAAAGCCATGGTTTATTGCCAACTCTCGTTGTATTTGAGATTGTATCGTAGACTGAGATTGGGCTTAGATGACATGGAAAACGCAGAGCCCGATAACACATACCACAATATCTTTTCCGGTGAATGCGCGCGGATAAGGGATACTTCCCTTTACGTGAGTCCCTCGGGGTACTTTGTCACGCAGCTGGACAGAAATATGAGATAAGAGGGAGAAGTTCACGAAAAGGTTCTCGTCCTCTTCGTCATCCTCCCAGTACTGATCCTCTTCCTCTTCTTCTGCCTGCAGCTCGATATGTGACGTCTTGTCCTCCTCATACGTCGAAATCACTTGGAGCAGGTCGGTGGGTCTCCGACTGAAAGTGCTCGGTCCTGCAACGTTTGCGTTTGACCCACTAAACGCGAAATAATGATCAGACTCGGCAGGGGATCCTGTTGAATCACCTCGAGCAAGGGCGGTGTCTGCGAGTACGGCAGGGGAGTGGGAACTCAGGTAACCTGACGACCCAGATACAGAGCTATCTACATATCCATCATCTGCGATATAAATGAGCTCTGAGTTTTGAAGTCGGGACAAGTGAACTGACAGGAAGATGGTGCACCATGAGGAAGCCAAGGCTCTGGCGGACTTGTCGAATACGTACTGCCTTGCTTAAATCCGGCCGCGGAAAACTGAGAAGTTGGAGAGCTATATACTGGTGTGTCTTCATGGTCACGAACGTTGGCAGTTGGAGACTCGACATAGACATGAGCTGGGACCGACTGGGACCCTGGAGCCACCGGCCTTATGGAACCCTGTGGATTAGTCATAGCACCAGAGATGTGTGTGCCATTGGAAGATGGTAGATAGTCTGCAATGGGCCCATCGAAGTGGAACGAAGGTGCAAGGGAGGGAGAGTCGGAAATACGAATAGAGGATCCTGGCGGTGGTGGTAGATGCCGGCTCGTCGAATCTGCTGGCAACACATAACCATCAAAGCTGGTCTGTCGAATACCACGATCTTGCGAAATGGGCGAAGTTGTGGTAGAAGAGCCAGGAGTTGGAGGTAATGGCCGGACTCTTGCAGGCGGCCTCGCTGCCACCGTCTTCGATGGCGATGACGCCGGCGATGAGTCTTGTGGATCATCTGAATAATGCATGGTCAAGAAGATATCCACATGGACTGAAAATATACGCACTATTCAGAGACCGTCTGCTCCCATTTACTCTATTGCCATTAACATCTGATTTCGCACTTGTACTGGGTGAATATCCTTCCCATACCCTGTCAAAAAGCGCGTTGAAATCTTCGTCGTTAGGATCAGAAAGGTTATCGTCGGAAAGTCGGGTCATTACTATGCGTGGGATAGCTGCCTGTGAAATTTGGATTATTTAGAAAGGCTTGCTTGCGTGACTGGAACCCTCTTCACTGCAGTGTACAAGAGGAGTATAACAATGGGTTCCTGACCTAGTGGAGAGCGACGAAGGCAGCGATGCGGCGCAACGATGAAGATGGTAACGAGAAGAGAGTGAGACCGGCAGATATGGGAGGATCTCTACTAAAGAAGGAAGTCGCCCTTGGACACCGACTTGGACGTCCTTATCATCCTTCGCTACCTGCAAGACAAAAGGTGAACGTCGCCAGCCATCCATCTGATGATAGAACGACGTGAACGTAAAAACGAAAAATTCCAATCGTAGAGCCGTCAATGGAGGATCAGGCAAATTTGAATGATGGACGCAGCAATCTGAAGTGCACTTCTTCTGTACACGACGTGGCGGAGGAAAAACCTCCGTTCGGCTCCAGGTACGCCGTCGTTATTCCTGACAATGAAGACGCTCAGACTTTAGACAGGTTCTTGACAGACGATGCCGAGGTCTGGACTCAGAATGCTTGGGACCATGTCCCTCCTCCCGACGACCAGGACGAAATCATCGCCGCATCGTTAACGAAACAACGTTCTGCTCCAGTTCCAGAGGATGATAAGCGCAAGTATCATGACAAGCCTGCAAAATTCTGGTATGTTTTTCAATTCTTTTCCATTCAAACCATCAGTCGACATGATTAGGGATAATTTTTACAAGGCCAATTCGAGCAATTTCTTCCGCGATAGAAAGTGGTGCGAGACTTACTCTACCATGTTTCGCTAGGTTGACCATTCCCACAGGCTACATAATGAATTTCCTGAGCTAGTGGAAGCTACGCTGGCAAAGGTAATCTTTGCTTTTTCTAGTATTTGCTCAACCTTACCTGAGAGGATGAAGGCTGGCACTAAGACTATCGTCGAGATTGGATGTGGTGCTGGAAACTCTGTATTCCCCCTCTTAGCCTCGAATCAAAATCCCGACCTTTCAATTTTTGCCTTTGACTATGCTCACCATGCCGTCAAACTTGTGCAGGTAAATTTACCGCTGTTTTCCCTAGCGATGATATTTTAAGTCGCCGGATTCTAGTCAAATCCTCTATACGAATCACCTCCCATGGGCTCCATAACAGCGGCGCCCTGGGATCTATCCTCTGACAAACTTCCCAAAGTAGAACCTGGGAGCGTGGATATTGTAATAATGGTCTTCGTTCTCAGCGCTCTACATCCGGATGAATGGCATAACGCTCTAAAAAACATGCATACGGTACGTTTACCGTTTTCAGTTCAGGGAAGGACGGCTGACTAGGCCTAAAAAGTACTGAGTAAACGGCAAGTTTATAGTTAGTATACTAACGGATTCTCCGACTTGACTCGTCGTCAACGGCAGCGCATTATGTAAATAATGCAATTTGACCTGCTTGCATTTATTCGGTACTTTTTAGGTCGGTCGGCAGTTCACTTCCCGCCGTGCTTTATGCCGCAGCCCCAGCCTAATATTCTCTAGATGCTCAAACCCGGTGGTCTTGTCATGTTCCGCGATTACGGCCGTCACGACTTGACGCAACTGCGTTTCAAAGGTGGCCGTTTACTCGATGACAATTTTTACATTCGGGGCGATAAAACTCGCGTATACTTCTTCGAACTAGGTTGGTGACTGCGTTCATCTCTCCCCGTCTCGCTTTTGTAACATTCTCGTCAACTAGACGAATTATCTCTTTTGTTCACCGGCTCCAGGATACCAGAAAGCGAGCATAGCGTCAAGAACACTGTTGAGGATGATAATGGTCTTTCCGTCGAAACAGATGTGGATGCCCCATCCGGCACTGAAACACCTGCAACGGCGGATGTACCTGAGGACATAAAGGCACCATCAATACACCCAAGCTTACTATCATCACACCCCTTGCCTCCCCTTTTCGCTACAGAGCAACTCGGGGTCGATAGGCGCTTAATCGTCAACCGGAAGCGCCAGATCAAGATGTACCGCGTCTGGATGCAGGGCAAGTTCCGCAGACTTTAGCGGAACTCCTCAATATCTTTCTTCATTACTTATGTAAAGAAAGTACTCAGTAATCCATAATACGTGGTTTTAATCTTAGAAAATAATCGCGGCAATCTTTTCTAGCAAAGTGCATTGTGGTACTTCCACTGTCTCTGTTTCCTCGATGCTCGGAATGCCCTAATAAGCACAGCGTTGTTAGCAGGGGATATGCTTGGCAGGACATCCAAGAGCACTCACAGTTACCATATCCATATCTTTCGGTTTCCAGACGGTCGTACGCATTATGAATTTATAGCCAAAGTATAATGTGGCAAAAATCGGCAGATTGATATCTATCGGTCACCATCAGCAAGGTATTCCAACCGAGAGAATGACACGTACATGCAACCAAGAAATCAGATACGTTAAAGTTGAAAAACACCGCGTATCCGTTGACGAGGGTGAAGAAGATCGTCCAAAAGATACCCCACCATGCAAGGTAGGGTTGCCAAGAGTGATTATAAATGTTTTCCTTGAGATCGAAACCTTGGGACACCATGCCTCGACCTGGGAAGCGTCAGCTCGGGTAGTCAGCCTGGTTCAAAGCGGTGAGGTAACTTACGGAAGAATATGTAAGTCAGGTTAATACAGAACCAGCCGATGAAACCTCCCGTGGCTGTAAGGTTCTGCAACCAGCTACAGACCTTAACATGAGAAACAAGGTATTCACGTAGCATAAGACACATACTAGAAGACCTGTTCCGCACCACTACTAACAGTCATGAAAGATAACAACGAGAAGCAGCACTAACAGCATTCTCATCTCCACTGCCTTCAAATAACTATAAAAATAGCGGAGACATACCGTCACAAGAACAGCAGTAAGTGGGAGACCATTTTTTGTACAATACGTCAGGAAACGAGGTCCTTGTCCACGTAAAGCAAGACCATAAAGAATTCGCGAGCCACAGAACAAGTAACTATTTCCAGCGGAAAAAGCACTCGTGAACACGGCCGCGTTGATAATATGAGGAAGAGCTGATGATAATAAGTAAGCTGTCTTCAGGCAGGCCTGCGAACGTACCTTTGACACCAGCACGGTTAAAAGCAATAACGAATGGTGACTGGGCGGCGTTTCCGGATGCTGAAGGACAAGTAGTGAGTCGTGATATGTATGCCCTGGGAATGACCAGGCCTCTTACTGTTCAACAAGGCGTCGTCGTCATAGGAAACAAGCATGCCAATCATAAGTATGCCTAGTATCTTCATGGCGTTGGTTAAGAACAAGATGCAAGATCGCTAGAAAGAGTAAACGTACATAGAAAATGACGATTCGATAAACGACCCGATTAACTGCCTTGCCTATATTTCGACGAGGACTTTCTGTCTCGGAAGCGGCGCTGGGAACGACCAAATAAGCGTCATATAGGACGAGACAAGAGAGTGCATTTCGTTTACATGGCCACTAGCTCCATGCCTATGAACGAGAAGGCAGCCTGGATGATTACAGACATAATTGCTAGGAAGCGGTCTGTATTAACATTAGAGACTAAGCCGGCTAGGCCAAGTGCTCCAGGGTTTTTCCAATACTGCAGAAATCAGAAAGTCAGGCATTTTGACTCGGTGTTCATTTCGGAGGTATACTTGCTCGAAAGCCAATTCGGTCATGGTTGGGTCCTCCACCGAGATCTATCACCAAACCAGCCAGCAGTAGGCCAATGATGGTGGAAACTACGTAAGAATGGTGAATACCATATTGCAACATAAGGTGCGTCACTCACGCTTGATGAGGGCAAAGAAGAATTCGGCTACGCGCCTTGGTGAATACAAGGATGGTACTTATAAAAGAAGATGTCAACGTACATTCTCCAAAGTATCTAGCAGAAATCTTCATTTAATGACTAATTTTCGACACAGAAACACTCACCTCACACCAAAAATATTGATAGCGCACACGAACACACATATGACTGCCGTATAAATGGCGGCGTGACTGGCCTGTACAGTCCAGGGAATAACGTTGTTATGTAGTTCGCAATGACTTGCCACGCTACTTCACGCTTACATTGTTGTCCCAAAAGGTAAGCAGGATAACGGCTGCTGCGACCTCTACTGGAACAGAGATACTGTATAGAAACAAGTTATATTTTGCAACGTCATAGTCTACTAAACTTCACTCACGCTTGCCCATAAAAGTAGTTCTAATACCGTCAGTCAAAAATCATAAATCAGTCGGTGTAACCTACCCATCCGACCGCAAAACCAAACGCCGGGTCGACCCAACGGGCCGCTGTTCCGTAGCGTTTCACTAAAAACGTCATCAAGGATGTAGGAAGCTCACCAAAGTGTGGAAAAGTTCCAGATATGGGTGCAAAGGTGGACATCTCTCCCACTGAGCACAAGGAACTAGATAGTAGTAACATGCTAAGCGGAAATATATTTTCTCAAATTGAATCATGCCTACGAATATGCCACTGTTCCAACCAATACGTACGCAATGAGCGCACCAAGAGGTCCTGCAACACGGAGAGCTTCACCGGATCCGAGAAACAGCCCAGTGCCAATAGTACCGGCAATCTGACATACAATTCAAGAATCCCTTTGGGACAAGGGACAGGGAATAGGATCATCGATAAGTGGACTTACTGCGATCCTATAAATAAATTCGGTCAACAGATACAATTCAGAAACCAAAAATTTGTCTCACATCTGCACATGTCGCTGTTTTAATCGACGCTTGAGAGGATCTGGGTTATCGTTATAGAGCTGAAATTTGGCATTGGGGGCAGCGATATCGTCAGGTGGTTGCGCCTCAGCGATCTCAGCCTTGATGCTGGTGCTGTCTTGTTTCTCGACGTCGTCCATGGAGTGACGGTGCTGAGACACGTAGGAGAACGTTTGCAAGAACCCCCCTTTGGGGCGACCAGACCTTTATACGATTCAAGTTCGGATCTAAGCATCTTTCTCGTCCTGGCGAATCCTATATGCTTCTACGTCAAAAGAATTGGAAGGAGCTGATGGAAAATGATGAACCCGAGTTCGATGGAGATTGGTCAGGCTGTGGCTGGGAATGATGTTGAATAACAATGTACGGTGTTGGTACGCAGGAAGCAACATGTAGATTGGATTACAGACCCATAGGCCACCTATCCATGGCATAAGTGATCACACTGGTCGGGGATGGAATCGACCGGTATGCACCGATGGTGCCATACAGGAACCAGAGTACCGAAAGGCACCATTGCAGAATTTTGAGGGGGCCTCAGTTCGAGTAGCTCCAGTGTCGAGGTTTTCCCGAGTCCGCGTCCAGCAAGATGCCGTACCGCCTGAGCGATCGCGGACTGGTACAAAGCTTGGCCTTCCAAGTCATGATACAGAAATTTGCCAGAATACTATTCATCACCATTTTTTAAATATTCCACTGAATGAAGGTCCATAAGAGCTACTCAATTTCAAGACCGTACCCATCAGCTTCAAGTCGAGAACCGAGTGCAGCTGCACAACCTGCCGAACGAGAGGACTTTCGTCCTTGGATCTCCAACTGATAAAGGCCTAATTATAAGAGCCTTGTGGCCTCATGGTAATCTTATTTGACCTCACTGTCCTGGTACGTGGTATGGGAATAGGTGGGTCCAGTGTTTGTTTCAGATTACTCCCGGGCCGAAGAGGATTTCAATACACACAACTGCACAGCTTATTTCCCTACTTAACGTCCACTACCTCTGTTGCTGGCCGATCATGAGTACCGGTCGACTGAAGCGTAAACTAGGCGACCTTGGGGTGGATACGTCTAGTACCAAGGCCAATGAAACGTTTTGTCTGGTGCGTGCTCCGTCGGCTTGGCCTTTTGGATTCTACTTAATTCTTACTTTAGATTGGGACGCCATTACCGCCCCTAGAAAAGTCAAAGGATAGTGGAGAGTTCGTACCTATATGGAAGCAAGATGTATGTCAAGAAATTTCTCTATCTTCCGCTTTCTTATGTGCTGGGAAGGTCCGAGACGAAAAGGGTCGGAGACGCTTACACGGCGCATTTACGGGAGGTTTCTCTGCAGGCTACTTCAATACTGTCGGCTCCAAAGAAGGTTTGTATTCCATGCCAGAATCGGTGGCACTATCTCATGCTTGGTCAGGATGGGTGCCGTCTACATTCGTGTCGTCTCGGAATGACCGTGCCAAGCAGAAAACAACTCGCCCTGAAGATTTCATGGATGAGGAGGATCTTCAAGAACTCAAAGACAATCGAAACATTATTGACACCACAGATGAGATGGATTTTATGGGTGGAACGCAAGCTGAGAAACAAAGGAGAGAGGGCGCCGATGCGGAGAACGAGTGCGTCATATTCTTTAATCACTAGCTACTTCTAAGTTTCTACAGTTCCATAGCCAGTGTACTTGAGGCTTCAATGCTCCCCGCTCCAAAGGATTCGGCTGGTGCTCGAATACTCAAGAAGATGGGATGGCGTATTGGTAATGGCATCGGTCCTCGCGTCAGTCTGAAACAGCGAAAGCTACAAGATCTACAAGCGTTCACCAGCCAAGCTTTGAGCGGCGATGACATAAAAGTAGCTGACGATGAGGAGGAGGCTAGCAAGCACATGTACGCTCCACGAGATACGCCCGTAATCAGGTTTGACCGTAAGGATAATTTTCATGGTTTGGGCTATCGCCCCGGTATGAGTCTGAATGAGAGTCTCGGTGTCAATGGTGGAAAGTCATCATCAGGACCTAACCTATCTGGTGCGTCGACCACAGTGAATCACTTTGACAACCCTTTGAATTATTTGCAGCTGGCTTCGGTCTGGGCGCCTTAAATGACGCCGAAGAGGACGACTTGGATGTATATGATGGCGCCTCTAGCCTGCGGAATCGTGTTGCGTACGACATTGCAGACAGTCAGAATGACGATAGGATGTCCATCGGCGCGAGTTCCGCAAGAGGGAAGACATCGAGCGTTGTAAGACCTTCTTGAAGCGGTCCCTTTCGTTAGCTTATCTTTTCAAGAGGTCAACGCCAGGGATGTTCAATGACGGTAGACTAATTCTCGCTGGCTTTGTAGCGTCGGACAAACCTGTGTTAGAGGATCGGTGGTCAGTCTGGACAATGACTGACAGTAATCCGAACCTGACATTCTATACAGGTACGCTCTTCCAGAGGTTCCTAAAGGATGGAAGCCCGACCCCCAACGAATTTGGGAGCAAGGTCCAGAGAAAGAGAATATAAAGCAAAAGAGCACTGCTCTGCCTCATCAGGAATGGAAAACGTCTGGACCTTCTGCCGATGAGGTGCGTTGTCAGTTGTCTCCCTTTTATCTGGTGGTCCTCAAAATGCATATATAGCGTGGTGCGATGTTGGGAGAAACTCCCCTTCCTTCTGCGCCCCGGTCTGTGTTCGATTACATGTCAAAAAAAGATCGGGAACGGCTCAAGAACATTGCCTCCGGTGGGGCACCAACCGGACCTACGCCCGTTCCACCTGTGTCACTTACTGTACCATACCTGGAGCCTCATATAGCTAGCGCTGCTCTTCGTGGTTTTCAACCTTTTACTTCCGACCCAGCTAAGCAATCCCGATACACATCGTATATACAATCACAGGCAGATCCGACTGCGTATCCTTTCTCGCTGAAGCCCCTCCCTTCCCAACGCATGGACGAGTTCAATAAGGAACTCCAAGATTACTCCAAAGCTGCACAGATCTTCAAACCCGTCTCTGGCACCATGGCTGGCCGCTTTACTAGTGCCACAGTTATTGATCATGGCCCCAAGATCCACGAAGGTCTGCACACTCCTTCCGTGGAGGAAATTGCCGCGAAGGAAGAGGAGGAGCGAAAGCAAAAAGAGGAAAACGTTAGTCCCAAGGTACACGCTGCGCGAATGGGGATGTACGGCCCCATGACGAGAGAAATGAAGCCGTGGCAGCCAGCAAGGCTTCTGTGTAAACGGTTTGGCGTGAAGGATCCCAATCCGCCGCCGGAAGAGGAGGCAGCAGCACCGACGTTTGAGCCACCTGCACCCGATGCGTCGTTCTTCGCCACGCCGGTAGTTCCCTCGACGTCAGAGCGGAGGGATCTGTCGAACATTGGATTAGGAGAGGATGAGAGCCAGGGGAAGGACACGCTCACGTATGAACGGCCTTCGATGGACGTTTTTAAGGCTATTTTCGCTAGTGATGATGAGGATAGTGATGATGAGAAGGATGGGAAGAAGGATGAAGAGGATGAAGAGACTGAAGCTACAGTCGCGGCTCCAAAGGATCCGATACCAAAGGATCCAGTACCGAGCCAGGTTTCTGGACCGGTGGATATGAGCACGTTCAAGCCGATGTTCATACCACGGGAAGGCAAAGAGAAGGATAAAGAGAAGTCAAAGGAAAAGAAGAAGAGAAAGAAAGAAAAGGAGAAGAAACCTGTCTTGGTTTCTTTTGCGATGGAGGAGGATATAGGTAGCGCTGATGTTCCTCTGCCTGTGAAGAAGAAGCGGAAGGACAAGGATAAGAAGGGGAGGGCGAAGGCTAAGGATGATGACGACGCTATGTGGGTCGAGAAGCCGGCGCCGGAGGTTGTGAAGGACATGGAATTCTATCCTCCCCAGGATGATGACTCGACCATGGCAATCGATGGTAGTTATGCGCCTGCAAGAGGGAGGAAGAGGGCGATAGATTTCATGTAGATATATTAATGATATCAAATCTAACTGCTTTCTCCATCCTCGTCCTCGTCCTCGTCATCTTCCTCGCCATTGTCATCTTCCTCTTCCTCTTCCTCTCCTTCGGTCTCTCCTGTCTGCATGTCCCATTCATCTGCAGCATCTTCATCCTCATCCTCACTACCTCCTGTATCGTCCTCGCGCTTACGCTTCTTTATCACCGTATTGGTGACCGCTGCCTCACCATCCGCGATAGCGATGCAAGTAAGCCTAGTCCCTTTCGAATCATAAACAGCCACCGGTTCAATCTCCTGGACTTTTTGTGACGTTTTGTCCAGTGCTGCCAGGTCATATACGTGGATTTTGCCATCAGACGATGCTGTGCACACAATTGTCGTGGCAGTCCTCTTGGACGCTGGCAAGGCGATGGAAAGGGTCTGAACGGCTTTGACTCTGTTATGATGAGTAAATTGCAAGAGGAAGCAATTCGTATAACATACCGATTTTCGTGACCCACCATCAAACCGATTATGGTCGGCGGTTTTTCGGGGTCATTTGAAACGTCATAGATGGTCAATTTTTTATCTTCGGCACCGACGAGGAGTACTTCCTCGTCACTGTCAACGCGTTTGCAGAATTTTGCGTCGTGTAGTCGTGATGGGTGTTTTATTGTGTGTAAGAGTGTCATTTCCTAGAACCAGAATGAGAAAGGAATGATACGGATATCTACATAGGATACCGACAGTGTTGTAAAGGTCTATTGTCGATCCCGATTGGACGATGAAGAGTGAGCCCGATATGGACCATCGAACGACTTCGCCCTCTAAAAACCCCACTCAATATTGAAAGGAAAGAGAAGTTATGGAAATGACGGACCTTTTCCCAACTTGGTACTCGCACTTCCTTTCCCCCGCATGAGATCCCACATACGCAGGGTCCTGTCCTTACCTACGCTCAGCGCTACCTTTCCAGACGGATGGACTGCTACGCAGTTGACATGGCCTTTATGGCCCTTCAGCGATCGCAAAACGGCCCAATCTCGTGCACGGAACAGACATAATGTCCCATCTTCAGAGGCTGAGAGCAAGTGTCCCCGAGACGGGAAGCTCAAGTGGGTTATTGAACCTAGATAATCGCAGGGTAAGAGGGAGAGTAGCATGGCAAAAACAAGGCTGCTTGCCTTCATGATGCATAAGCCCCCCAATTTCCTTCTTCCTTCGCAGATCCCATACTTTTATTATTTCGTCTGAGCTCCCGGTAGCAAGCCATTTGCCTCCGCTTGGAGACACGGCGACAGCCTTGATGCATGAGACGTGTGCAGGGAAGGTGAATATAGGCTTGAGGTGGAACTCGAGCATATCGTCATCCCCAGAGACGCGCCCTTCTAGTCCATAGAGTAGTTTCTCGTATGAACCGGCGACGATTTTGAATGTAGAGGGTAGAGTAGAGGGTTCAGTTTGTGGTACTGCTTTTTGTTTTCCTTTGTCCTTGGTGGATGATGCTGAGCTCACTGCCCCAGACTTGTCGCGTTTTGCCTGGACCTTTGCTTTTTTCGGGGGAGGAGGAGTGGCCTTTGGCATCAGAATAAAAAATTTGGTGGACGTGTGCTGGAAAGGGTAGTGGCACCGCCACCGGACCGTCCCAACCGCGTCTTTTGACCTGTGCAGCTTGCTCGAGGAAGTACGGGATAGCTATAAGGACAGGCTTGGCACAACACCAAGCCCCCCGATCCATTACGGCACGCGAACGCTATTAGGTACATACGTAGTTATAATGTAAAAGTAGGGGGGGAGGGTGGGCGACGAAAAATAGCTCAGCAAAGCCTCATCAGGCAGCAGTGAACAGTTACTGGATGCGTTAGAGAGGCGACACCTCGAAGCCTGGTGGTGATGGTTAGGTAGTCTCACCTGAGGATGGGGGATGGAAGTGAAGATGAGAGTCGCACCAATTTTTCAGATATACCTTTTGCTGTTTCTCTGGAATTCCGCCTTTTCTTGTCCTTTTTTGTCATGTTCCGGCTGACTAATTGTATCATTCATAAGGAACATAAGTCATGTAACTTCCCATCCTTCCACCGTGACAATGGCCTCTGCATTTTCTGACATCGCAGTCACCGTCGTATTTCGCGGCACTCCTCATCACGTCAATTTGCTTCCCGAGAGCACACTGGGTGACCTACAGAATCAGCTGGAGAAGGCCACATCTGTATCACCCTCCCTACAGAAGCTCCTTTACAAAGGCAAGAATATCAAGCAGAATAGAGATGGCCAAGAGACGATAGCTTCAATGGGTCTTCGCAATGGGTCCAAGATCCAAATGTTGGGAACTACGTCAGAAGAGTTGGATGGTATACAGGCGACAGAGAGCGAACAAAAGCGGATCAACCAGATATTGCAAGAGCGAGCGCTGAAACCGGCTTACAAGGTATTCAGCCTCAGTATCAGTACTGTGCCGCTGCTCACTGCGTATAGGTTCGCTCTACAGGGACGATGAACAGTGCTTCGCTCAACTACGGTTTTCATCAACTGCTGCCTCTTCCTCACTTACGCAACCCTACCTCCGCACATAAACTCTTACGGCGCCTATCGGATGATCCAGCCATCCAGCACATCATGCAGCAGCATCAGTTCTCTGTTGGTGTATTAACCGAGTTGGCACCCCATGAGCATCCCGGGTTGCTTGGTCTTAACGTTAATGCCGGGCAGCAGATTAAACTTCGACTACGGACAGATCGTTATGATGGATTCCGTGCATACAATGAGGTCCGGCGTGTTCTATGTCATGAACTGACGCACAACGTTTGGGGAGATCATAACAACGACGTACGTGCATGAATGTATCGTTCTGTGCTTTTACTGACGCTTGATTTTGCTTAGTTCAAGGAACTCAATTCGAAGCTCAACAGAGAGGTCGCCGAATTCGAACGTGCCAGACGCGATGGCACGCATTCTCTGTCTGGTCTGGACTCTTACGACGTGTACGAACCATCGCCGGAACTCGAGGCGGAGGCCCATATACACGTCCTCGGAGGATCTGGTCCTTTCAACCGTGACGAGGAACGTCGTCGGCATCTGTCGACAGAGCAGGAATTGGAAGATTCTTGTGGAACTGCAGGCCCATCTTCACTAGGCCCTTAAAGCCAAGCATCGACAATTCATATTCATTATAATCAAGGTCTTGTTCGTCGGAATATTGTAGATGCTAAAGACGGAACAGCGGCGTTCCACTGTTTAAGTGGAGGCCAGTTGCTGCTAAGGACATCGGTAAGTATGGTAAATAGTAGTACTTACTGTAAGCCAAGCCTTGGATGGGTGCTCAGTGCCCGACGGATATGGAGACTTATTTGCATAATTAAATATATGATACGTTATTTACACCTGTTATTATTCAGGGTTCTCATTTCCTGTTTTCGGGCTCAGGAGTACCTTTGCTCTCTGCTCTCAGCGTTGCGCCCGTTCTCCAGTCTATTTGCAAACGTTCATCATGCCTAGATCCAAATCTGCATCTAATCTTCGCCAGCAGAGACTGAACTTCTCCGCTTCGAAGCGTACTTGTAGCTCTGGAAGCAAAAAACCTAATGGCACTCCAATCCTTTCAAATCCTGTAATGCTTGACTCGGACAACGATATTGACTTATCGTCTTCGGAGGATGGAGATGAACAAGTTCAAGTTGTACGTTCTCCTCACAAAGACAAACAGGCTGTCGCGGGGTCAGGTATCAAGAATAAAGGTTTGTTACATATTACCTGGTCACCCAGTAGCAAGAAGCTGACACCATGACAAAGGGAAAGGGAAAGCTGATGAAATGGGCCTCGTAGAAAGGGATCCCAAGTGGAGGTCTATCTACAACGCATATAAGAAGAAGAGTGACGTTGTCGAACTGAGTGAGTAGTGTCTGTACCCTTTAGTCTTTCTCTCACATCAGATTGCAGTCCATGGCGAGGATCAAGACAAATTCCACGAGATACTTCGGGTTTTTGATCTGTCAGTCAACATTACCTTGCTTGCGGCTGCTATATTGACGATATATATGTGTGTTTCAGTTCGTACGAGTACGGTCCCTGTATTGGTGTCACAAGGTTGGAGCGCTGGGAAAGGGCTGCCAAAATGGGCCTCAACCCTCCCCCCGAGGTGCGCCCCATTTCAAAAGGTTGACACAGAGCTAAGCAAATTATTCAGATTCATGACATTTTGACGACTCGGCAAGGAAGGCAAAGTTCCGATTATGCGCAGAATGTCTTCCATGGTCAGGTGTGATGTGATGACCCTATGGTGAGTGTCGCACCCAATAAGTGATCCATGGCACCAACACCAATACCGTGGTTTGAATAAGTCCTCCTTTCAGCGCCTTTTTTTCGATTTCAGCCTTCGCTCTGCATTTCGCGCGCTTTATCATTCAAGCTGTACTATTACCTTTTGCTTTCAAACTATCGGACCTATGTATCTCCCGCTTATACTCCAAGATGCAATTTTATACGCGCGGGTCTCGTTCGTCCTTCAATCACGCCGTGGGAGAGAGTGAGAGACTGTTTACCGTTTAAGGTATTGATGCGATCGTCGGTGTACATGCCATCATGATCTAGCAGGACGCCTGCGCATTGGTTGTCCTTCTATATAAATGAAGTCTAAAAAGTACGTATTTACCAGCTGATTGGGTGGAAAGTTGCTTTCTAAAGCTCTTCCACTTACATGCTTTGTTAGTGTAGAAACAACTTCTTCCTGTCATCCGACGATGAGCCCAATCCGAGTGCTCCATAAGGGAACCAATTCTCATTCTCGTTCCTGCCAACGGACATAAATGAGAGCCAGCAAATGTATAGAATCACTCAACCCCCCCAATTCAACTCATCATGTCTCCTAGCGCTCTTGCAGAAACCTCAGTCGATGTCCTCATCATCGGTGCAGGCCCGGCAGGTTTAATGTGCGCCAATAGCCTTGCTAGGGCTGGGGTCAACTTTCGCATTATCGATCAGAGGTTCGCCTCAAGCTGTCGATACAACATGGCACTAAATTGTTCACGCAGGTCCAGCAAAGTTGCAGCAGGGCAGGCTGACGGTGTGATGCCCAGAACAATCGAAGTATTGCAGGTGCGCTGATATCAGAAGTAGGGTAGGAGTGCCTGTTGCTCATCGCTGAATCACATAGAGCTATGGACTTGCCCAGCGGCTGCTTGACGAAGGGAACCAGATACACATGGCGGTCTGTCTCACGCTATGTATTCGAGCACCCACACTGAGTGTCCCTAGGCATTCTATAACCCGTCGGCGGATGGCGGAATCAAGGTCCTCTCGTTATCTACTGTTCTAAATTGGTCGCTCACTGATCCCAGCTCACTGACCGGGTCCCTGGGATCACCGCCGAGAATGCGAGGTATCCTTTTGAAGTAAGTCCAAAGCTAGATGTCGATGACCCTTATGCTTCTCATCTTGGCAGGTCACCCTCCATCAAGGCGCCATTGAGGCTATATTTTTGGACTCGATGCGATCTATGGGCGTCCAAGTCGAGCGACCGATTGTGCCGGTATCTCTGGAAATCACAGAAGACGTCGTGGAACGGAGCGACCCCAACGCCTATGCCGTTCGGGTAGCATGGGAGTTTCCTTTCACTCCAAATACTGGACTGATGACAATACGTAGGTGACCTTGAGTCATCTGGACCCCGCTCCAGGTCAAGCTCCCATTGAGATAGTCAATGCAAAGTTTGTTGTTGGCGCTGACGGTGAGTTGTTGGGGCCATCGCAACAAGGACTTACCAGTATCTCCCCAAGGCGCTCACTCATGGGTCCGCAAAACCCTTAATATTTCCATGGATGGAGAACAAACGGAGTATATCTGGGGTGTCATTGACGTGATTGCAGATACCGACTTGCCCGATTTTCGTAACAAAGCTGCGATACATTCTATCAATGGCTCTTGTATGGTCATCCCACGAGAAGGAGATAAGATCAGGCTGTATATTCAGCTGGAAGGGAAAGACGTTATCAATGCTGACGGTAGAGTGGACAAGTCGAAAATGGGACCGGAAAAGATCCTAGAGGTTGCCAGGCGATCATTCTATCCGTATACTATCAAAACGCCTAAAGAGTTGGACTGGTGGACCATTTACATCAGTAAATTCTTTTCTTCCTATAATTCCTCTGTATCTAACGCCGTCTTTCAGTCGGTCAGCGAGTTGCATCCAGATACTCCGTTAGCGAACGCGTTTTCATCTCCGGTGATGCATGCCATACTCATTCGCCTAAAGCTGGTAAAGTCAAACAGTCCGCATTCACGTCACTGCCAAGCTGATCGCCCATCAGGCCAAGGAATGAATGCGAGCATAAATGACACGCACAATTTAGGTGAATCATGTGCTGCATTGAAAGATCATATTATTGACTTCTTTGTTCTAGCCTGGAAGCTTGCTTATGTCCTGCGCGGTTGGGCGGATCTCTCCCTGCTCAAAACGGTTAGTGCATCCTCCTGTTTACACTACCCTGATCGTTATCCCGGACCTTCAGTACGAATCAGAGAGGCGACAATACGCACTGGATCTCATCAACTTTGACAAGAAATTTGCCAAGCTCTTTTCAGGTAAACCGATCAGCAAGGAGTACAAGAATGGCGTCTCTCATGAAGAGTTCCTCCGGTATATATAAAGTCATAAAATCTAAACTTGCTTCATCTCGCTGACTCATTTCAAGGGCCTTCCAAACATTTTCAGGATTCTCGTCAGGGATTGGAATACATTATACCGAGTCGAGCATCGTCAATAGTACATACCAAGATGTTGCGTCCAAGCTTATCGTAGGAAAGCGTGTACCGCCTGAGATGGTCCTTCGAGCAACCGACTCACGTCCATTCAACATCCAAGATCTCCTCCCATCTGATGCTCGATTCAAGCTTCTCGTCTTCACCGGAGACACATCACGCGCATCTACTCTTGCCACTCTACAGCAGTCCGCTGACGACCTCCAGTCCATTCTAACCAGATACTGCGCAGCAGGATCAATCACATCCGTGTTCGACATCATCTCAATCAGCTCTGAGAGCAAAGCGACGATTTTGTATAACGCGCTACCTCCTCTGTTGAGGTCTCATTGGACGAAGTGAGTCTTCATCCATCCGCAATGCGGAGATTGATTCAAGCATCTTTCAAGGGTTTATGTAGCCAATATTAATGGCCTCCAAGACGACAATGTCTACGCCAGATACGGAGTTGCTGCCGATGGCGCAGTGGTGGTTGTTCGCCCCGATGGATACGTCGGGATGATGAGGCCACTGCAAAAGATCGAAGACTTGAACTCATATTTCCAGTTGTTCATGGAATGCTGAAATACTGAAGTACTAGTTATCTATGAATGCAAAGTAACATAAGACATGGTATAGAATGCGACAGACAGATAATGTGAACCAAAATGACAACTGGGAATGCAACAAACAGCCAAAAAAATCTATACTACATTTATTTTTTGCCGATGGGGGGAGCTTCTGCACTATTGATAGGCACCCGCCTAGGACCGCCAATGCTCTTACTAGCCATAGGTATCTTGGGAATTACCCTTCCCCGAGACGCGACTGTACTGGTTGCGAGCTTAACGGTTGGTTTCGTGCCAGGAGCTGGAGCCTTGATCGATGACGGAGGCGCCCTCCTAGCACGAACCCTTATTACCGCATTGTTTTCCTTCTCACCCATCCCAGGTTGACCCTTTGTTCCAACACCTGGCCTGGCACCGTCAGCTTTACCTTTTCCCTTATCCTGAGCTGTCAATCTCTTCGGCTCAGGCTGTATGATTCTACCCTTCCTTGTCACTGATATGTTGACCTTCTGGTTGGCACGTCCTATATCAACTGTGCTCAAACGTGCTTGTTTATTTCCCAGCGGACTTTGGGGTCGTTCGGGCTCCGGAGGAGACTCTGACACTCCCAACTCTTGAGCCAAGGACATTACAGGTTCCTGCGGTGTTTGGAATAATGCCTGTTCGTCTTCTTCCGGCAAAGCCTCCAGCCCACCTGGTGATGAGGAATGTTCAAAGTTTCCATTGGGACTCGTGGGCGAACTACCGAGCTGTAAGATACGACTCAGTGGGCTCGGCCTCACCGGTGAATACGCATGGATCATGTGTGAAGCAAAGGGCTTCGCCATTGGAAATGGTCGGCGGAAACCTGGTCGAGGTGTGCAAGGCACTGATGCAAATAATGGTTCAGTAACAGATGACGGAGGTGAGATGTCGGCTGCAGCAGGTGGCTCTTTGGTATCAAGAGGGGCGGAAGATGTCAAGGCCGGAGGTGCCCCAGGGAGTTGAGATAAACACAGCGATGGTTGTGATGGGAGGACGGAATAGGGAGTAGGAGGAGGTAAGACAAAAGAATTGGGCAGTAATGATGGGGTGGACTCAAGAGGTTTCCCATCTGAGGTTGTCGATAGGATGATCACCTCTGTTTCAAAGGCAGGCTCCACGCTCCTTTTCGTCGGCGACGCAGATACAGAGGACCGACGCTTGACACGCGTGGTCTTGCGGGTCGTTCCACTGTTCCCTTTAGCAGGTGACTTTTTGGGGGACTTGCGAGGAGACTTGTGTGACGAGGCTGACTCGGATGACTGTCCGCTGGGAACAGGGGTCGGGGGCAATTCTGCGAGCATCATCTCAACTTGCCAGGAACGTTTCTCATCGTTAAATTTCTTCCTTTCCATCTGCGGAAGCACTTGTGAGAAATATGAAGAATTCAGATTGATGGCTTTACCTCTAAAGACACACGTTCTTTCCCCAAGTTGACTGTGGCCTCGGTAAACTTCTTACGCTCGTCCTCCAGCTGTTTCTTGATGTCATCCAAACGCTCTCTGTGCTTGTCTTGCTCAGGCACAGTCATGAAGTCGACACTGACGTCCGCAGGATCATGACCCTTTGCGAGGCGCTTATCGGCGGAAAATCGGTCAAACAATGCCTGCGCCTCTGTCGTAGTACGGGTCGAAACATTTTGCTGCACAAGCTCTACGCTATCTTCAGAGTGGAAAACGAGTAGAAACAAACGGCATACCAAGCTCGGCCTTTAGCGAATCGATGACAGTTTGAAGTCGCTCTCGCTCTTCGTCTGCTAGTGCAGGGCTATCGGCCGGGGCCAACACCGAGGTGGTGGGAACTGCAAGGACTCGAAGGGACTCGTGGAAGGATAAAAGGATAGAAGCCAGTTTGTCACCTGCAACCTCCGGCGGGACAAATGGGAATAATGTTGCCATCGTGAAAGGAGTTGGCTAATGGAAGTTTCCTTGTCAGCTAGAAAAAATGAAAAAGATTATCAACTTACATCGAGTTCAGAGTCGTTACCTTTCATATCGTATATGAGGCGTTGCAGTCCATTTACAGAGTTTACAATAACGGTCTTCAGTCCCGAACATTCCGTTGCCAACTGGGATCGCGCCTTTTCGGCCTCTTGAAGTGCAACTTCCAACACCCCGGGGCCTCTGCCAATGAGCTCGTCGTTGCCGCCATTCACGACACGCAAGTTAGAACATGTCAAGCCACCTGGAGCCACCATGACTTTGGCCTGCGCATCTGATATCTTGTTCCACTTTTCCGCCATTCTCTCAAACTCTTTTTCTTTCTTCTTGAGTTCTGCTTGGTGGGTTGCCCGAACGGCCTGAAGAGCAGTACGTGCTCGCTGGAGTTCGGCCATCGTCTGTCGATGAGATTGCTCCGTAGACTGGAGATTTTTGGTCGTCGCGCTATTAGTGGTCAGGGAACAGCACGGATATGTGATATGCAGCAAAACTCACTTGAGCCTGGACTTGTGCACATTCATTTCTCGTTCAAAATTGGCCGCCTTCTCCGCTGCATTGCTATGCATAGACTTGATCCGCTCATGGTCATACCTGAGGGTGCGTAGCTCCGTCGCCAACTCTTCAGCCCGTGACATATCTTTCTGCAGAACAAGTCCATTAATTTGTATCTCGCAGGAGACACTGAACTTACCATACGCTGCCCCAGCAGCTCCATCAAACATTTAACAGCTCTGTCCAAGTTCGCATTCGAGATACCATCCAATGAGAGACCTTGTGGTGGCGCGAATCCGTGGGCCACTAGCTGAGCATTAATATACTGCAGAGTTGACGTCGGGACTAGCGACTCTGATGAAGCATTTGATAATGGGGATCCAAGATCCGAGAAATTTGGGCTGGCGACGTCCCAATGTACTAGTTTCTTGGCTGGCGTGGCCATCGTGGTGGACGATGGTGAAGCAAATTCAAATTCGAATCAACGACGCGTCGCATCACGTGTTCATGTTTTGGCCAGACTCGACAAAATTAAATACAAGATGGAAGTCCCCAGATGAAGTCCCCTCGCTTCGAAGTTTATAATGCAGGTGTAATATACAGATGATAACATAGTTATAGCACGGAAGTATCGATGGTAACAAACACAAACGATGAATGAGGTAAGAATAATGTTAATAACCAAGCGAGTAAATTATGCCTTTCTCTTGTAAAACAACACGTAGGCTTTCTGACTCTGTGATGGTTGGTAAGATACCTGTGAATAGAGCGATAGAAAGACACACACCACTACGTCTCTGTCGTCGACAGTCTTGATACTACTATCGTCACAGTACTTCCACCGACCGCTAGAACGAACCAAAGCAGTATCTGATAAAAAATTGAGAAGCATATTTGCCCAGAAGAAGAGGAAGACCTACAGTGACCACTACTTAAATTGCCGATATGGTTCGTCACACCGTATAAATCATACTTGTACGGTGGCATCTGTCTTCGAGGATCGTTCGGCGACATAACGACACCTCCATTGAGCAGAGCTTCATGGTTAGGCGGGACGGGCATCCGCGACGTCAAATCAAGATCTTTCAGCGGAAACTCAACAAACGTATCGATCTTGTCCGAGAATCGACCATTGGCTTCGAAGCGCTTCAGATGTATGAGCAAAATCGGCGGTGATCGTGCTAAAGATAGTTTTTTCGACGCTTTTCGCTTGGTTTTACATTTAGGACAATCCCTGCCACTCGGTGAATAAACACTATATGAATACAGGTGAAAAGCGTACCATGCATCATCTTTGTCCAAGATCTCTTCGTTGAAAAGAGCGTTGAGGCATTGTTGTAGTGTTACTCGCTTGCCGGAAGGAATGGGAAGTTGAAGGATAGAGAAAACATTATATGTTGTTGAAGTCTAAAAGGTATTTGTCAACATTTAAGAGAGTATGCAAGAGTCCAAAACATACTGTGGAACACGTCATGCACTGCAGTTGATTCCGGAATTGTCCCTGGAAATAATCAGCAATGACGCTGTTATTCCGCGACATCCATCGCGACCATTCTCTGTCACTGGCAATACATGCGGGGAGTTTCTCCATCTCAGCCTCCTGCTGTGGTGTAAGAGTAACCGCAGGCGGCTTCAAATTGACACGATTGAGGTCTTCGTGTATACCATCCAGTAGGAAACTAAGGAACTCCTGCGAGTCGTGTTGTTCAGTGCCAGCATATTGAGGCTGGAGTTGAGCGATCGTTTTCTGTATCATTGTAAAGAGGCGATCAGGATACGATGATAGGACATATCGGGTAGCACCCACCCGGAAGTCCATAGGTGTCAAGTATGGCAGATCCTGGCCCCACAGATCGTGCAACACCTTGGCAAACGCTCCGCTGAGTTTGCCATTCGTTCCCAACCTATTGTACTTATTTATGTCGTGTTTCCATCGACCATCTACCGTCAGATCAGCGTATTGACGACAAGTGCAACAATGAATAGAATTACCAGTAAAGAATCTAGCGAATGGTACCGTTGCACTCAAGCATTGTATAGGAGCATTCATGTAGCACGTATTTCCGAGGTTCTTCAACCCGGACATACCGATCTCGACATCCGACCAATAAGATAATGAATTAGTATGGGCAGGAAGGGAAGGCGATTGTACAGCAACACCGGTTTGAGAAGTCAAAGAAGCAGGAGGCGAAGGGAATGACTGCTGGCGACTTATGCGAGGCCGGTTATCTTGCCTGTCCAGAGCGCTCGATGCGGCGGCCGGGGGTGGCCGGATGAGCGGTCGTGCGGTCGTAAGCTCCGGATAGTCTATTGGTCCAAGTTGGGAATCATGCAGTCCAGCCAGTGCCTCTTGTGTTTGATCAATGTAATCGCTTCTCCTTCTCGAGAGGGATGAGTTGATAGAAGCCAGAGGGGGAGAAGCTATGTCTGGTACGAAGGGCTGCTGAGGAGCAGGAGAAACATGGCGAGTGAAATTAGGGTATGATATTGGTGACATTCCGTTAGTGATAGGTATTCCATTGACCCCTGAAATTGATGGAGACATGGGAGGGGATACCAGCTGCAATGATGAGACCATTAGTACACCTTTATTGAAGACAAGAATCACGTACAGAGTCTGATGTCCGGGTAAAAGAAGACGAAGGAGCCCCTGGTCGGGATAGCGCTGGTCTTCTGACCAATTGTGAGGGACCATCTGAGGGTTGGGGACGACTGGGATAGGTGATTTCAGCAGGCGATCTAGTAATTCTGATGTTAGGGTCTTGTTTGAACAGAACATAGAACTCTTACCGAACGTGATTATATGTCTGGTCTAATGAATACGTTGGCCGGTGTTCACGTACAGTATTGTTGTTGGGGTTAGTGTCAGCTCGTGATCGCGCTGGAGTCCAAACTTGACGTTGCTCAATGAAATTTGGACCTGCAGACGACGAGGACAGCACAGAGGGGATTGCACCATTCGCGAAAGGATTTTTTGCCGATGGTTGAGCCATCGGTGCATTGGCAAGTGTGAACGACTCTGTTGAAGGAAGCGGTACAGGCTTCACAACTTCACCATCCCCTTTAGTGACCTCTGCGTCGCCAAATTCTTTCTTCCAAGCCTCTAACCCCCCTACAAGAATGATCGGCGCATGCTTCAACATCCGAGTAAATTCCCGTTCATAGATTGTTTGCACCAAGACAGAAAGTGGCGAGTCTAACGGGCCGAAGCTTGTCGAGTTCCAGTCGTATAGTACAACGTAATCGAATTTTTCACGATTGGCGAACAAACTAACTTCGGAGGGAGGACTTATGATCAGTGCTTCCATCAATGACGTCGCATTTATACTACAGTTGGTGGTCAAACAACTGAACAGCGCCTAACAAAGGAGCGTACCTTTTCCGTCGTAATATTGTTGGTTCTAAGCAAATGACGGCATCACGCTTAATGTGTTCTTTTTGAAAATCGGCTCTGTCTCGTACGTCGATAAGAAGCAATTTGGCGCCCGGCGGCAACCCCATTAGATCTTTAGGAAAGAGAGAATTGCTGACTGATTTGCCATTGATGAGTGGAGCAGGGGATAAGCTACCGTTCAAAAGAGGAGAAGCGTAGGAAGGATGGCCATTCGGAACTGGGGAAGTGGAAGATGAGGAGAGGTTGGAAGGCTTCAGGGACGCTGTAGACTTCGATGGTGACCCCGGACGGCTCGTGAACGAGTTCACTATAGGAGTGATTGGTGTGCTTGACGGCCTTTCGATGGGATTTGTAAAGTTACGCAAGACATGTGGCAAAGGTGACGGGGACTTGAGTGGAGACGATGATTTGTGTGGAGAGCCGACGCTAAAGCCGGTAGACACCGGTGACAGGCCGTTGCGACTATCTTTCGAAGACCTGCTAGAACTGTTGCTGATACCAGTGGGAACCGAAGGCAGTTGGAACGCCGGACCTTCATCCAATTCATCAATTGGTGGAAAAGTCTGGGTGAACTCGGAAATGTTATATTGCGACGAGAGCGGGGAAGACGACGGCGTCGAAGAGGGCGATGGGGGACCGAACGATGAAGGAGACACCAAAGAGTGAGGTGAGGGTGGAGACACGGATGGCGCCGCGACGGACAGCGAAGTTGACGGAGCCGGTAGCGGCGGTGGCTGGGAATGACGCACAGCGCGACTAGGAGACGGCGGTGACTGTACTGGAGATGTTTGCTGGAGTGACAAGCGTTTAGATGTTGTATTGACAGTTAAGCCATTGTCTCGCAGTGCTTGCAATCGGTCAGCAAGAGATCCTCCATATTTGTGTATCGGGCCATCGCCTGGGCTAGTAGACAATCAATGAAAAGAGCCACCACAGCAGCGGCCGGGTACGTACCTCGAAGCCTGTACCTCTGTCGCCTTCAGCTTCTCTTCTACTATCTTCGTTCGTGGTATGAGATCATTGAGTATCTAGCGATCCTGGTCAACGGAAGCAATGCTTAATAATTGAGCACGTACAGGTTTGAAGTCGTTGAATTCCTTGTGAACGACACCACCACCTCTCTCTGCCCGCATCTCAGCAGAGTCAGTTGCACCTTTGATAAGGCTAGCAGCTTTCACGTAGGCACTCAGCGCAGACTTGAGATCGCCGACGGCGTCGTATTCCTTCCCTTGGTCATACAGCCTACGGGCCGTTTTAATGAGGTTAATGGGAGCCGCTCCTCTCGTTTCCCTCTGAACAGACTCCAAGGCTTGGCTTTTGATCTCTGCGGTTGTCATATTCGCCATTGTCTTGACGAGGCTGTTCGTGCTGGCTGCCGCTACGAGTACCGGTGAAAGCTTACTCCCAAAAGGTGGACCTCCCAGACCAGGTGCGCTTGGAGGCGAAACGCTGAGCATTAGCTCAATATGCTATCCACAGGCAAGCGCCACGAACGCAATAAGGAAGGGTAGGTGAACGTAGGATTAGAATGAATAATTGTTACATAACCATTTTACAGCTCCATTACCATCCGAAATAAGTAAATAAATAATCAATTCTGTAAATGGGCTTAGGGACTCGGAGCACTTTCGGAGAGAGAACGTCCTTGCTAACTAGTCACATTATCAGCCCCGATTCTTGGTTGTTGCAGCATATGGCGAGCCTCGTGCTATAAAGTTCATGCCACCTATAATCAATGTAAGAATCACCTGAAAACACAAGGAAAAATATTCCGATACTGTAATATCTATGCGGCCGGAGCTGCTACCACAGCTCTTACGGAAGGTCTGTTCTCCATGAAATACAGCCTCCGGTTATGCTATCCTTCACCAGTTTCTTGAACCTCGACTACGGCTGCGAGTCACAGAAATGGTCTTGGCTGCGACAATAAAAAATACTTGCGCATTGGAGCCTGATCGGCAGTGGGTCGTAACTGCGATCACAGATATGTATTCGACGGTCGACTTAATGTCGCTGCGCAAAATCTACTCAACATGCAACCACTGTGAGCAGCACGAAGACCGTTGACTCTAAATTGAATTTGGACCTCCAGATATTGAGAAGACTTACTTATAATCATTATGGATCCAAAACGACGTAGCAAACGGCTGTCTCAAGCAAGAGGATGATCGTAGCTTATTATGCCACAAATGGACAGAAAGGATGGTCGCCGCGCCACGATCACATGCAATATTAAATAATCATTTCTTCTTCACGTTCAAAGCATTGATTACAAGTCGCAGGAAACACCAGATCAATTAACTACAAGTTCTCGAGAAGCTTCATGAACTACAGAATTGACCTCGGGTTGGACTTGAGTACTAAAATAACAACGGTGGCACCGGTACGTCTGCGCTGCATCATCAATGAGATGGAAGGCGGGGCTGAATTCAGTGTGGCAAATGTCGCATGAAGGGTCGGGGTTGAAGACTGGGGCCTCGCGATCGCGGGGAGGAGATACGGAGACGTCGCCACGGACGTTGAGAAGTTGATCAAGGCGCCGCGCCTTGCGGAGAAGGGCGTGCGATTGACCAGTGGCCTGTTTGTAATTCCGGCAGTAAACTTGTAGTGCAGTCTGGCAAGCGAGATGAGTCTTGCACTTAAGTGGCTAGGGCAATACAATCCTTACCTCTCCGCCGTCCGTGGTGTCACATAAACTATAAATCATTCGTCGGCTGTGATCATGGTCTTTGCATGATATGATGGCATTCATACATCCTGTCTCGTCTCGGAAGGTCGTGGTAACGGTGGTATCTCGTCGACTACTCTTCACCTGAATGAAAATGTTAATAAATTCTAGCCATCATTATTCTCCCAGTCAGGCTCCTTACCGGTTGTATTTCAAATCCAAACTTGTGCCCAAAATCCCAAGCGCATGAAACGTGGTATTCTCTACTACAGTCAGAGCACCGTATAACAGCGCCTCCTTTCTCATGGCATATACAACATCTCTGTGAAAGAAGAATATCAGCTGTTGAATGATACAGAAACAGGAAAACAGCTTGCAGAAGTCCATCTATGATTAGCAATCGTACTCGCTCCCTCAACCAGTCGAAGCCGCGATGCGTCGGAAAAAGTGAGTTCAGGAATAAAGACCGAGCAAATGACGTGCGCCCATTGTTGACCCTCAGTTGGCTTGCAAGCCCGAAGGACAGAATTGCTCGAAGGTCCAAATTTCTTGTCGTGCAGTTGATCTCGAGGGCATAACATGCATTCCATAACCTGCGGAAAATCTACGGATAAAACGAGAAGAAGATCAAAAAATTTCGAACTGACCAGGGACGCTTCCAGATTCTCATCATTCGAGCACAAATCACAGCGCCACTTCTCGACATCTTCAGGGCTGACAACAGCACCACAGACACCTGGCAGTGGAGATGAGAACTAGAAAAGAAGTGAATGGCAAGGAGATTCTAATACCTGCATGGATACGGAAGCCGCACTTGGTACACTTGAGCACTTTGCCGATGGGGCCGCTCTTTCGACAACAGACACACTGAAATTGGACCGCTGATTGAGGGGGAGGGGGAGGTGTAGACACAACACTGGCAGATGAAGTCGATAGCTACATGATCCAAGTCAGTCATCCATCGTATGCAAATGAATAGAAATGAAGCACTCACTCTAGGACGCTTAGTTACTGGCCCCGTCAATGGAGTCCCCTCGCGTTTCTCTGCTGATCGGGCCTTCATTGAAGGCACCGACTCTTCACGCACGCTCCGCACGTTCAAGTCAGCATACTTCCTCCAGTTCTGACCACAAGAATCGCAAAGGAAATTGGTGGCAAGGCCCTTCGGCGCTTTCCACCAAGCTTTGGATTCTCGAGTCCGACAGGCACCACAGCTAGGAGCTTTGGAAGGCTGAGTGACTATCGACGATTCATCGTCAGCCGGGCCTACGGTCTGGCCTTGATAGGCCTCTTCCGGGCTTCCCCATTGCTCATATTGAGGTTCTGGGAGCGCGCCGTTCGTCCTAAGCTGTTCGTTCTCTTCTCCAATTTTACCACTGCAGCTGTAATAAGCAAGATATCCGAAGTAATCCAAGGAGAAGTTACTTTTTCCAATGCCCATAAAATCGAACAACTTCCGGCATCGTCCGGGTTCCAATTTCCTCCCTGACGGCTCGGAGCTGTGCACCATGCGTGAAGATGGCGTCTTCAAAGGCACCTATTTCTTCTCTAGACCATTCCCTGTCGGTATATCTGGTCGGCTGGGTTTTCCACTGTCAGAAACCAGAAGTTAGCCAATAAGGAAAACGTCCGACGGGAAGACTTGGTCACCTGCTCCTGCCGAGTAATCGTCTTCATATTGACCGAATACATCGACTTTGCCGCTAGAGCGGCCTCCGAGTACCGACGGACGACCTCGGTCAGCCAATCGATAGAAGACGAGACCTTGAGATCGCTGGTGAGACTTTGTTTGCACAATTCCACTACGCATATAAATTTAGTACTGTGCAACCAAAAAGTCCGGAAAAACGATGTTACTTTCGTCCACTGTGGGGAAATGGTCAGGAACGTGACGTCATGATACCGATATAGAAGCGCACCTTCTGCTCCTGTCAAGATGTTGATTGCACTCAATACTTCGACGGTGCTATCACCACCTCGTTCCTCATCTGTATCACAACCGTTTTAGGACTCGTCGATCACTCCGAAAAACATGCTCACCCGGATATGGGGCATTCTTCTCAATCAAGGTTGCCTGGAACTTGGGGCCCACACGCGTTGGCGCTCGGGGTGATATGAGGTCGTCTGCATCTAGAACATCACATTAGCCCGTAATTGGGAGGCCCACCCTCTGAATAGTCACCAAGAGTGTCCTCTGCTACGGTATATTGTCTACAGCAAGCTGTCAGTAAACACCCAGATTTGCTTTCTAGCTATCTCACCCAAAGTAGCGGAAGGGCCACATCTTAAAATACTTGATGGGGAGGTTCTCTTCTCTGTCTTGCTGCGACTTGTCTTTCCGTGGTCGCCCCCGTCCCCGCACAGCTGGTGCATTGGATTTCAGTGGTCTATTGGTGGCTGGAGTGTGTTGTCGAGTATGGTGGCTATCGACTTCCTCTTCGTGTTTGCGTGAACAAGGCGCGCATGTCCACCCATACCCTCGTGATGGCTTAGCCATCAGCGGAGGGTTGACACATTGCATATGGAAAAAGAGCTTGCATCTGTCACAACGAACAGACTCCAGACTGATGAAGATCACATATAAGTGATGTATACCAGAAAACATTAACTATTCTTACCTTGGACACCATTCAGAGCACGTATCGCATGTACGAAGATGATCAGTGAGGTCAGGAATAACTTCCTTTTCCGCCACAACATATTCATATCGCGAGATCAAAGTCTCTCTAATATTATCCGGAACTGAAACATAAATTAGTCACGTTGGAGAAAATAAATCGAAAAAGTCGCTTACGGTTTCGGACGTCAGTGGACTGGATGATTTCCAGTTCTTTCCTCATGTACGGATCAAAGAGCCGATTATAGTAAAAGCGGTCAGGCCGCTTTTTCCAGCCCGCTAGGTCGGAAATTTTGTCTCTGTGTACAACGTGGCAACGGGCGCGTATCTGATTGATATCGCACACTTCGGTGTACATGCCAGCCAATAAGAGACGTGAATCTGCGACGGTTCGTTCTGTAACGTCCGAGGGTCTGTAATACCAAGCAAGGCGAACACGAGTATAATGAAATATCTCCTGGGTTTTACCGAGCGGCCTGAGAAATTCCATAATACGTGCAATGGAATAAGGGGTGCCATCGCGGGCCTCTGCGCTGGGAGAACAATAAACGTGATCTGAAAAATAAGGATTGGTTGAGAAAGAGTAGAAAGGAGTGGATGTCAAGAATGTTACCATTTATACGGACACGTTCACCGTTTTTCAGGAAAACGGGAGGACTAGAGGAATTCTGTGTCTCGTTACCATTTTGATGTGAAGGAGACATTGGGTTGCGGGTTCAGGTACGGAAATAGCCTGAGAAAGGGAGAGAAAAGCTGTGAAGGAAGAGAAAATCCAATGTGTTCAAACCTAACAAAAAAGAAAAGGCTGGAAGAGGTGCTACAATAATTTGAAGCTCTTGGAAGGTATAAAAGTGCAGAAAGGTGAGGGGAGACGAAAGCACGGAAATTCAAACTCAGACAGTGCCACCGATCCATCGTCGATGCCTTGTTTTGGATGTTTTCTTGTGAAAGGCGCCAAACAGGCTCAGTCTCGGTCAAAACATAAAATTTCTGGCTAGCTCTGACTGATATTTCTTATCTTGATCATATTCTCTGGATTTTGCATAATTTAGCGCCATCGCCATCGTCTCAATCGCATTTTCCCTATGTGAATCGTTGATGGCGGTGGCCAAATCGACGGCGGGTCGAAGAAAGTCTGCAAATCAAAAATTCACTGGCACAGACAAAAAATACCGGTAATGAAACATTGTTTCAGGGAAGAATTTATATTCTCCGCTGGCTTGCAGTCCCCGTTTTTCCTCGTCTTCGGGTTTTAGCTGTGCCTGAGGAATTGCCTCCGCGCCGATGGTGGGTTGAACATGTGCCCAAAAAGGAAATATCCCCTTTTAGCTCTCCTTCGTTGTCACTTGGAATCACGACAGTTCCGAAATCGAGAAAGACAATTAAAGCCTTGCCAGGATAATCTTAGCTAGAATAACATCTCACCTTGGGAAAACGAAGAATACGAAGATAAAGTTTTAACTTTGCGTTCGATCAATCCGATTAGGAGACCTCCGCCCCGGACAGTATGGCGTACAACTTAAATGCAAGTCCTCCAAGGGTCAGCTCTAATCGGATATCTCTATGTTGAGTCGCGGTGCGTCCTTTTTGTTGCTAGTCTATATCATTTCTCACGCTGTACCGAAAAGTAATGCTATAATAGTTGTCGCAGATAGCCACAATCCATTCGGCAAATCCGAGCCACAGACATTTTATTTGTACTAAAGGAGCGCCTTTCTTGGCCTTTTCACCTGCCTATCGGTTTGTCGCACCTCAGCGATCCTGATCGTGGGTCGGTTAATTTTGCCCCTCTATTGTCCCCGTTACTCGCACAAAGTAGTAGACTAGTTGCCATAACGATAGCAACGTATCTTCAACAGCGTCGCAATATATTTCCCATGGGAAATACGAAGAAGTTGCGATATATCTTCCATCTTTTGCCCGCACAACTATACAGCTGACTCTGATGGTGAAACCTAATTGAAAGCCATTCCTTGCCTTGCTATCTTCTGTCTACGCTATTCACTGCACACTGTAGAATCAGTTCCTGGTCCTGGTCCTGGTCCTGGCTTTGTTACCCATTCATCTTCTCCGCCACCAATGCTAGCAGTTCTGCTCTACCGATGGCCCACGTGGCTGACGCAGGTGCACGTCTGGTAGTGACCATTCAGCTCCTTCACCTGGTGCCAGGCCCGGCAACTGTACATGCTAACCTTCTTCCGTTTACCCTCATTGTGCCATGACTTCGTTCAACAATCATCCAAATTGTGGTAGCTGGCGTAACTCAGCAGACTTCAGCGTCGTCAATTCTGGTGTGTAACAACACATGTACTGGTTACTGGACCACTGCTTCCTCTTGAAATGGGCACCATGCTGAGGCTTGGTGCGGCCGCTGCGTTTGTTCAATACCAAGCTCAGAAAACTTGGCTTGATGGATACACATCCGTCCTTAAGATCCGTGGCATCAAAGGACTACCTAGTACTTTAAAGTCCGGCGGTAAAAACAGAGTTCTCCTACGGTTAATCTGACGTAACGCAAGTGGCGGAGGTTCATCGTGGCTTTACGACATCGAGGTCAGAATCAGTTTCCGGGATTCATTTAAACCAGACAGGGATGACAGCGGGGAGGCAATTTCGCCGCGGCTTTCATTTTCGATGAGCGCTGTTCAGCACCTTCTGGTACCCTCAAAAATGTGATATCTACTCGGTATTGTATCGACTGGACGGGCCAAGGAAAGTATACTTTTCGACATATACTGGCCATACAGACAGAGCTATGAGAAGTTACGACTTCTCTGTCAAACTAGGCAATGCCCAACTCCGTAATTGGGCCGAGAAACAGTCACGGTGCTTTCTATCACTTAAATGCTGATTTTCTCCCAGTTCATTGGTTACCGCTGCGACACACTTCTGACTTGGATTGTTCAATTGCCATTGCACGGTTTCAGGGCTATGAATTGGGCTGCTTCGAATGGGGTCTATGCACGCTTTGTGGTCAGTACTTTCTGAATCATAGTAGGCGTCTAAATTTCACCTGCAGCTTTGAAAGATAGTCGCACTGAACCTTCAGTTCTGGTGTGTGTGTGTAGTCTCAGACAGCCTCTTACTTGGAGGTTAATTTCACTGTACAGCAAAGGAATCCGATATAAGTATCCTCACCGGTGGTCGGAACTGCTTTGACATGGCAGGTTAGGGCTTTACACCTACCTACTGTACTTTTAGCAATTGCTATATCTATGCTATTTTGCTGCGTCGTTGCAGGGTCCAATGACTGCTGTCCGCGCGGCGCTTGCATGTGCATACCAAATGGGCATAATAGCGTTCGAAATAGAATACAACGTTGCCGGACTGGTGACCAAAATAGGCAAATTCCGGGAGAACCCGAAGGCGTACCCTGATCGCGAGTCCAGTTCTCTTCAATGTTGAACAGCACCACCCCCGCCATTGTCATGTCTGAGGTTCCTCCAACCGAGGGATCGAGCTCGAAGAGCAGTATCAGGCAGGAAAACTCGCCTCCACCGACGCCGCCATCGCCAGTGAGCTCAGAAACAGGTCGGATTCACTTATCATTCTCCGTTGAGGCATGGCTCATTGTTGGGCGACCCTCACAGGAGTCAAGTTATCCAAGAAGCGAGAGCGGGAGGCCTCTCAGGAGCCGGTTACGACAACGAAGGTCGCCGTCGTCAGTCATCGCGAGCATTCCAGAAATGTTGTCACTAACCGATACGCTGTGCTTTTCCCAGGATACCGACACTTCGACCCGCGACAGTCGAGAAATTCGCACTCCGGCGAAGAAGAACAGAGTCGCTTTGAGCTCTACAGCAGAAGAAGACGATGGTATTGTGGGCTCGCGGTCGAATTCGCCTTCGCCAACCTTTGGCTCGCCACCCCAAGAGATGAAAATCAAAGTTAGGCAAATCAGTCAGGGCGTCGAGGACCTTAGCTGGCGGAAGAGGCCAAACTTTGGGAACGGGCCTAACGAAGGACAAGATTCTGCTGTGGAGATGCCTGTTGATAGCGACAAGTCGGACAAGCTCGAAGAAACCAGCATCCCCAATGGGTCGGCCGACCCAAAGATGGAGCCTGAAGAAAATAATGGTCCGAAAGTCGATGAGGCTTCAACTGTCCTTCCACCAACACCACCCCCTACGGTGGATGAAGTTCTGCCGAAGAGCTTGCGACGAGATTCTGATTCCGATTCTGGCGAGAAGGACAAAGGATTGAAGAGAAAGTTCTTGGACCGTGGGACAAGCCAAGGTCCCCAGGAGACTGGAGGATCTGATAAGACTGCCTCAGAACCTGTCAAGCGGCCTAGAGATGATGCAGGCGAGGACGGCAATCCTCGGGAGACTAAGCGACCTTCACCACCTCCGGAGCAGAGTGCCACTTCTCCTCCCAGTGCTCCTGCACCGAAATTCGTGCGATTCCATCTCTCTGTAGTACACCAGTTCATGACTAATGCCCTCCGTAGGGCGGTTTTGGAGCATACGCTGCTACAAAGTCTCCATTTGCTTCAGTGAAAGGGCCCAATGTATTTGGATCCAAAAAATCATCAAGCTTGTCAACTCCGTCAGTTACGCCCTCGGTATCCTCTTCTTCCTTGGGTACACCCGTTCTAGGGGAATCATCCATAGCCTCTACTTCGGCCGCGACCCCCGCGAAGCGCTCGGGCTTTGAGGCGTTCTCCTCACCAGCATCACCGTTTGCTTCCATCGCTCAGAATAAGTCATCAGTGTTGGGAGGCGGAACATCCAAGCTCGGACGAAGCAAATCCCCCACGCGCCGAGCGAACTCCACCAATGCAAGTGCTTTTTCGGCGTATAGCGGTGCTAGCCAAGGGTTTGCATTGCCTGCATTTAAGCGTGCTCGTGCAGGATCCCCGGCAATCGCAAATATGGAGAAGAAATCGAATGTGTCTGTTCTCAATGGTTCAGATAGTTGCACAGAGGAAGATAGTAGCGACGGAAAAAGTGCCAGCTTTGGTGAAAAATTGCGAGCAGGAAAGGACCAGTCCGGTGAAGAGCATGAGACTCCCAAGATTGCTTTGACTGAGCAAGAGGGTGAGTATCCTGGACATAATTTGTTACCTTTCGATTTTAATTTTTTCTGCAGTGATGACCGGGGAAGAAGAGGAGGAGACTATTCATCAAGTTCGAGGAAAGTTATTTGCACTCTCCGATGGTACAGCCTGGAAGGAGCGCGGCACGGGTGTACTGAAGCTGAATGTCAGAGCTTCAGACGGTGGAGGGGCAAGGTTATGTGGGTCATTTCTTTTTCTTATCCTCGACTTGGTGATACTAATAGCTAGTACAGTGATGCGAAAAGAGGCAGTATACACTGTGCTGCTCAATGTCACTCTGTTCCATGGAATGCGATGCGTGCTTGCGCAGGACCCCCGATACGTACGTTTCAGCGTCATCCAAGATGGCGTGACAACACATTATAACCTGAGGGTAAGTTGCTCTGCTGTGGTCCGAAAAATCATACTAATTCTGACTTTTGTAGCTGGCCAATCCCAAAATTGCGGAAGAGTTGATGGAAGAGATACATGCGAATCTTCCGTCAGCATAAGGGCTGCAGGAATGGTGATTAAAGATGTTCTATGCATGCTGATGTAAAATTTCCCCCCTTGACGGTTTCCCAGTCTTGTGTATTGCTGCTGTGTGTGCTGATCAACAATTTATTATACATGTTTCTATTTACATAAATAACGTGACGATATTGATATGAATCTTGCTGCGGAGTTGGAAGTAGGGTCTTCGATTCAGGTATCCCACTCACAGCATGTCTTTATTAGCTGGGTACTATTCAGCGTGAAACAAGTTGCAAGGAACCGTTCCTTGCGGCTGCATGGATCCTCGGTTTGTCGGGTGATCATCTGAAAAGGCGGTGTTTGTTGCGTCACGCGAATTGTGGACGCGGATGTACGGTAGTCGTGAACGGCCATAAAATGTCGATATCTGCGCTCTTGGACACATCGATCTTTCTGTGCTGCAATCACTACGATGTCTCCAACTGTTCTCATTGTAACCACCATCTCTCTTTGTATGCTGCGTCTTCACTTAATCGTTCCATAGGTTGGCGCAGGACCTTCGGGCCTTTCCCTAGCTCTCGCTTTGACCCAGAATGGCGTCTCTGTTCGAATCATCGACAAGCTTTCTTCGTATAGAGTTGGCCAGAAAGGCTCTGGTATCCAGGTACTTGCGTTCGTGGTTTACTTGAGATATATTATGTGACTGAGACTCTACCAAGCCCAGGACCCTTGAGCTGTACAAGCTCCTCGGCGTCCTCCCTGATGTCCAGAAGAAAGGCGGAGTACCTCAACCCAAGTTACATTATCTTCCTTCGGGGGAGGCTAAGATCGTCGAGGTGTTAGACTTCATGGAAAATACCCCCGATCGACCCTATGTACGTGTCCGTACTGGGACCGGCTCGATGCTGAACATTGAAACTTCTTTGGTTATAGATCAACCCTATCATACTAGGGCAAGACCGACATGAAGCTATCCTGCGCGAACACTTAGCTAGATCTGGTGTTGCCGTCGAGTTGGAGACCGAGTTGGTGTCTTTTGAACAGTTCCCTGACCGAGTGGTCTCTCGCGTCGCCAAGGCTCGTGATGGGCAGCAGTTCGAGGAATCCATCGAGAGTCAATACATCATCGGCGCAGAAGGTGCTCACAGCGTTGTGCGTAAAACTCTGGGTTTGACGTTCCTTGGGGAGACACGGAAGGGAGATAATTTGGTCGTGGGTGATATCCATGTCAAGAAGCCGCTCTTGGACAGAGATGTGTGTTGCGCATCTGATTAATTCTTTTTCGTTCAGCAATTGACTATTTTATTTATTCCAAGGTATGGCACGTATGGGGTGAACCATCGACAAAAGCGTACGTGTCTGCACGTTGATTATCTAATGAATGAACGCTGAACCGTCTCGTAGAGTGACTCTGCGACCTTTCGAGACCAAAGACGACGACAAATATACTTTCATCTGTCTGGGTCGTGATTTGGATTTCGAAAAGATGGCGTCTAGTCGAGAGGAATTTATCAAAGGGTTTTATGAAACAAGTGGACGCACCGATATCGAATTCGGTGATCTCATTTGGATATCCAACTTTCAGTGAGCCTGGTTCCTTTGGACAATGATCATCAATATTAAGGTGTCTCCAGACCCAATGTTCGAATGGTCAACGATTACGGCTCTGGCAGAGCTTTTGTTGCCGGAGGTAGGTTCCCCTTCTATTATTTAATATCTATAATCTTATGCTGATGGACGACAAGATTCCGCCCATGTTCACAGCCCTACTGGTGGCCAGGTATGTTTAGTGCTCTATTTCCTTCAGATCGTCTGACCAGAACCAACATGTAGGGACTCAACACTGGTATCCAAGACTCTGTGAGTGACCAAAGGGTTATATCTCGAAGTATCCTAATATCAGCGTAGGTCAACTTGGCTTGGAAGCTCGCCCTTGTCCATAAAGGCCTGGCTCCCGAGGGTCTCCTCGCCAGTTACTCCCAAGAGCGTATCCCTATCATCGCAGCAATGCTCAACAAGACTTCTGAACTCCTGAATAAGACTTTCAAGCCCGGAGGAGGTGGTTGGGTCAGAGGCTACGAGCTTCGTCAGCTAGGCGTCAACTACCGCGGCAGTCCCGCAATCGTGGATGAAACTCCGGTCGAGGGTGAAGAGACCATTGACCCATATCGATCAGGTAACGACGGCACCGTACGGGGCGGTGACCGAGCCCCCGACGCTCCTGGCCTCGTATTCATCGATGATTCCTCGCACAAGACCAGTCTTTTTGACGTCTTTGGATCATCCTACCACACGGTGCTCATCTTCTCTGACGAGAATACCGCGCTTCTGGATGCTCTGAAGAATTACCCCACCGGTATTATCAAGTCCGTGGTCATCGTTCCGCAGCGACCAACGGGCGCTATTTTGGCCGATCAAGTACTGGTGGATGGTGATGGCTATGCATACAAACACTACAACATGGCAGAGAAGCTTACCAAGGTTGTTGTGGTCAGACCTGATGGGATCATTGGGGCACTTGTGAGTGGTGTAGATGGGCTGAACCGGTACTTCAAGAAGATTTTCGTGTAATTTTTATATCGTTAGAAACTTGTAGCTATACCGATATTACATATGTGTACGCATACATATTTTGGTCAACCGTGCTCTCACTCAGGATATTAATATCGTTGGTCTCCATGTATACTCCTTTAGAAGTAAGCGTATGTTACTTGTCATGAATTGCAAGCGGCGCACCTTCTCGAAGGGAGAATCGCTCTTCTATTGTCAGACTGCAACGGTCTTCTCGGTCCTTCCTAAAACACTTAGTGTGCAAACCTGGCGGATCGCTTGCATGCGCAGCGCACATTGTCTACAGATAGTAGCAAGCAGTGGCTGCGGACAAGAAATTTACGTGCTTCGAGGCCTACCTTCCGAGCCAAATATAACTTAAAACAATAAAGATACCTCGTTTACAACAAGAAGCAACGGTACAATAAATAAGACTTTCTCTAAATAAAAATGTCAGTAGAAAAACACAAACGGGTATCAAATGAACGTAGCGCCATATAAACAATTCGTAGCAGCTCGTGAGAAACCCCATGTACTAGAAAAGCCGCTACTTCGGACTCTCCAACACCAATGATCAAAAAATACAGTGAAGAGTAGCCCATAAGAAAGAGAGTAACGAGAATAGCACCCCCGTATCACGAGGCCAAATAAAGGTGGATAATCTACGGGAATTACCAGAATCCGTATTACAAGGGTGAAATGAGAGGCAATTGCATACAAGTCCTGACCGCTAGCAGGAAATGATAGATTAGGCGTAATGGTATACGGAGATCCCAGATCCCGTAGAATCAACCTTCATACAAAAAAATAAATCTCAACCAATGTCTCTGTTCAGATACCCCCATAGGCGTCATCCGCATGGTAAATTGTTTCTGGCCTCTTGACGGCAGGTATAGTGGGACTCGAGGGAGTTGGACTGGAAGGGAACCCATTCTTCCTCTCTGCAGGAGGAGTCATCACAAAGCTGCTTCCGAGTGGGCTGGGGGTAGTTGGGAACCTGCTCTGAGTGCTCAACTTGCCGGCTACAGTGATGGTTTGACTGACACCACTGGGGAAGCCGGAACCAGAACCTGTAAATGGAGAAGACATCGGGGTGCTGCTGGTGCTATCTCGGTAAGAACTCGGCAGGGAATATTGCGAGACAGATCCACGATCTATGGATATTTCGGGAAGAGTGGGAGGGGTGGAGTCAACACGATAACGGGACGAGGTAGATAGAACCGGGGATGGCGGGGCAGGGAATTCGAGGTCCTTCATAATGTCCACTGATGCTTGAGACTGAACAGATGTTCGTTTGGGGGACGGACTGGGTGCTGAAGTAGCTTGGGTATTATAGCTGTCCTTCGGCGGAACTACAGGTGGTGTCCCTGAACCATTAGTTGCTAGGGACGCATTCCTGCTATGCACATATTCATTCACAGCCGGTGTATCCAATCCCTGAGGAACTTCGGTGTCTAGTCGGTTCGCTATCTCTGCATACTGAGCAGCTTGAAAGGGGGTGACGCTGGATCGAGCGACGTCGATGTAATCGTTCGCTGGTACAGGTAGGCTCTGCCAGGGAGCACTGGAGGCCACGGAGGAATGGTGAACAGACTGATCGTAAGTGGCGGTACTACGTGAGATCGATACGTTCCGGCTGACAGTGTTCTCAGAAGTGCGATTCGATGGTGTCCTCGCTGGTATGGTCGGACCGCCAAGTCCATACACCGGTGAGGGCAACGGACCATCATCTAAATCATAGCTGTAGACATACTGGGGAGTATCGGACGGTACAGGGAATGCTGAAGGTGTATCATCGACTTGTTTATGTACGGCGGGGGCAAACAATGGATTGGCGGAGTTTGCAGCCAGGGAATAGCCAAGGGTCACCCCTGCACCATAGTGTGGTTGCGAACGCTCTGGAGGAGCATAGGCAGGTCCTGGTGCTCCATATTGCGTTCCAAACGACATAGGATGATTGCGACGTTCTAGCATGCTAGGAGGACGGGGGTTAAACGAACGATCAGTATCGGGATCTGAACGCGGGCCATGCATGAGAACGGCAGAACGTCGAAAGGTCTTAGCGTCGAATTCATCCGTTTCGCGACGATTTGTACGCCATCGACGCTGAAGAAAAGAAAATTAGTCAACGAATAAGGAATTCAATCAGGGACGTACCAAGAAGAACCCTACTGTAGCGATGACCAACGCAAGTCCAATAATGCCTGCGGCAAGGCCTCCAATAATTGCACCCGTATGGCTTGTCCCGCTGGTCGAACTGGCTGATGCTGATGCGACATCACTGGTTGAGACTGATTTAGCTGCTGCTGATACGGTAACAGAGATTGCCGTGGTATGAGTTGATGAACTGGTCGCTTCCGCGCTTACTGTGCTTGAGGTCGAGAAGTACGACGACGATGAGGACGAAGAGGAAGAGGTCGTAGATAAGGAGGTCGTCGACAACGACAGGGTAGATGAAGTTATCGATGTCGTCGTCGTAGACGTTGAAGACATCGACGTAGATGATGTGTGAGTCGAGGTCGACGTCTTAGCAGACGAGGTGGCGCTAGTGGAAGTCACGGAGTCGCTGGTACTGATGCGGATGGTGAGCGTCGTCTCTGCAATTCTGGTCAATACTTCCTCCTTCCTTTCAGTTATAACTGGGCTACTCACCAGCATCCGTAAGAGAAGATTCCTGCGAGTCAGTGGTCGTGCTCGTGGAAGACGCCGTTCGGCGTTCCAGGCCACGGTGAGCAATGCGTCTCTCGTTCATTCCATGAAGCATTTTTTTCGGTAAAGAGCGTGGGCAATAAATCGAGAAAAAAGAATGAAGCCGTGAAGCGTTGAATGGAGAGAGAACTTGAACCGAGGCCGTCCCGGTGAAGGAAAAGAATAAAAGTTAGTCACGGTCACAATCTGCCCAATCCGTTGCCATCACCGTCGCGAACGATCGCGTACATCGTGTTGGGCCTGGAGATCCTTCTCAGGCTGACTCTGACATGATTTGGCTTTTGAGGGAGATCCTGAGAGATTCCATTGCGATAGAGACGATATCTTTGTTCGTCGTAGGTTGTCTGTTCCATTATAAATTCTCATTTCAAGTCCTCAATTGACAGTAACACCTTGTTGATGTCATTAGAAATGTTTAAACCCTAGCATCACAACAGCGCCTCGTGCTGAAGACGCGTGTAATATTGTCCCTAGGTTAATATAATCTGTCGACGGCTCCGCATCGATACTGTTATTGCCATCCTACAGTCGGCCAGAAAGCAAGTTATCTGAGGGATGCTGGCGCTCGCAGGTGTGGGATCTTTTTATGTCGCTTCCAAACAAAATAGATGAAGGTCACTCTGATTTCGCGTTGATTTCGCATCTGATTTTATGGATTTTTTGAATTAAATCTATTTTGCTTGGACAACCCTTGGGACAGAGTTCACGAGAGTATAGTCCAAACATCTTAAAGGGTACAGCAAAATTGAGACTCCGCTTGCAATGTCAGCGTAACTGCCGAACTCGGCAGAAATCCGATCATTTGACATCCTTTTTATCCTACGGGCCAGATTGAATAACATCGCATCATCACCAAAAGGTAAATGCTGGTTTGCGTCACTTATGGGCAGACAAGTTTTTCTTTAGGTTTCGGAACCTTGAGCACTGCAGTAGGTCTAGAGAGCGTGATCCGGCGGAAAACGTATACATGCAGGTGGAAGGCAGAGCCGGGAGACGCGTCACCCGTTTGGGAGCAGCATTGTAAGTGTGCAGTATGTAAGGACTTTCACAAAGTATTAATCGTATGGAAAGGTTTCCATGTTCAACCTTCAAACCTACGCGATGGCTGTGCAATGTGCAATGTGCATTGTGCATTGTCCGAGTCCGCCCGGCCTATTGACTGACATGCCGTGCTTACTCGTAAATTATCCAGGATGGCATCTGATGACCTAAAATTCATCTGATAATAGATCAAGTGGACTTTAGCAGCATCCACTATATATGCGCGGCTATGAGTCCAATCTTTCCCATTGATCTATCCTTTCTACCATCATGACCAACACCTCCGTTCTCATCGTACGTCTCCCATTCACCTTTCTTTCCCGTGATCTGACTTGTATATTTGAATCATGATAGGCCGGAGCAGGTCCATCAGGCCTTGCCTTGGCTCTTGCTTTATTACAGAATGGCATGTCCGTTCGTGTCATAGACAAGGGTGAAACACACAAGGTCGGCCAGAAAGGGTGTGGTATCCAGGTTTGTATGCATGCTGGCCTGTCCGTCACCTTCCTAGGCTTATGCACATCGCCGTTCAGCCCAGGATTCTCGAGCTTTACCACTTCATGGGTGTCCTACCTGACATTCAGAAAAAAGGAGGCCTTATCTGTCCTGTCATCCACTACCTTCCAAATGGCGAGACCAAAACCTTGAGCATGGTCACTAAGGGCGAGGTTACCCCAGATAAACCTTGCGTATGTAATTTCCTATCCCGCCTGACTCACAAATGACTCACGGTAATCACCCCAGAGCGAACCACTCCTGCTCGGCCAAGATCGTCACGAACAGATACTACGAGAACACCTGGCTAAGTACAGATGCGAAGTCGAGCTGGGCACGGAACTGGTATCCTTCGAACAGTTTGCTGACCACGTAGTATCCCGTGTCATTAAGACTCACGATGGTCAGGCTGTTGAAGAAACTATCGAATCTCGATGGCTTGTTGGCGCAGAGGGCGCCCATAGCGTTGTACGCAAATCGTTAGGATTGACGTTCCTCGGCGAGACGCGACAGGAAAATATGGTCGTTGGCGACATCAAGATTATAAAACCACAGCTTGACGAGGTAAGTTCTCAGCACACTCGAACATTTCATCCATTTAGACAATCATGGCAAGTTCTGGCATTCTTACGGAAATGCGACCACCAAATCGTACGTTCCTCCGAGTTTACATGGAACCATCTTCCTATTGTTTTGATAGGGTAGTTATACGGCCATCTGAGGACCCGGCTGCAAACAAATACCAGTTCTTCGCCATGGGACCCCAATTGGACATGACGACAGTAGCTTCTGGACGGGAAGCGTTTATCAAAGAGTTCTATGCTGTCTCTGGCCGGACAGACATCGAGTTCGGTGAACTCGTATGGATATCCAACTTCCGGGGAGTGTTTTCTGTTCACACAATATTCCTGGATACTTATCTGTCCTACAGACCCAATATTCGGATGGTGGACAAGTTCGGTTCAGGGAGAGCTTTTGTAGCCGGAGGTGCGCACACTCTCTTTAGTGAAAGGTATCGTCAATGATTAACGAGCATAGACGCTGCCCATGTCCATAGCCCTACGGGAGGTCAGGTATGTCATTTCTATTGGGCTGCTTATTGATGGACGCCTCACACGTACACAGGGTCTAAACTCAGGCATCCAAGATTCGGTGAATAACCCTCCGAACGCATCCTTAACAGACTTTATCATAACCCACGTGTCAACAGATTAATCTAGCATGGAAACTTGCTCTTGTCGACAAAGGTTTAGCAGCTCCTACTCTCCTAGACACCTATACCCAAGAACGCATCCCGGTCATCGCAGCCATGCTCAACAAAACCACCGAGCTCCATAACAAAACTTTCACGCAGGGAGTTGCTTCATACGACGCGTGGAAGAGAGGGCCCGAACTGTATCAGTTCGGCGTCAACTACCGCGGAAGCCCAATAATCGTCGACGAGGCAGGGACACCCGAGAGCCTCGATCCGTATCGGTCGGGAGACGGTGGAAACTTGCGTGCTGGGGACCGTGCTCCGGACGCATCGGGTCTGGTGGGAGAGAAGACGCGTCTGTTCGATATATTCAGCACATCGTATCATACGGTCCTCATCTTCTCTGGCGCTGATCCGGACGTGACGGAGATCCTGGACCTGCTAAAAGCCTACCCAGTCGGCTCTCTTAAGTCGGTCGTGATCCTTCCTCAAGACGCTGCTCCTCCTGCCGTTGATGGCTCCTCCGCTGACTTTGTCCTCACCGACGGAGAGGGTCACGCGTACAAACACTACAATGGAGTTGTCGTAGTCAGGCCGGATGGGATGATCGGTGCGCTCGTAAGTGGTGTAGACGGGCTGAAACAGTACTTCAAAGGCATCTTTCTGTAATTTATTGGACTCATATCGTATACTACCCCGTTCATTATATAAACCACAGTAACACGAAAATCTTGTTAAATTTGTATCACTGAGGGCGAGCTTTCGAACTCATCAGAAAAAATGACAGGCAAGTTGGAAGCCGAAGTAATGGTTGACGGAAACGTCTTGCCTCGCAGCGCTTCCAGTGAAATACAGGCACGCTGGAGATAGAAATTGAGAGTCAGTATGCAGTTTGTTATATCAGCAAGGAACTTGTTCAATGATTAGGATTAATCAAGATCTATAAGGTACCCGGTAAACATTGATGTAATATTCAATCATTATTTGTTCATCCAGCACTGACCCAAGTGACAGGCCTTAGGTTTTGATAGACCGGGGTTTCGGATCGGTAACTTACCTCCTCTCACTGGAAGGGTTTTTGTTGAGGTAAGTTACCTGTCATGTGACTGTACATGACGAGTAAATTCAGCATGATACTCGATACTATTGTTGGAGAATATCCGTACGGCGTATCGTTTACCCTTTTTACCTTTCACCTGTCACTCGTTCTTACTTACCTTTTATATATATTCCCCTGTCCTTATTCAATCACTATATAAGTTTCACCATAGTTACTCATATGCCTGAGTCATTCCATAATCGCTGTGCCCGACTGAGATATGTATACCTTACCGAGCATGATATTATATTACTTACTCTCTTTCATAGCTCTTACTTATATTCTTCTGCTATTAGGTGTGGTGACTGCAATACAGTCATTCCGCAATTGCTGTACCTGACTAAGCTTTTACCTATATTCTTCTGCAATTAGGTTATGTGGCTCTGTTGCCTATAAATCAGTCAAGAAAAATATGCAGTGAATTTTCCCTCAAACAGATTCTCCACTTTAACAATTACCCACACTAAAGTATGAACATCATCACCAACACTATGACTCTTAAGATGTTGTTGATTACATCAGGAGTAACAATCCTCCCTGACACTAACAGCCATTTCAATGGCAAGAACTATGCCTCCTGGAAACTACAGACAACAAAACTATTGAAAGGAAAAGATCTAAAGGGATACATTGAATAAACTATAAAATGCCCTGCCACCTCTGCACCAGCTATAAGTGGACCTATCATAACATTTTTACCATCAGACCCTACTCCAATCTACTCATCACACCCATCATACAATGAATGAATCTTTCATGACCAACTTGCTCACTCACACATTGTCCTCAACATCCTTGATTCCACTGGATTAGGGATAAGGACCAATGGGACTATGAAGGAATGCTGGAACTCCATTACTACAGAGCATGCCAAGAACTGATATGGATCTTTTGGAGGCTGAGACATTGCTGAACACAGTAAAATTTGATAGAAACAGTGATATTGATGTACACATTAGTGAGCTTCATACTAAGTGGTATACTATAAATGTCCTTTATGCTACTCCCCTCCCAGATCAGAAATTCCATGGCAAAATTATCCATTCTATCCTCTCTACTGACAACTGGATGCTCTTGATTTCTAGCCTATATCAAATGCTGACATTGACTGACATTATATCTCACCTCCAAACCCATTCTGCAACACTCTAAGCTGCAGGTAAAGGCCCAAACCAATCACAAGCTCTTATAGCTGGATACTACCACTAACTGTGGATGTATCAACTGTTATGATTTTTTTGCCCCTAATCATGATCTCTAGTCTCTATTTGTGACCTGCCAATGCTCAGTAAGCAAACACTTATAAAAGCCTGACATGTGATGAATCCTGACATAATTCAGCCTCAGCCATGGAGAAACCTCACATCAGCCTATAGATGATAAAGGCATGATGATACCATGCCTTACTCTTCACCACACAAGCAGCTGGCATCAGCATGCTGACCACACTGAATGACTATGCAATGGTGTGATTTTCATTATAAATATTATGGCCTGTGGGAGACTTGCTGCTCACTTGAGGAGTAGAATGTAACTGGCTATAATGAGGGCCTTAGAGACCACTCTCAAATCAATTGCAACATGTGAATGGCTATATAGTAATATAAGAGAGAGATGGGTGGAGGATAAAAAACTCAATGACTTATACAATAATGGTCCAGTAGTACTGAATGAGGATTGGTTAGATCTGACAAAGCCAAGACTATTTGAATGAGCCAATTGTGAGATAAAGGAAGAGACAGAGCCTCACCAGGCAACAGGAGTTACTGACAAGTGAAGGAGGAGGTGAAGCCTCAAAGTCTGAGATTAGTAATCAGAAAAGATTGACAGTGAGAGAGCAGAGCTTGTCTCACCTAGGAATGCAGGATGATAGTAGAAGTGAAGAAGAGACATCTGGCACTGATATCTCTCATGAATCAGCATCAGCCAAGACTCAGCACTGAGACAGAGACAGCACCAGTGATTCCTCTTTATGGACAAGTGAAGCTGTGTATCTCTGCATTGACAGTGTTATGATTTTTCCTATTTTCTTTTGTATTAACCCCTATTTATGCTTAGTCAGAGTACCTAGACCAGTGCTTAAGACTGTGGGACTGGCTTAGTCATCACAACAAGCCCAGTCAGTCATTGTCTTTTGACACAACAGTGTTGTCTGGCAATGCACAACAAGACTTTTGTAGACAGTAATGATGCTCAAGGACAAAGAGCACAATGATCATGAAGAACACAATAAGTAGTAGTATTTATATCACTATGGATGAACTGTATATAAGTAGGATAGCTCTTGCTGGTATAACCCCAGCTTTGAGCTAAAGTTTATTCACACTACTTCATTCTAGAGCCACTTGTCTTTGGCCTTGATAGCACATAGACCAACAAAGCACAGTAAGTGAAATTAAGTGTGACTGTATGAACACGATACAGTGCCTATTTATTATGTGTTTTGGTCACATGCAACTTAGATCTAACAGACAGAGATTGTGACAACCTCAAGAGCCACATAGAGGCCTGCAAAAATGCTTTTTATCCTTGGAATCTGCCTTTATGATGGGAAGACTCACTATAATAATAGTATTGTAGAACAACAACAGTGTGAGTACACAATAATAGGAGTACTGTTATTTGTTGAAAATCCTGAGTGTTATATAGAGTAGACTCTAGGCTGATAAGGCCAGATAGAATGAACTTGTTATTCTATAGCTCCTCCAAAGCTTGTATTTATACTCTCCAGGCTTATATCTAGAATTTACTACAACTTTCTCTTTCTCTTAAGCTTACTCATCAACTCTTGGCATGATGCTGGATTGCTCTTTCTGAAACTTTCTGGCAAAATCCCAACATTATTGGATAATGAGTCATAGACATACAATGAACTTGAGTGCATCTGTATCTTCAGTATCTGTCCATGAGAAGTTTGGATGTGTAATAGGATGAATTAAGCAAGAAAAGTGATGTTGACCAAGGCCAGACACTTTTGGATGCTATGACTGAGCTGACATAATTTGAAGATTGGTCATGACCTCTCTTACATATGGGTGTGACAACTTGTTGTATCTCTCTACAAAGTGCCCTAGTTTATTTGTATTTCCTTCTAAAGCCTATGCACTCTGCCTAACCTCCTGGCTCATTCTTATCTGCCTCTGTCTACTCTCTATTTTCATTATGACTTGTCTTTACTTTGTACTATACTTATATGACTTTATCTTGACTCAGAATACTGTGCCTATGATTCACTCTATTCATTTCCCTCATCCTCCAATTACCTGTACTTTATTACAGCTCTGAAATATTCTGTACATTAGCATAAAAGACAGAGACATTAATACACTTAGAATTCTCTCATCACTATTTTCTCTGAACTGGCATCAGACCTAAAAAGGTAGGACAATACCTCAAACTATAAGCCTATTTTGGGGAGGGGGTCAGTATAAAGCCATAACTTACCTTCCTTAGAGGTTTCATACACAACCCTACAGTTAACACATCTTAATTATTAACGAAAAAATAAACTTACACAACCTTCAATCAATCTGCCCCAGTGAGGCTCGAACTCACGACCTTCCGATGTCAACATAACAGTCGGACGCTGTAACCAACTCAGCCATGGGGCACATAATAAATCTGGGATAGCATTAGCTACAGCCTTACAGACAAAATCCATTTCAGTTGATCGCCCAACGAGCCCCATTACCAATTTCATTATAGAGCCAAAAATTGCGAGCCACAAAAAGGTCCGTAACAAATTCTAATCAATCTGTTTTAATCTTAGCTGATGATGCCCTCCACCTCCCCAATAAATGATTTGCCCTAACGATCAGCAAGTCCCTCAACATCTGCAAGGACGCTGTGACAACGTTCAGTTTACTTCCTGGAACCTCATGCCAGTCGATAGGCACTTCCGCGACGGGTATACGGAGCTGCTTGGCGAGGAGGAGGAGCTCGACGTCGAATATCCATGTCGGCAGGTGCTGTTGAGGAAATATCTGCTGCGCCGCAGAGCGCGAGAACAACTTGAACCCGCATTGGGTATCGCGGATGTGCCCGACGCCTACGATTCGCAGGATGGTGTGTAGTCCGTACATGAGGATGTTCCGGAGTAGCGAGCGCTAATGTATACTCTGAGTCATGGGAAAAAAAAAATGGGCGAATGCGTATGTACCTTCACGACCGCGTCCGTTCTGACAAGGTGTGCGCGACTCCCGACGACGACGCCAGGACCACTGTCTGGCGCGATGTCGCCCATGGCACGCCAGAGCAGTTCCAGGTCATTGAACCGGCTTGCTCCGTCTGCATCGACCATCAAGAGCTTCTCCCCGCTCGCGTAGAGCATCCCATGGCGCACTGCACCGCCCTTGCCCAGGTTCTTCTCCAGCGTTACTACGCGGATATCGCATTTTGGGTACTTGCCCGCGAGGCGGAGGGACGCGGCGGAGGTGTCATCAGAGGAGCCGTCGTCGACGATGAGCACTTCGAATGAGTGCGTCGTTGTGCTGAGGTGGTCGATAGCAGATGCGAGCATGATGGGGAGGCGTTCGGTCTCGTTGTAGGCGGGGATGACGACACTGAGGTCGACGGTACTCGGGTCGGAGAGAAGTGGCAGGAGTTGGGGATTGCTGGGATGCTTGTATGAGCGGTATTTCTTTTCGGAGTCGCGTGTCACTATTGGGTCGGGGGACCATGCAATGAGTGCGAAGTATAACTAGTAACATCGTTAGGTTAAAGAGTTGGAAGGTAATATGGGCAAGGAAAGGAATCAGACAGGGATTGTTATACCCTGACCCAGCTGTTTTCGTCCTCACCACGGCGCACATAGACCCGTGGCTCGAAGAACAAGGATGAAACGGGTGTTCATCCCGTTGAGAGATATCGCAGAGAAGTAGCACGTACAGCTACCGCCACCCCAGAGACCGCTACGAGGCCAGCATAAACAATAGTGGACGTTTCCATGGCTCTGTTTTCTTCTCTACGTGATGCTCATTCAACCTCAAACAATGCCCGATTGAAGAGAGACAAAAGAATGAGAATAATGACAGGACGAGGTTGAAGAAAAGGAGGCACGCTGGTGCGAAGACATGGAGATCAGCGTGTGAATCTCGCGACTACGCAGTCGACGTGGAGCTTCACGATTGCCTAACGTGGAATTGTGCAAATGTATTGGTGAAAATATTCAAAAGTTAATTCATACGAGTATTGGACAACTGATATTAAGATGGCTAATACTCTATCGTGAGTGCGAAGAAGGTAAACTCATGGCATAAGATGGGTGTCATCCACCTGTAAATCAAACGCAGGCTGCAAGTGTCGCGTCGCGAACATCAAATGAAGATTGTTTGCAGGCGCTACTTCTAAGATGTCCTTCACAGATTCCTTGGAGACATGATGTAGTCGGCTCCGTCACAGCGTCCGAGTTCGATGTCACTATCAGCGAGGCGATACCGTTCGGAGAGACCCATGCTCGGAACAGATCGACGCAGAAACGAGCTCCAAGTAAGGACCGGCGATAACTTTGTGATATTTAGCAGACTTGGTATCATTCTCCTCAGATATCTCCAAGGTCGCAGATATATCTGAATGATGACGCAGGCGCTGCAGCGAAAAGATGAACAGAAATCGAGCAACTCGATGATGAGAGGAGAATGGACATTAATCAAGGCCCGCACTGAAAGACATACATCTTCTAATGCATAATAACTCACAGTCTGAGCATGCATCAACTTGAAGACAGTCATGACCAAGGCTCAGTAATACCGAGGCCGGTCAGGGAGCCTTGAGATGAAAGCACCATTGAAATCGATAGATGGTGCGACCTACATTTTGACTGTGAGACGAGCCGCGGCCTTTGGGCGGGGAACGTGTTGAATGTGTCAATCACAAAGGGCCTTTTATCTGCTATGCCGCAGCACCACCAAAAAAACATTACGACGAGAACCAGTTCGCTTCCACTAAGCGAGAACAAGGCCCAGCGCCTGTTTAGTCGAAGGGTCACGGGCAGACTGACTGAGCAATGTCGGTATGTCGGGCGACGATGGCGCCTGTGGTGGTCGAAGAAAACCCAAGTCCTGATAACGGCGATCTCCGAAACGGGAGACATTTTAGTTCTGTGTCTCTCCGTTAGTGCGCTCACCACCATCGTTTCTTTCTCTCTATCCCACTTTCTCCTCTGTAGATAATGTCCTGGCAAGGTGCCTGCTCGTCTGCTTTTCTATATCAACGCCGATACTGATGAAGACACGCCCGGCAGCATACGTCGATACGAATCTCGTCGGCAGTGGCAGGATCGCCAAAGCAGCTATCATCGGTCAACAGGGAGGCATCTGGGCAGCGTCAGCAGGATACAACGTGATTGCCCTTTCGCGATGCTTGCCCTGATCTTGTTCTTATTGTTGTTGCTTGCAGCTCTCGACAGCGGAGCAGAATGCTATCATCCAGGGTTTCTCGGATCTTGCGCACGTCCAAGCATCTGGGATCCGTGCTGCCGGGCAAAAGTTCTTTACCCTCCAGGCGAATGAGCGTAGCATATATGGGAAGAAGGCGGTATGCGGACTTTAGTTCTAGCAATGAGTTGGAATATTGATTGTCTTGGATAGGCGGATGGAATCGTGATTGTCAAGACGAAACAGGCGATCCTTGTTGCTGAATATATTGCGCCCATCCAGGCGCCGGAAGCTACGCCTATCGTAGAAGGACTCGCAGATTACTTGATCAGCGTGGGGTACTAGGCTCGAGCTCATCGATGTTTTTGCTACAAAGAAGACTTGAAATGTATTAATCTAACGCCCTGAAGAGACGGCCTTTTATGTATCGATCTTGTTACATTTTCTGCATCGATTGACTGAACGATTGGTGAGTCAACCGCCTCGTTCTTGAATTGGTTACTGAATGATAGATCTACAGAATATCTGATCTTATATCCCTGATGGAATCCTCCAACGTCAGGTTCAGTGTGTCAGGCTCAGTGTGTCAACTGCCATACGATCGCACTCATTGAGGCGACAAAGTGGTCGATAAACGCTAGTCTCGGTCTTGATGCCCGCCCTATTCGAGATGAAACAGCTAATACGTTGATTGCGGTCATGCACTACGGGAACCATCAACCATGGGTGCCCTACAAGAGCCTACTGTTCGTCGACAGAGGGGAGCACCAGAAGGAAAATTCTTAGTGCGCAGGGCAGAAGCAACGCCGCAACGAAGCATTACGCGAGCGAAGCAACCCCATTTCGCCACCGATGGCTTTTTTAATGAAAAATATCAGTCAGGTAGTAGTGAGCCGGCTCGACCTTTTTTCGGTTGATATTGCGGATTGTCCTGTTGCCCTCTATAGTTGCTCCCTACTACTTTTCTTACTTTCTTCTGCTACCACACGATTAAAATACAACACATTGCCGGCCCGAGCAGAAAAGGTGATGCCAACGCTCACGTGCCAGGACATGTGGCAACCGTTCTCGGCAGAAGGAATCCAATTTGGCTTTTTATCAATTCAACGCCAACGAACCGACCAACCCAGTCAAACTGGATTTTACATTCTTTTTCTTTCCACGGCCTTTCATTACTATATATATATATAAAATTCTAAATGCTTCGACTTGTTCAAGACCACCGCATGCTTCGCGTACGACAAGCCACCGGAGGAACTGGAGCGCAAGGGGGTGCCTCGCAGAGCACAGATACAGGCAGTGGGACTGGTGCTTCGTCTGCCTCAACATCGCAGGCTTTCTCACCGTCGGCCACAGCGTCGAGCTCAGGTACGTACTCAGTGCTCTTCATCGAGCTGTGGACCTTGACCGTGGATCAGGCACTTCGGGGCCTACGACCTCTGCATCGGCCAGTAGCGAGTCCTCGTCTACCCAGACACCGTCGTCGACCTCGTCGCCAACCACGTCTTCTTCGTCTTCATCGTCGTCGGCCACCTCGACAACATCTGTGGAAACGACAACAACGACCGCTACCACGGCAAGCAATACCTCCACCTCCACCTCCACCTCGACCGCTACTACTGCCTCCTCATCTTCTACTTCAAGCTCTGCATCTACCACTCACACCTCAACATCGACTTCTGCCACCAGCGCCGCCACATCGACCAGCGTACGTTGTCCATGATACCGTTCCTGATTTTTTCTCATACCGGCATCTATAGGCCACCTCGTCAGATACCAATGTGGAGACCACATCAGCAGCAGCAGATGAATCGTCTACGGGGAGCTACACGACATACACTTATACCCAGACGAGTTCGTACCGTACTGTGACCCGCGTTGGCACTTCGGAGCTACCAGGCTCGACTGTCAGTGCCGGATCATCAGGGTCGACTTCTAGCTCGCTCAACACCAAGGCCCTCGCTGGAGGGATAGCAGGTGGTCTTATCGGCTTGGCCATTCTAGGATTCGGTATAGCGTTTGTCCTGGTAAGTGTCTTTACTTTTTTTTTTTTTCGTTGCCACTGGCATGCGACCGGTTTCGTTCGACCGAGGTTTCGCCTTTCAGACGGCCGACGGTTTCAGGGCCGAGATGGGTGCCTTTTTTCAGGGATTATTTGATTTTAGTTCGAGGCTCCTGTGTTTGCTGGCGATGGTTGGCGTTTCATCCCCTTCTGATACATGTTGTCTATCATTCTGTTGGGACCTTCGGGTGCTGGAAGCCTTTTGTTGAAATCATTACTGATTGAATCTTCATAACAGCGCCGCAGAGGGAACCGTCGTCGCGCAGATGAATTCGAAGCCTCGCAATTCCGCCGGTCTGCCATGGTGCTAGACGAAGATACCCTCGCTCCTCAGCGATCTGTCGCTACTACACCGCAGATGTATGAACGTGGACACTCTGTCGCACCATCTATCACGAGTACCACCAGTCCTGGAATGGCAGGACAGGGAGCGTATTACGCCGGTCAAGGTGGTGTCGACCAGTACGATTCATACGCTGACCACCCATATGCCACCGGCCCATATACTGCCGCACCTCCTGCCGTTCAAGCACCGCCGCAGCCGACACACGTCCTCCAACCCCGGCCACGATACACATTTGGCGAAGTACCAACTACTTCTGGGCAGCAAGTCACGTCGGATGATGGACACGAGAACACGCAAGGCGCGTACAGCCCGGAGCCTACCCCGCAGGCTTCGTACAACCCGGAGGCGTATGGCGACTACCATGCTTACTCGCCGGAAGGTTCAAGCTACGGCAACACTGCTGGCGCTCATATGCGGACTCGAACGAACGACAACGATGCCTATGGCGGGATTTGAGATTAGGGGAACCTTGTTGTAATGTTTTATCTCTCCCTGTCTCTCTCTAAACAAACAATTCATCTATATATCCAACTTTTATTCCCGGACTCGCCAAATTTTTTTTCATATATTTTTATTTTCAGCAAAAAATCTGATTCCTCTGGCGGGTCCTTGTTGCCTTGACGCCCTTCCCACCGTGTTCTCCCCCATCTCTTCTTCCTTCGTCTATCGCTTACTGTATACCACCCAATGCGAGCGATACCTGTCAGGTACAAGGTTTTTAGACCCTCCCCCCATCCCTCTGCCTTTTTATGTACACCACAGTTTGTGTTATGGGTTTTTTTTGTGGGTGTTCGTATATAGCTTATTACTATCATCAATCGTATTTGTATTATCTTTTGGATAGTTGACACGGTGTTGTACGATGGGTATCTGGTGCCCGGAGATTTTTGAGGTGGTTAGAAGCTGCAGATGTTCTGCTGCGTATGATGATGGTGGTGGGACAGAGAAAGGTGTTGGCATTCCATTGTCCACAAGACAATGTGTCTGTCATCCACCGAAGACAATGGACAATAACCGGCATTACCAATAGACCTTACCTTGTCTGAATGCCACTGGACTCTTGTAGTATATATATCGTGTAGATATCCTCTGCTACCTCAGTCAATTGAGCTATAGGCCCCGGACTGAGCTATACATTTCTAGGAGTTGGTTTCTAAAAGGTTATGGGTTTCTGCTCCATTTGAGCTAAAAGAGACAAATGATGAATCCTCAAATCTACATTTACACTATGTCTTCCCCTGATGCTACCACTGCTGCTGCTGCCCCTGTCCTCTCCCCTTTGCCGATTGGCCTTTCCCTCATCAACATTTGTTCTATGGATTTCCAATGACCGTCTGTCCCCTTGATCACCATTCCTGCCAATACCTTCAGCTCCAATAAACTGGACAAGGAAGTCAACAACTGGCACTTGTGGAGCCAGAACATTCTCAACTGCCTTGCACTCACTGGAGGCATTGATGAACACCTCCTCAGTGCTGCCACATGTCTAGATGCATCAATGGAACTCTATGCTGCTTGAAATTGGAAAAAGAACAACCATGCCACTCTTACATTCATCTCCCAGTATTCTGTTGAATCTGAAAAAAATTATCCTTATCTAGATACACTGCTACTGCAGATGCCTGGAAAGCCCTGAAGACTCATCACAAACAGGAGGGCCCTATTGTCCAGATAAACCTTATTCAGGAAGCTCTGGCTGTTCATTATACTCACACTGAATGAATGGCCATGACTACTGCATGAATTGAGCATCTGAACACATGAATCTGGAACATGGGTGACCTGACTCAAGACCTTTTCCTCTGTATTCTGATGCTAAATGCCCTTTCTGTCAAAATGGCCTCAGCTTGTACTGCAATTGTGCAGCTAATCAATCATTCCACCAAAGTCTCTCCTGTAACCTCTGCTGACATTAAATGAGACCTCACAACACAGCAACAGCTGTTTGATTCCAATGACACTTGGATGAAGGATACAGCTCTGGCTGCTGTAACACATAAGCTGTGCAATTCATCCACATGCACCAATCCAAAATGCCCATCACCTAAGAGTTATACTATTCCCTATTGCATTGTGGAAGGAGAAGGAATGGCTGGAAAAACAGTTGAGGAATCTCAAACTGCACAATGATGGGACCAAGATGGAAAAAGGAATACCCAAGGAAAACATTCAATGCTCTCTGTCTTGAAGGACAGCACTAGAAAGGTCTATGTCTTTGACACAGCTGACAGCTCATTCACTCCATTTCTCAGCTCAAATAATTCTGCAAAATCAGAATTCACTGCCCTAGCCTCCAAGCATGCTACTCCTAAACTTATTGACAGCATACCTAGCATATCTGCTGCTGAAACTGATGAATACAAGGGCTGGATGGCTGTTGCTGAGGAAATTTTGATCTCCATAGATTGAAACAACAACCAACACACTGTAGATGTTGCATCCATCACCACTACACCACTTAATCAATAAAAACAAACTCCTATATCAATGACTGAATTCCTCTACTTTCTTGATGCCAGTGCCACAGTCCACCTTACTCCTGAACATGATGATTTTCTTACTCTGGTGTCAATACCCCCAAAAGTGGTTAAAGGTATTGGCAATTCTTCTATCTATACAATTGATATAGGCACTGTTCATATACTGAGCCTAAATGGGACCTCTCTTATGTTGCAAAATGTTCTATACATCCCTTCTGCTTCTCTCTGTCTCATGTCCATATCATCTCTTATGAGAGACTTCAAATTAATCATACACTTTGATGATGACATCTGTTGGCTCACCTCCAAAGCAACTGATCAGACTGTTGCAAGTGGAAGGCTCAGCCTCAATAGAAGGCTTTACAGTCTTGCAATGGATAAATCATTAGAAGCTGATCACACTCTCCTTACTACCTTGTCCATTTCCAACCTCAAAATCTGGCATAGACAACTTGGCCATGTCAATTACCAGACAGTTGCAAAAATAATCCAATCTCATTCACTCCAAGGTATGCCCATCAACCTCTCTAAGCTGCCACTGGAATATGACTCCTACATCCTGAGTAAACAGACAAGAATGTCAATTCCAAAGACTCAACAGAAAGCATATAGAGCACAACAGAAGCTGGAGATTGTTTGGGTGGACTTGATTGGATCTCAAGCAGTGGTGTTGAAGACAGAAACCCAATATATGATGGACATTGTAGATGACTACTCAAATCATGTGTGTTCAATTTTCTTGCAAAATAAAGACAATTCTTTTTCAGAACTCTAGGCATGGGAATATGCTAGGGAAAATGAGACTGGATTGCATGTTGAGACATATCAGATGAACAATAGATCATTAAAGTCTAAAGAAATGGCAGTATAGCTAAAATCTCACAGAATATGCTACCAATTTACTGCTCTCTATACATCAGCTCACATTGGATATGTTGAATGATGATATTGCACCTTAATGAACAAGGCCTGCACTATGTGACTATATGCTTCCTGCCCAGAGAATCTCTGGGACAAGTTCTACCTTACTGCTGCATATCTTGACAACCTACTACAACCAAGTCACTGAATGGCATAACCTCACATGAGAAATGGTCTGAATGGAAATCAGATATTATCCACCTGCACTAAATAAGCTGCAAGGCATTCATACTGATCCAAAACCAGCACAATCCCAAGATATTTCAGTGATCTGAAGAGTGTGTCCTTATTGGCTATGATCCTCACTCTAAGATATATCAATGCTATCATAGACCCTCTAGAAAAGTCATATCCTCTTGTCATGTCCAGTTCATTGAGAGCAGACAGCTTGCTTGCATCTCCTCTGACCCTCAACATCAGTCCTGCAACAACAGATCCCAATATTCCAGTCACTGAAGTCCTGTTCACTCTCACTACCATAGACAATGATATTCAGCTCACTGCAACACTTGATAATGAGCGGAATGTATCCCTTCATGCACCAAATCCTGCATCAGATCCCAATCCAGATGTGAATGTGTCAATGCTCCAAGAGAATCACAATAAAGATGATGCCCACATCATCTCAAATAGATCATATAATGTCTGAAGTGAAAGATAGCATTCAATGCATTAGAGACCTGCAGAATGAGAGAAGAAGGGCACTCATCAAATTATAAGCCTCATCACAACCACTGATCTATGATCCACAAAGCATTGATAATGCTACACAGTATGAGCTACATGAAACTTGTTAGACCTAACTGATATGTGACCTGAACACATGATAAACTAGTGCTGTATTGTGTTCATACAGTCATGCTAAAGTCCACTTAATGTGTTTGTTATGATTTTCTCTCATTTTCACTTCTTTTCCCTTGATTTATACAGGATTGACCTTTATTTCTGCTTAGTCAGAGTGCCTAGGCCTGGCACTTAGGATCATGGGAAAGCTTAATCATCAGCACTGTCCTGATTCTGGTTGCTGCTGTGAAGCTGTGCAACAGCACAAAGACAGAGAAGCCTCTCTTATCTTTGTGCAGCAGTAACAGCAGTAACAGCACAACAGCAAGACAATACTTTTTGTAGGTATCTTGGTAATGCTGGACAAAATGCCACATAGCACCAGCAAAGACAATTAGGTAGTTATATTCTTGGAACAATAAGGATTTAGTATTTAACTAGTATAGCTCTCACTGTAATACCTCAGCTTCAAGCTAAAGTTTATTCTCCACCATCTTATCTTGAGCAACTTGTAACCATCTTGACTACACAACACTGATCACACATCAGTGGACTCTGATTGTATAACCTGAAGTGCAAGATTCTATCAGTTTATCATGTGTTATTGGTCACATGGAATTTGGGCTTAACAGTGTTCTGATAGGTGAGGTGCTTCAAGGCCAGAGACAAGCTAAGCCAGATAGAAGATAGTGTGAGATAAACTTATAGCTCAAAGCTGAACTACTATAGCAAGAGCTATCCTACTTATATACTGTCCTGCTTGTAGTAAATATAACTATCATCTATTATGTTATTTTATGCTATAATACTGATCCTGCCTGGTCATCAGAGGTAAAACAATAGGGAATTGTCTGTGGGTGAGGTGACCAAGTACAATGACACCTCATCTGTTGTGATTATTTAATTATTCTATGCTCTTTGAGAAAGTGCTTGAGATAAGATAGACACTCTGATAAGATAAGAAAAAGAAAAAGATATAGAGAAAATTGTAACATCACTCTCACCTTAAGACCATCATTCTGATAGATTAATTGATGGAGATTTTATAGTCATAAATGGCATTATCCACATTCAGGTCCCACTCATGGATCCATTGATTGGATTCAGATTTATAGCCCTTCTATTTAATGAGGTAGTAAATCACAGTGCAACTGCCATCTTTACAGGCTCAAACTTTTCAGAGTTTATGATTTAAAATTTGTTTGACTTTATAGTGTTCTTCATCTTCAATAGGATCAGTTCAGGGGGAGGTGGAGCTTTCTAGTTAGGGAAGACAGATGCAATATATAGTGTAAGGAGTGTTTCATTGAAGACTAGATGTATGCACCAGGTGTTAGGCAGCTATAAGTGGTATGCAAAAGTGCCAACTTTTGCAAGGACAGAAAAGGGTCCAGTGCATTTGTCAGTGAGTTTGCATTTCAGGTGAGGGAGATAAAGATTGCTGATGTCAAGCCAGACCTTGTCATTGATGGAGTATTCATGGGCAGGCTGTTGGTGTTTATCATATTGTGCCTTCATAGTAGCAGTAGCCTTCTCAAGAGTAATGTGTGTCTTGGTGTGAATGGCAGACATGAGTTGCATGAAGTCAGAAGATATGGGAGTCATAGTATTGTGTTGGCTAGTGACCATGATGTGGGGATGATGGCCATGATTGACAAAGAAAGAGATCTTGTTGGTTGTGGAATGAATGTGGTTATTATGTTAGAATGTCACCAGGATAAGCCACTTCATCCAATTATCCTGTCTGTGATTGATGAACATCTGGAGGTATTTCTTGATTTTTTGATTGACATACTCAGTTTGTCCATCAGTTTGTGGGTGATAAGTGGTCAATGCATTGCTTTAGATGTTGAGAAGGCAGTAAAGATCATCAAGGAACTTTGAGATGAATTGCAGACCATAGTCCAAGATGATAACTTAGAGCATTCTGTATTTCATATAAACCTCATTGTGTAATATCTTTGCCCATCCCTTGGAAGACAGTTCTGTTGAATATGTGATAGGAATGATCACCTTTGAGAATCAATCAGCAATGACAATAATAGCATCATAGCCATTACAGTCTGGGAGTCTGATAATCATGTCAACCAAAACATGTTTATAGTTCTATGGGAATCTTGTTTGGATGAAGTGAGATGGCTCATGCTTGTATGCTTGACTTGGTTTGTTAGTAAGTTTTGTATCCCTTAACATATTTTTCAATGTTCTGCCCCAGTTTTGGCCACCAGTACTCTCTCAGAACCAACTTCTTTTTTTTTGTGATTCTTGAGTGTCCTGTGGTGATATAGTTATGGGATATGGCAATAATTTCTCAGAGAGTGTGGTCACAAAGAATATAGATTCAATCATTATAGTAAATTAAGTCTGTTGCTTTGGTCATACCTTATTTGTGATTGATGGAGGAGGCAATCTACTGATTCTACAGTTTCATTTGTCATATTGCACTCTTAATTCACTCATAGACTTTTTCTTCCATTGGCATAATCATGGCTCAAAAGTGTTCTGGCTTCAAGAGTGTCATTCCATCATTGTTCTCTTCTTTCTGATCATGGTCAGACCTATGACTCAATAGATCTGTCTTCTTATTTGCTGTTCCCATCTTATAGTGCAGGATGTATTGATATTAGACAAGTTCAGTAACCTAATAGGCTTGTCATCAGTTGAGTTTCTGTGGTGACCAGAAATAGCATAGATTCTGATGATCAGTCTAGACCTTAAAGGTGTAAACAGCACTGATCAGATAATGCCTTCATTTGGTGAGTGCAATATGATGGCTAAGAGCTTCTTGTCATAAATCTTGTAGCTGTGTTTAGTAGTGGTCAGTGCCTTTGAGAGAAATGTGACAGGTTGCCATTTTCCATTCTGCTTCTATGAGAGTACTGCTCCTATTGCTCTCTCATTTGAGTTGGCTTCAACTCAGAATCTCCTCTTCTCTGTTGATACTGCAAGTACCACATCTTCAGCTGATCACCTCTTTAGATCATCAAATGCAGACTGTTGGGCTACTCTCTAGGTCCAGAGGGCATTTCCCATGAGTTGGGTCATAAGATGGATGATCTTGCTGTAGTGTCAGATAAATCAGCAGTAAAAGTTTGTAAAGCTGAGGAAGAATTACAATTTCTTCTTCTTGGTTGGCTTTGGCCATTCTGTTACCTCTGCCATCTTGATGGGGTCTATCTGGATGCTTTCTTTGCTGATGATCACCCTGAGATATCCAGTCTCAAGCACCTCAAACTCACACTTCTCAGCTTTGAAGAACAGCTTATGCTTCCTCATCAGCTCCAGTATCTGACAGACTAGGCATTGGCATTTGTCTCAATCCTTCAACATGATTAAGATGTCATCCATCATCCATTGGAAGGTGGCAGATGAATTGGTTAGTCCAAAGAATATGACTGTGGGCTCAAAGAGTCTGTGGTTAGTTTGGAATGTGGCCTTCCATTCATCTCTCTCTTTAATCTGCATGTTATTGTATCTCCACTGAACATCAAGCTTAGAATAATACTGGATATCACATAGCTTGTCTATCAATTCAGAAATTAGTGGGAGAGGGTAATGGTTCTTGATCATCATTTTGTAGAGTTTCTGGTAATCTTAGACCAGTCAGAGTTTGCCATCCTTTTTTTTGATAAAGAAGAGTGATGCCATGAGGGATTTCAAGAGTCTTATTTGTCTGCTGAATAAGTTTTTCACCAGAAACTTGTCTAGCTTGATCTGTTCTGATGTACTGAGATTATACACTTTGCAATCAAGATTGGTGCTGGTATTGGGGATGAGTTTGATTGCATGATCTCAAGGCTTCAGCTCTGGTAGTTTATTGAAGCTCTCTTTGGCAAACAGGTTATAGAAATCTTATGCTCACTCAGATACTAATTTCTCAAATATCTTAGCCTCCTTCTCATTTACCCTTGCTGCCAGATCATTGGCATGATGCACTGCTCAGACATGGATCACCCAATTCAGGTCTAAAAAGAAGAAATGGACATGTGAAGACATTAGGGTGCAAATTGCTAAGCTGCAGAAGGAAGAAAAACTCAGAAAGGATACAAAGGTGAAGGAGATAAAAGATGG